TGATAGTTTAGTCCTAATGTGAAGAGTTTTAATTTCGAGGTTCTACAGCCTGAACGCACGGACTTTTGTCCCCATGTTCGTTAGCAGTTCGGCCTTCAGACCTCCATATCCACCCCTCTTCAACGAAATTGCCACGAGCAACAACATCATGGCATCTGCGAAGCACTTGACGATGCTCGTGGCTCGAGGCCGCCCAGCTGCGAGGCTCACGAACTCCGTACGACCTTTCGCGCCGACGACAAGTTCGCTGGCAGCTTTCTCGACAAGTACTCTTCGAGCATACGCCACTCCCTCTGGACCGCCACCACCAGGTTTCCGGTTACCAAAGCCTGAGAGATGGGATGAGAGCAAGGAATCTTCGTTGGATAAGGCTGGAAAGTACTTCTTGTTGACCGAGATGGCCCGGGGAATGTATGTTGTGCTGGAACAATTCTTCAGACCTCCGTAAGTCGAGCCATTGAACTTCTAGTTGGCATTGCAGAGTCCTAATTCCATGCAGGTACACCATCTACTATCCATTTGAGAAGGTATATCTGATATTCATGAGCAATGGTGGCGTGGCGAATGCTCATATCTGTTAGGGTCCAATCTCTCCACGTTTCCGAGGTGAACATGCTTTGCGAAGATATCCTTCCGGCGAGGAGCGTTGTATTGCCTGCAAGCTCTGTGAAGCTGTAAGTGCAAAGACGTTAGAAGAGTGAATGCTCGGCTCACAGAGAATAGATCTGCCCAGCGCAGGCCATCACAATTGAAGCAGAGGAGCGTGAGGATGGTAGTCGAAGAACAACCCGATACGATATCGACATGACCAAATGCATCTATTGCGGCTTCTGTCAGGAAAGCTGTCCGGTTGATGCCATTGTCGAGTCACCCAATGCCGAATATGCGACAGAGACTAGGGAAGAGCTGTTATACAACAAGGAAAAATTACTTGCGAATGGTAGGGTCCCCAATCCGGTTACGACGCTATTTCCATGAAATACTAACCTCTGTTTCAAGGTGATAAGTGGGAGCCAGAATTGGCAGCAGCGGCAAGAGCAGATGCACCATACAGATAATGCACGACTTTTTCATTGGTCCTTTAGCACATTGTACATTGAAGACTGTTTATAGTTCAAGAAAACCGGCTGGAGTTCCTTCCAGTGATAATACCACTGCATCAAAATCATGATACGGGAGGCGTCTTACCTACCAACCACTGTGAGTGAAGATGGCCGTCGTATCGATACATGTTATTATTACAAGGAGAAATATTTGCAGAAAGTCCTGCAAGTTCTGCATTGTATTTATGGTGCTGATGGGATCGGAAGCCCCGCACCATACACATTGCTCTTCTCGGCTCGCAGTCAAGTCAACGAGGCTGTGAACGGCTAGGCCATATATTGGTGTTTTGTTGCTTTGGATCTAGTTATTCTGAAGTTCTGACCATTCTCAACGTATTCAAACCATAAAATGCGGGTCTACATGGAAATCAATCTTTTTTACAAGATAGTGATCAAGTGTGGACTCTTGCCAAGCATCTCTGTTTGTTTTTTTGTGTATTTGATAAGAATCGGATTGATGCCCAGTCAAATCGGAATCAGCCCATTTTTCATTGGGTATAATTAGTAAGTCGAGCAGAATAATAGCTCACAAGCCAGTCTAAGCTCTCCAGTGAACAATTCACGCTTCATCTGAGCAGCATGACGTTTGCAGAGAACGTATGCAATCACAGTGGCAGGAACCTGACCTAGAAGTTTCTAGTGGCATAGGTCGGTACGTTCCGAATTTTGTCGACCGTCACCTTGTGTGCATTCTCAACAATATATTCTTGGTGCTGAATGGATGGCAGAGACAAAATTGCTGAGGAGCTATCAAGCACCGGTACCTCCTTCCCCAGAGTTTGGTGACGCTAGCTTATAGCGAGAACACCATCCACATCTTGATAGCTCCTGCCCTCTGCCGGCCGAGACTGACCTAAAAGGGTCTCGAGCTACTATCTCCGAAACTTGACGCATTCACCTCAATTTCCTAAGCCAATCCGATCCAGAATTCCGAGATGGATGTCTTCAATTCTCATCACCTTCCACACGGAACTACATGATGTGTTTTGCAAGCACCTCAGTATAGAGTTACTCTCGTCTTTTACTTTCACCGACTTACCTTCGGTCATTTAGCAAATATCTCTACCCACGTCTGGATATCCACCAAGGACCAATTTTGGTTAGATGTCTCGCTGACTTTGTGGAGTCCACTTTATTGTTACTCCGCTTTGCAAACTTCTTCCTTCTGGTCATAAATGAGCTCCAAGGACGGCTCTTGAGAGTGGTGAAGTGCCGCGATTATTGCTTTCTCCGATACACTTACTCCGCAATGCCGTTCAGCGCTTCGGTTCTACGATGACATGGCTAGAACTTCCTTCAGCCCTGTGGAGCTTTTGTGGATCTCCTATGCATCCGCCCGGACCTAGTATGGCCAAGTAGGCGCCGGCACACGCACAAACACACAACGACGAGTTGTCCTCCAGCAGCCATCGATACTGGCAACAGTTGGAATTATCTCGGGAGGTGGAGGTATTGATTGACCATTCAAGACTACCTATTTTCTCCACCACAATAATGGCCATCCGAATTCTTGTCTTGCAGCAGTTCCAAACCGATCCACATCATAGTCAAGGCAAGATACACAGAATCGTTCGATGCTCGGACCAAGAGCACGCTGTCATTTCTGGTTTCGTAGGCTTAAAGAAACGTTCTAGCACGCCCAAAAGTAGTTCCAAGGTGAACTACCAAGGCAAGTTTTCACCAAGCGTTCCTGCAATTATGGACCTCTCTAAAACTCGCTTCTCTCTGGCCAGCAACAGTGTAAGCTAGGCGAAGATAACTATGATGAGTAAGGCTAAAGGCCAGTCCTCTCAACAGATTGAAAACCCTTAGTCCTCGAGAATGGGACCGACTTTTATTGGCAAACTGCTAGAAGCTTTCTACAGCCTTGCCCAGCCCTGTCGGCAATCCCCAACCAGCTAGACGAAGCTGGTTTAGCCTTCAATTGTCGAATGGCTACTGACCTGCCATAGGGCACGGATTCTGGTTCGTCTCTCTATCTCAACTCAACACTAATGATAGTTCTTTCACTTGGCACCTCAAATTGAGCATATTTGCATGACGCTACCGGTACTTTTCGTACCTCTCACGCCCACCGCAATGCCAAGCACCACAGCAAAAATGCCTCTCCTACAGAAATCTGGGCAGAGACTAATACCACCCTTCTGAGTTTTTTCTAACGACCAGTTTCCACCCATCCGCCAAGCTAAAACGTCTGGCAATTCCAAACGAATTTGCTAAGAATATGACACTCATAGCTCGAGGCCACTTCCGAGTCCGCTGCTGCTTTTCGGAGTCATTCTCTTGTCTCAACTTCGCCAAGGCTTGACAGTACCCATTGATGAGGTCGCTAGCCAGACTGAGCATCGGTTCAACCTGAGCACGCCATAACCTTTTGTAAGTCAAAATCGAAACTACACGTCAGATCCAAGCCAAGCCTGCTCTTGCTCTGCTTCATGCCCTGGCCTCACCTGGAACCAGGTATACCGTCTAAACCCACCATCAGATCCAATGGACTCGCTGGACTCGCTGTTTCTTATCCAAGAAAAGTAAATATAAACCAGAAAAAGCTGTTCACCTCCAGAAGGTTCGCATTCAATCCATCACCTGATTTCTGATAGTAACAAGATGAACGACTTTGGCGTACCTAGCCCAGCCAGGAGCTACAACACAGGCTAAAGAGCTCTGTGTTTAGCTTGCTGTGCCAAGAATATACTTGCTTTCACGCTACTCCACCCGCAATGTCAAGTTCTTACGTCTTGTGATACCACAAAACATTTCCAAGGAAATGGAGTGGGAATACTAGGTACTCAACACCACGGAGATCAGACACATTCAACGTCAGTGATTGTATATTATGGTTACGCACGTTTTCCCCCTTCGAAAGTCCGGTCCTGATGAGAGACATTTAGAGGAGGAGTGGAAAGTGCAATTAATCCAAACATTGCGAAGCGTAGACAGCGAATACAGTCCAGCTGCAAGCTTCGGTAGGTGAGGGGCGTCGAGGGGATTTGGCTGGTCCAATTCGTGGAGAATATGTGTACTGTAGTATCAAGGTAGATAGCTTGTTGGCTGTTCGTCCTCCTTTGCTTGGATAACGAGTGTTGTTGAAATTGGAGATTGAGGAGTAGCAGTTTAAATATAAAGCCCCGTAAATTTAACTAGAAGCACAAATCGGATAATAGTTAAATTGAATGCCAAAATGTGGGTTGAGGCTTCAGCGTCTCTCGACAGCAAAAGTGAGATTGATTAATGCCGGACATTCAGAGAATTTGAATGTCCCTACCATTCAAGTTCGTCGTTTAAGGCACAAGTGCGGTTCACATTCAAGTTCACGCAGTTCATAGTAATGACAGTGCAACTCTCAGTCATTGAGACGAAACATTCTTGCCAGAAAAGTCCTGCATTAAGCAGAACGTGTCTATTTATTACTTTTAAGGTATACAAATCAAACCGCGGAGCGAGCTACGTCGCTATTGATATACTGCGACGACGCTGAAACCTTCCTGTACACGCCTCGGCCGTAATGCTTTGCTGATTCGAAACTTTGCAAACAAGAAACAGACGAAGTCGACTAGAACGCCACTTTGAAGGACCCGAACCCAAAGGAAAAGAAAGAACCAAAAGGGAAAATATGTGTACTCGTATTTGCCTCTGAGAAAATACCAAGGCGATCTGTCACTTTCTTTCAAGTGCAGATATTCTGTTCAACGTGAAAGCCGAAGAACCTTTGTCTCATCACTGAGAATCATTGCTATGCACCCTAAAAGATGCGCCCACCCGATGCAATGTCTCCTTTCTAATGTGTCCCTCATAGGATATTCCCAAACCCGAAATCCAGACCAAAGACTCCGATGTGTGCGTGACATTGACCAACGCCTCGAACCCGACCCGAAAGAAAGAGTGGAAAATGTATAGGGTTTTGTACAAGCGAACCATTAAGTGTAGGATGAGACAAGCGACCAAGGATATGGTGTCGCTGGTGAAAATATGTTTCTCTTGGTAAGAAGCTGCCTTACTGCTGAGAGTTCTGCGAACCACCTGGGCAGTCGAAGTAATCTGATGTCAGATACTTATTCCAATCCAGAGTTTCTCCTGGGGTTTCAACGAGATTCTCCGTATAGGCGTCGTTGAAGAACGATTGGGGCTGCCCATTATCTGCATCAAACTGCATGTCCAATGCAGATTGGGCGAGAGTCGATGACAAACCATCTAGAGTGGGGTGAGTTTGCTGCCCGACAGAAGTATTGAAATTTGGTTGTGGTTGAGATTGCGACTGAGGACCGAAATCGTAATAACTGCTAGCTAGGTTACCGCTTCCAGCCATCATCAGCTGATGATGTGGGTTGTTGAGATCAAGTGTGGAGCCTAGAAGACCTTGAGCGTTGGCTGGCAATTGAGCTGTGAATGGAGAGTAATTGGGATGATATGGATCCGTGCTGAACGCTGGTGGCGGCGGTGGTTGAAATTGTGATTGTTGAGGCGTTGGCGGTTGCTGTCCATATCCGGAAGATTGGCGAGAGAACGTGGCAGGCTTTTGAGGTGGCGTAGAGTTGACACTGTGTATGGAGTTTGGTGTAGGAACTTGCATAGGGGACCCCGCAGCTGAAGGTACAGCTGCTGGCATCGACATCCTTCGATGGTCGGAAGGTTTGAACGGCTCTGTAGCCTGGAAAGATGCAGACCGATTATGAGACACAGAAGTGAAGCTTTGCGGTCGTACTGGCCGGGCGGCAGGATATGGTTGATGTCTGTACATCGCCCCATGTTGAGCTTGATACATATTCTGGTTGTGGTTGGTCTGTTGCATATGCATTTGCATTTGCGCTGGACCTTGATTCGGTATCTGCGAATGGTTGGCGGCAAATCCAGATGGGTGTTGCTCCGAAGCTTCCATAGACTGTGCGACGAGGGTTCGTAGAGCGACGTTGCTTGCTAGGTAGGCACCCAATCTCTCATTGAATTCGCCATTGCGATCCATGGGGAAATGGTGAGTAACGTTTCGGTACTTCGGAGGCAAATCATCTTCTTCCTCGTACATCTCCTCGTTCGCAACACCTTCGACCGTGATTTTGAAACCGCGACCCGTTCGTTTCTTGTGTATCTCGGAAGCTCTGTGAGCAGACTCGACTCTCGCTTCTAGACTTCTGTCGCTCCTCCTCGACGCAGCGACATAAGCACGTTCTTGATTTTCTTCGTGCGTTCGCTCCGTCTATAAAGGGTATCAGTATTGCCAATCGCTATCTAGCAATGGGATACGTACCTTCATCGGCTTTGTTGGTGGGAGAAATGTCCGTGGTGGACTGCGTCTGGTATCCTTAGGCATGGCTGGCAGCTGGTACTGCGACTTTCGCACCTCGAATCGAATTGGTTCGAGATTGTGTCGAACAAATAAGAATGCAGGGGGTTCGAATGTTATAAGGATGAGAGCAGAGTAGACTAGAACTCTGCACCGTTAAATCTAGCGGTGCGGCCGGGTTACCAGAAAATGAAGAAAGCTGGAGTGTTGTAGAAGCGAGCAGCGAAAAGTCCCAAAGATGAGATAACAATACTAGTTAGTTACTATTTGCGGGAAATTCCCCGGAGACGCATTCGTCGTCGCTCAAGAATGGCAGGTCAATGAGAGAGAGACCCCGCTCGGAGTCAATTGGTTTGACGTGCAGAGCGGTGCAGGTGCAGCAGGATGCGGTGCACACAGAACAGAGCGGAGGTTGGAGATGTGGTGGTTGTGGGCTGTCGGCGAAAACTGAGCGGCGATAGCGCGGTCGATGTTGAGATGCTTGCTGCGAAGGCCAGCGATCGAAGAACACACAAGCGAGCAAGACTGGCAAGGGGGGTTTCGAAGGTCGTATCTTCGAGGAGACTTTCTTTTCTTTTCTTTTCTTTTCTTTTGCGAGATAAATAATACGGAGCCAGAATTGGCCAAATAGATAAGGTCCAGAAAGTAGGGAGGAGCAAGAAGAAGACGAAATCGTCGCTGAGCTTGGGAGGGGTAGGTAGTAATACTTGGCAGATAAGGAGGCAAAGAGGAAAGAGCAACCACTCACTCACTCACTCCCCACGCAGAACGAAGGTACATGGCTGATGATATAGAGTTTGATTTTTGGGCGAGCCCGGATCAGAGCACAATTCCCGAATTCCCAGCTACTGTAGAAACTACCCAAGGATACCCGTCACCTCTTCTCGCACACTGCTGCTGTTGCTAAGAAATAGCGATGACCAAAACAGCCCCTCTCATCTGCCGCCCACTCTTCTTCGAGTGACGGTCAAATTAAACGAGAGACAAAACCCACGGGGAGGACACTTCCCACCGATGGCTGGTTGAACCTATCACCAGGGTATCAACTAACTACCTAGGTACCTTCTCCGCTCCTCTTCTCCAACTCTTCTCGACAAGAACACGAATGCGAGCGAACGTCAGTGGCGAATATGTTGTTTGAGGAGGTATTATTAATCGCTTTCTCTCCGACACAGTGTCACTCGTCAGCCACATTAGAGTTAAGCAGATTCTCCTCTCTGGCTCTTGTCGATCGATGGGCCAGTCCTTCCGACGGGGAAGGGAGGGAAATTTATTGGGGCTGCACATGCACTGACAGAAGAAACTCAGATCCTAGCGTTGATTTGGCCAGATTCGCGAGCACCCCCGGATCGTGAAAGTAATTCCAACATCCCTCCTCCTCTTCACCCGGGGTCCCCTTCCCGGTCACCTTCTTTTTCCACTGACTGGCTCAAGCGTGCAGCTGGCTATAAGAGCTGTGGTAGCAATTAGGTTCAAGACCCCGAGACCTACCTGAGAAGGGGTAAGTACAGGTTTGGGTAACAGGCTTTTCCAATTCGGAGCCCAAGCTGTGCAGCATCCCCTGCTGTTCAAGAGAATAAAAACGGATATCTTTTGACATTGCCAACTGATTCAAAGTCCATCCGAGGTCTTTTACCGTAAGTCGGTGGCAGAATACAGTACACCCAAAGATCTGCGCCAAAGTTTCACCAACTCCACCGACCGGTAGGAATCGGTGGATGGCCAGTCGCATCAGAATTGGACAATGAATGGCACGCTTATGTCAGTTCACATGATTCGTATTCGTGTGCGGCCGGCCCCCTCGAACAAGCACTACGTCGTTGGTTCTGATGGTTGCTAGATTCCGTTCTTAGCTTCATGAAACACCCAGCTACTACAGTAGGTTTTGCGGTTCTTGTGGGGGCTGAGAGTAATTATCCATCTTATGTCCCTATGAAGAAGGTGGAAATCCAAGAAGTGACGTGGGAGTCGGGGGATGAGAATTAATCTGAGATGATGTGGGAGTGGGTGAGATCGGAGGAGCAGCGCTCCTGGTTCCACTCATCGAAGTCCCGAAGGAGCTACCTCGGGAACTACGTTGGCCCGAAAGCCGAATATATTGCGCAACGTGAATGGGACTTTTCACGAAAGCATCAAGAGTTCCCGTGCTTTCGAGGAGCAGGTAGAAAGGACGGCCTGTATCATGTCTAGCATCAATGAAACGATAGAGAGATTTCCAACTTTGGAGATTCCAAGGCCAAGGTAGGAATAACAAAGATAACCACATGCAAAACAAAGATTCCAAGCAGACAATAATGTTGACCCCAGGCTTGTCCCTCTGACGGAAGTCCTTCGAGATCTTTTCGTCCGGTCTAGACTTGGTGACACACAGCTCAGCTCAAAATCCCATCTGACCGCGCATGGGATTCTGAAAAGCCCGATTTCCGGATGGCCCGCGAGAGTCGCCACCAGGGTCTGGCCATCGTGCAAATGAAAAATGTGGGAAGCAGACTTCCGCCACGGAAAATACCCAGGATCATTCATGCTATTAAAGCCTCCATCGTTCGACTTTGGATCGCAAGTTGCCGTCGTTTGCTTGCTTGCTTACTCGCTCGATATTATTGCGTAGGCGCCCCAGGAAAAAGCAGATAGGGTACCGTTGTCGCGGCCTGAGCAGTAGACTCCTGGCCCATCGGAAATTTGCTGAGAATCTTGTGTTCGCGTTGTTCGCATCGATGTTTTGTTCTTTCTGGGTCGACTCTGTTGTCGTCGCATCCTGCAGAATTGTAAACTGCCTTAATCAATTCCAACTCTCCTCGGTTAGCATGCCTATCTGGGTCGTGCTTGCATAGAATTTCAATGTGCTCGCGATTTTCTTCTCTCTTCTTCACTTTACACATACCTCATTTCTGGGTCATACTGCCATTCAGCATGATCCTCTCTATCATTACATGAGCATCCATTTCCGATTACAGGCCCATTCTGGTGCTGTGCCGCATCGGTCACCCCAGATTTGAACAAGGCTCTGGTCGATCGATTGAGACCCAAGCAACCAGTCAGCCCTAGCCTCGTTCTGCTCCTCTGAAGCAAGTCGAAATAATCAGTCTTCGTGCACCAACGGTACTCTTTTTCCTTCTGCGAACTCGGGTCCAAGATGGCACCAGAACTACTACCAGAAATCTATCTTCACTCGGCACAATTCATTTCGTCACCATCAACGATAGCAAATTGCTGTCTTGTCTCGAAGGAGTTCTATCGAATATTTACGCCGTACCTGTATAAACACTTGAATCTTCGCACAGGTCCACCTAACCCGGATGAAAAATCTGAACACGATCCAACGCGGGCCTTGAGAAGACTGAGAATTGCTTATCTCAACGATCGATTTCTCTTTACGAAGCATTTTGAGATCTCTGTTCACACGGGGAACGATATTATTATGTCGAGATACCTCTCATCCATGTCAAATATTGTGTCTTTCTCAGCCGAGTAAGTAAGGTGCAAGTTCCTTTGACAGATATCTCTCAACGTGTATGACCTCATGGTTCCCAGGAATAAGATGTCGCAACATTGGAAAGATATCGTCTTTCGCGGCCAGAATCCATATGTTGGTTTGGCTGAAAGTACAATAATGAACTACAGTCTTCTAATTTCTAGGGAAATCTCTTTTCTAGTCTCTTGTCGTTTGGCCATGTGGAGATGAACTACTGTCAAGGAGTTTCTAGCAGAATCTTTCGAACAGATTCGTTCACTGACGTGGAAACAGCTTCAATGACACAAAGGCGCCTTACGTCTGCTCAGCGCTCAACCTCTTGCCGACCAGGACCCTCAGAGACCTTGAACTTCACGTCATTGATATCAATACATCTCCCATGAGCCATCAAGACCCAGTCCAAAACCAGTTTACTTGGCCCGACCTCCCTTACTTCCAGAATCTAAGGTCCCTCAAACTCTTCGGTCTTTGTGATCCCATGAGCCGGTTAGCGCGCGATATTGCAAGAGTTCTAATTGCCTCACCCCAACTCAAGATCCTTGGTTTAGGTATGCACATGTGTGACTTCATCATGAGATTCGGAATGCCTGGACTTGGCGACGGTACCAACAACAAGCTCCTTATTAAGGAAATCATCGATGAGATGCAGAAGTTGAGAGTGGCAGACGAGTCTCAGCTAGAGCTAGAGGAACTATGTCTAGGACTTGGAGGACTTCCGGGGTCACCACTTCCAGTCGAGCAGGCGATCCGTGATATTTCGCCTCTCACAAGATTGGAGAAGCTGCAAGTCCTACAATTGATTAACGGTGATGGTGTGCACACCACCTTCACAATAGATTCAGAGGCCTTCTACCCATGTACAAGCCTGAGACGTTTGGTTGTCGACATTCTCAACGATGACATCTCGGATATAATACAGACGTTACACTCTTCTTCAAGCAATCTTGTCGAGATTCAAATTCGTCGTACTCATTCCCAAGCACGGAAACTCCATCTTGGTCCACAATATCAAATGATGCCGGTCGAGCCGGGACTAGCATTACTCAAAACGCTCGGGACGGATTGGGTCAAAATGCATCTAGAGATGCCATCGGCCCTCGAAAGTCTGTTCCGTTTTCAAGAGAATGACAGGACGTATGCGAAGTTGGAAGAGTTATCTTTGTTTCTGACAGTAGGTCCTAATGGAACTGTTTATGGTTTGATTGGACCAGTAGAACACAGACAATGGGTAAGCACATCTTCAAACACCAGCTTCGTACAGATTCATGTTATTCCAATCTTCAGCTCGAGGATATCGTATGATGTCCAACACAAGCTGGCAACAATACACTACTGCAATGTCGAATTGACTTTCAGGCACTCATTGCCAGAAGATCGTCGTTCTCAAATCTCCCATCTCTCATATCATCGTTCCACCATGCTAACACCACACAGGCCCTCCTCCGCACCAGCCTCGTCAATCTCCCTTGTCTCCGTCGCCTACTCCTTCGATTCGACTGCCCCGTCCCCAAATCTGTTGCATCTTCCCTAGCATCTACTCTCTTCTCTGCTCATGAGGATTTCATGCACTTCCAGAACTTACCTTCAAACTTTACTTATATCACTTTGAAATCGTCGGAAAGTGAGTTTTTTAGTTTTAGGAGGATATTTGTCCCGGGTAGCATACCAATAGGTGTTGAGACTAGGAGAAGGGCGTGGAGTCTGGTCGATGTTCCGAGGGACGAGACAAATGATTGGAGTAAGTATCAATACCATTTTCTTTTAAATCCTTGGTGATTGTTCAGAGATGAGATTTACACGGAGGCTAGAAAAGGACTAATGACTTTCCCACAGATTGGGATGTAACACACGAACCACCCGAACCACATCAACGTTACTACTCCTCGGAGTTTTGATATCGCGAGCAGAATTTCAGGGGAATACCCACCTTGGTACAGGTACAGCATATAATAGCGGGATTAGGAGAAAAATTGGTATGGAAAATCTTTGGAGTCAGGTTCTTGAAGTATACAAATTGGGACATTCTGGAAAATCAATATGGTATATGGTGCGCGCCACTCGTCCTAAAGATCGAGACCTGAAAATGCAAAATCAACGCTAATTCCACTCTCCATGACATCCAAAAGTGTCCGTCCCATTCCTCTCCCTCTCACGGCCTCGGAGCATCCGTCAAAGGCACATACCTAACCCCAAACAACCTCTTCTTCGTAACCGTCCCCTCCACATCCTTATCCACCGTCCACACAAACTGCTCCCCCCTCTCATCCTCAACCGGAATGAATATCCGCCCGGGACACCTCAACTGCTCCACCAACTCCCCATGCACCTCCACAGCCGCCGCTCCCACATGGATCGCATCCCAGCCCTCCCCTCCCTCATCATTAAACCCCTTCCTCCCATCCCCCACCACGAACCTCACCTTCCCTTTCTCCAACATCTCCGTCCCCCTCTCGCCCTTGCGCATATTCGTCTCCGCCATATCTCTTAGTTGCGGGATATGCTCCAGTCCCACGACACGGCTGTTTGGTCCGGAAACAAGCTCGGCGAGAACAGCGGTTAGGTACCCGGACCCGGACCCGATGTCTAGGATCCGCGCGTTGGGCCGCGAGAGGAAGGGGAGGAGGGATTCCGCGGCGTGGGCGTGCATGTGTGGTGCGGAGATGGTGGCGGCGTGGCCGATGGATTGGGGGGAGTCTTCGTAGGCGTGGGAGGGGACGGGGCAGTAGTGGGCGCGGTCGACCTGGGGGGGTGGTTTTAGTTAGTGTTTGTTTGGGAGAAGGGGAGAGATGGAAGGAGGGATACCTTCATCATGGCTTCTTTTACGGCGGGGCTGGTGATTAGGGAGGCGGCGAAGAGGTTTTGGATTAATTCTGCGTTGGTGGCTCCTGAGCAGCGCCACGCCATGGTGAGGGTTGGGGCGCTGAAGGCGCGGATTAGATTTCGTAGGGAATTCAGTGTGGTGGATTGTTTATTTGTGTTGTTTGATAATTTGGGTTCTTTTATTGGAGAAGTTTTGAAGAGTTTGGTATTTGTTTGCGTGTGGTGAGTGTGTGAAGTTATATGAGTGTTTATCTTTTAAAGTGGGGTTGAGGCGGGGGTGGCAATCTGCAGCCTTGTCGCTTAGAAGAGCTTCCCCCTGAATGATGGACGACAGATGATGTGCTGCTTCTTTTTTGACATTTATGAGTAGCAAAAAGAACATGCCAATGGGCTTTGTCTTTCAGCTAGTTTTCGTACTCGTCATTAAAGTCACAATTTTGCACTTGTAGTCTTTGAGCTGCAGGTATACTCTGCAAGCTTGAATCACTAGTGTGATTTTGAAGCATGATATGAGAGAAACGAACTCCCATGGCCTTTGTAGGGAAAGGAGATGAAGCCCATGGATACGTTGAACATCACTCCAGATCGGACGTACTGTGTCGTCATGAACATCTGCATGGTCATCTTTATCAAAAATGATTAATCTTTGTCCTTCCATCTTGAGAACCGTGTCTGCTACTTCTCCTATGACCTAGGCATATTTCAAGTATGTAACCTTAGACTCTCTCATGTTGCCGGTTTAGTTTGATATGAGTAATGCTATCTTTCATGCAACAGTTAAAAGCATAGGGACTGAATGGCGAAGAATTCTTGAGATGGCTAGTCTTTCGTTGTCTAAAGCTCTCATGAGTAGAGTGAGAAACACGGTGGAACCTCAATGTGTGTACCTTGTATTATAGTTATATCTTGTCTTTCACTCTGTATCTGTTTTGTATGACCCAATTTGCTAGACTTGTAAAGCACAAATCGGTGTGCACAAAAAGGAAAGAGGCGGGAGAGAAAAAAAGAGTTAACTAACGGCATTGGACATCCACATCTTGTCTATAAATTCAGTAGCTACGAAATGAGCAGCGTTGGCTTCCTAGAACCCGATACCTGCGTTACACATGTTCCTGTTCATATCGTAAGACATGCAAAGCGTGAATCGGCGTACAGATGAAGGAAAGTAACAGGAGATGAAAGTAACTACAGAAGACCTCAGACATCCACTTCTTATCGATTATTCAATAACTTAAAGAATGGCTAGTGTTCTTTCCTTAGCATCGGCAACCGGGTTTACAGATATTCCTGTTCATATCTCACGATTGCTTTACCGATCGCGACCTTCAATCTTTCCTTCCTCCCTTCCACAACATCTCCACAGATCGACAAGATGGATCCCGATAACCGCGACCTGGTACGTCTAGAATAGCTGCAACTTGTGGGAATTTTATCATTAATAATCGCAGATCAGTCCGGGAGTGGAAGAGGATTCTTCAGTCCCCGCGTTCGGCTCAGAGGTAAGCTAAAATCTTTCGATTTCAGATCAAGATCGAGACCAGGACTAAGAATATATCAAGCAGGCTGGAGATAATCAAGGTGTTTCCGTTGAAGAAGAAGCTCCTGAATTAGTGGAGTAAGTCTCCTACTTCCGAAAGCCATATTGCACTGTGCTAACAAACTACCAGCGAAAGTAGCATCGACCTGACCTTTATCTTCGCTAAAGATGAAGCTCCTGAGTTTGAGAAGTAAGTCCCCTAGTTTTGAAACCATATTGCCCTGTGCTAATAAACTACCAGCGAACTTGGCCTCGACATGATCGATATCTTCGTTGGACCTAAGCCTATCCATTTCCGAGTCCATGAGAAGCTTCTCTCCACGAAGTCCGGATACTTCCGCAGCATGCTCGACGGAAAGTACAAGGAAGCTATCGAGCGTACCATCCACATGCCAGAAGATTCCCCAACTACTTTCAGTCTCTTCTTGAAGTGGCTGTATGGAGATGATCTCAAACACCTGGATAAACAGACCACGAAAAACCAGGCTCTGCTTCGTCAACGCATTGAGCTCTATGCCTTCGGAGAGAAGATTTTCAACGACCATTTGATGAATTGCGTCATCTCCTCCATCATCAGAATCTGCCGTATTCACGAGTTCCTCCCTTCGGCCTGTCTGGTGGAGTTTGCGTACAACAACACGAGAGAAGCTTCCCTGCTTCGCGCATGGATGTGTCGAGTCTACATTCACGCACTATACAAGGAGGACGATGAAGACTTTTCGATGTATGATATGGCTAAGGTCATGGAAACCGTCGAAGACTTGAGGATGGATATGATCACATTATTCAGGGCCAAGAACTCGGAGTCTATGTCTGAAAAATCTCCATTCCTTCTGGACAGTTGCTCATTCCATCATCACGATAACGAGGAGTGCGCGTATGCGGATCCAGAGAAGGGTTTCAAGGCGTTCTTAGAACAAATAGAAGTAGATGCAGCCGGCCACCCTTCTCGTTTTCGTAAGGGGCATCCACTTCTTTCTAGGGGAACATGTTTCTGAAGCAGATCTGTAGTTGAAACTCTGATTCGACTCTCTTATTCTCATGTTGCTCAAGGCGACATGTGCATGGCAATGAAATACTGACGGAATAACCAATGTAATGGCTTGCTTGAGAATTCTTCAGAGTGTTCAGACAAATTACTCAGATCACTATCTATTGAAAGCACGAGAAAGTGTTACATGCTGCTAAATTGATCAAGTGAAGAATAAGAGTGGATTCTCGCTTACCTCCTTTCACCTCGCTTATTTCTCGAGAAGTCAAACCGAACTTGAGAACCTAAATGCGTTGAAGTCCTAGAACAACTATTGCTACAAGCTACTACAAAGCTCATTTCCATGTCCTTATCCTAGCATTGAGAGTGTCAGAAAATACTCCTTGTCTATATCAACTTAGAGTCCGTTAGCTAGCACCTATACCATCTTCATCAAAGCAGCTGACTCTCGTCTCCGAAGAACAGACCATTTCAGCCATACTTCGGTATTAAGTTTAAGGACCTTCGCTATGGTGTCTTCTCAGTGGTTTTGTCCCCAAAATTTCCCGCCTGCCAAGCCATGACCTAAGATTTCCAAGCTCCCTATCCCAAGCTCTCCACTCCTTAAACTCCCTGGCAAGAATCATCATCTGATACCATATTTCCCACTGAATATGATAGGTCCAGCCGTTTCAATTCTTGCTTGTTATCACATCCTATGAGATGAAGAACAAAGTTATGAGAGCAGATAAGAGGACTTGCTTTTCTTGATCTGAAGCTTCTATTTAACCTTTGTTCATCGTCACTCTTTGAAATATTGATATTTTAAACTGCTTTTATTCCTGAATTATCGTCTAGATATCATTTCAAGTCAATAATCAAGATACCCACCACCTCAACACTAAAAAGAATCCCTCACTCTCCTCACCACCACTCTCTCCAGAATCCCCCTACCCTTCCCCTACTTCTCCCCATCTCACACTGACAAATTACCAATTCACAACAGCCTTTATCGTTATCGGCAACATTCCCTTCCAACCTCAGTCCAAACCTCAGTCAACTCCATCTAATCCTCGAGTGAGGGAGGCAGTTGTCCCGCTTACAGCGCGAACAGCGCGAATCGCGCAAATTGCGCATGTAGCGCATGTAGCGCATATCGCGCCATCAGCGCATCAAACCCGAAGCTGAGAAAATGAAGAATATTTTTTCTGAATCAGAGGAACCAAGTGCTAGAAAGTTCAAGAGAATAAGCTAAAGGAACAACTAAAGAAGAAGCAAGAAGAAGCTATTCAACCCATCATAATATCCCCCAATACAAAAATATCCACACTAAGAGGTGAAGTTTCCTTCCACCTCTTCTCGCTATGTCAAAGGAACAACCACCCCAGATCTCCTCGGCGACACAAGCTTTCCTCCATCGACCTCGCAATCCCCGCAAGCACCACTCACATACCTTCGCACTCAGCACCCACCCCAGTAGCATCTAGTAACTTGACCCGTATTCCTCCCCTCCTCCTCTCACTTAACTGACACACCTCTCCTCACAGAATTCCAAAACGACTTAGCAACCGAAGTGAGCATCCGCAACCTCGAGATAAAAGCCCCGAAATCCTTTCTCAGTTCTGGGGCTGACTGATAAGTAAATATTTGCCAGAAAGTTGTCAACACTACGGAGAATAAGGAGAGAATGGGAGGGGGTTGATTCTGAAATGTAGAATATATTACGAGACCACAATGTACAACAATATGTACCACAGCGAAACACAGACCAGAGAAATCAAAACGAAGATGTGATTTGTGGTCTCCTCTGAACATTTCATCATTCCATGCAACAGAAGCAGCAGCAGCAGCAGCAGCAGCAACGCCGAATTTCCCCGCTGTCCAAGCCTAGGCAACAAACAAGCACCTCCATCCCATATGAACGCCACACACTATCGATATTTGCTTAGCCCCGATGCCATTCCATTCCATCAGACAGCCGTCTCGGGTTCTTCTCCAGTAGCGATTATAGGAACAGGTAGCCCTCTGTCCGGGCTCTGGAGTACTAATTGTTCGTGCCTCCGTGCTTTCAGGAAATCGCTCACTGCTCGGATCAAGATGAACCAGCCGACGATCATGAGGATGTATGCAAGCCATTCGTTACTAGCGACATCACTCCACCCACCAGATCCCGAATCCATTCCTTGAGCAGCAGCAGCTTGGTTGACCTGGTTCGGGTCGAAATCGTGACTATCTGGGTTCGGAGGTTGCGTGTAGTTCGGATCTTGTCCATTTGCGGGTGGAGACATCCCACCCCCTGAGCCCTTCATGTAGAATCCGTATTGAACAAGAGTGATACCAAGACCGGCACGAGAGCCATTCTTGGCTGCGTGTGTAGTATGTAGGAGGTAGGTGAGAAGGAAACCAACGAGTTGGAATGACATTGAAATCATGCCGTTCCAGATGAAGGAGAATACGGATCCAACGGGGAGACCCTCGACGTAGACTTCATCTGGACCGCCCAGACCTGGTGCGAGAATAGTGGTTTCCCAGTAAGGTGGTGCGGCATCTGCTGCAGCCTGTTCGTATGTCTAGAAGATAGGTTAGTTGGCGCTTATCTCAAAATAAATTAGGGGTATCTCACAGGTGGGTGTTCCTCTTGCTTTTCTCCAGTCTCTGGCTTCGCACTGAGGTTTGCAAAGACCCCATCTGATGCTGACCCTCCGCCATACACTCTGCCCGTTGGTTGAGTAGGTTGTGAGAAGACCGGTAAATGTGTTGGCCGTCGCTCAATTATCGGTCTAGGCGGCTGAGTCGTCGACTCCGGTTGAGCACTCTCTTGTTCCACCGACGACGAAGAGGAAGTCCCCCTCATTAATCTCTGTCTGTCATCTCCATCATTCTCCTCGTCGCTATCAGACCCATCGGCATCAAAGGTATCCGCTAGATTCTGATCAACCGTAGCGTCATTATGTCTCGAAGTCGGTGAAGAAGCGCGGGACCGGAAAGACGGAGGCGGCGAGTTGGGTATCGTAGGACTTATAGGAGATTCTGTATCGTTCGCAGATACCTGGTGATAATTATTAGGATGTCTTCCATCGGCGTTGTGAATCCTGCTTGCGTGGCGAGGCTTGGCCGGAGGTGTACGTACCCTTTCATAACGTTGCGAGCTCATCGTGGGAGTGCGTACAGGAACAAAGAAAAGCAGTCGCTGTCGACTCGAAGACGAGCCTGAAATAAGAGAAGAGAAGGAAGGGGAGGGAATTGAATGAGCGTAGGTGGTGGGTGTGGTAATCAGGAGACGCCTCCGAATGTCGTGGATAGACGGGGTCGGACGCTTCGGTTTTAGGAGGCTATGTTGGGTTGGTGTGGAATACTGTACCGCAGCGCTAGGCGTCAATGGAGAAATCGTACCCCTGTTCGAAAGTTATGCATGCGTCAACATCTGGGATCGTGAATCTCGCACGAATATTTATTTTGAGAGCGGATGAACCGTTTGCTGAAAATAAATCCCAAAGTGAATCACGATGTCCAAATCGGTATGCGAACATTACTCTGCAATCAATTGTCCTTGTACAACGCTGACAATGACGAAAAGATAGCATACAAGCATTATATTCGAGCACTTTCTCGATGGCCAAAAGACAACTTGAGACCCGACTGCCAATTTCAAGATGTAATGCGAAAACGTCTAGACAGGAGATTCATCCCCGCCTCTTCACCCAATACTCCCAATGCTGCACAAGCAGTAGCGAATAGTGCCATAGATGAGAAGATGGAATTGGAGCAAGCAAACGCAATATATTCTTTGTTGGAGAATCGATATAGTCGGAAGGTACATCCACAAAGGAGGACTAAAGTCAAGACAATGTACTGACACAATATGAGCAATAGTACCCGATCGATGGCTCTTTGATGAGACCTGCGAGCAATCCGACTCACTTCGAGGACTTGATGAAGGAGCTTCAAGAAGCACCAGAGAGGAGTTGGTGGGGCAGCATGACGAACAGATGGAAAGGATTTCTACGATTTCAATGATTCACGAACTACAATATGTACTTTTACTGTACCCATACAAACACCGGCGTCCAGGCAGACAAATTGAAGAAGTGTAAAACAACTAGACTCTATTGGTCCCTATCTCTCAACTCCGAAACTCCATGCTGTATGCACCCATATCTCTATGCATATCCCAATCCCCAGCCCCAGAGCGATCATATGTACTTCTTCTCCGGATCCAACCTATCCATCAACTCAATACTCTTCTCATACATCGTGAATACAATCCCCCCACTAAGCATCAACCTCACCAACCTCGGCAACGCACCACTCCAGAACGTCAATATCCCCTCATTCTTCGCTATCAGCGCCGCACAAGCAAAGCTATTCTTGTAAAGATGCCTAGCCTCAATACTCTGCATCCGCGTCTTCACCGTATCCAGCGGTTGCGTCACATAAACCGTGATGAGTCCCGCAACACCCCCAATCCCAAACGTAGACAGCGTTCCTAGCTTTTCCCCCGGCGCAGTATACGATTGTGCCAACTGTCGAAGGAAAGTATAAGATCCGAATCTCGTAGCGGAATTAGCTGCCTGTCTCGCAGTCGTAGGCACAAAACCCTGGAAGAAACCGCGGAGTCCTCGTTCTCGAGCTATAATCGGAACCGCATGAAGAAACCCTCGCATTCGTGGCTTGCCCGATTTTCGGTCATCGATCCTATTCCCATTAGCCTTTCCCTTGTAGAAAATACTGAAACAAAAATCGTACAAAGTCGTCTTAATACTCTCAAACGGCGTAACAGCCAGTAACGACTCCGTAACCCCGGCCCCAAACCCAGCAATCACCGTCCTAGGCCCCGAGATCTTCCCATCCGCATCTTGCAACAGCGCTTTATACTGATCGAACGCCACGAATCCTGTGAACCCATTAGCCATCCATGCCCCCTCTAGTCCAGAGAGAGGCAGCTCGACATACGAATCCCAGCCTTCAGCGAATTCCCAATAATCAGCGTCGTGCAGCCCGCATACCACGCCTTCCCAAACGGCGGCCAGGGAAGCTTCGCCGAGTCCGCGAGGTTGCGGTTTAATTGCGTTCTGGTCTTTGCAACTATCGTTCGTTCATCAATCAGTATTTCCCTCTCCTCTAAATTCAAACTTCACTTTCCCCAAGGCCCCCTCTTCTGGAATAGGATGAACATACACTCAGCAGGATAAGTAATAGCTATCCCCATCAAATTAGCACTCATTCATTCATTCATCTATCCCATCACTCTCAAAACTAGGTAGGTAGAGGGGCAAGGGCAAAACGAACCAATTTCCACCGCACCAGCCGTACTCCCCGCAATAATGGATCTCAGAGCACTCGGCCTCTCTTTCTTCTTCTCCGAGGTTGCCATTGCGAGATGGGCGTTCTGCAAGGTGTGGATTTCCAGGAAGTGGGGAATGACCTTTTTGAAAGCTTTGGATTTTTGGGAGCTTGGAGGTGACGGGTGGAGGAGGCTGCTTTTGTGAGTCTGGAGGTGGGGTAAAAGCGGCGTGCAGAGGGGTGATGGATTTTAGTACTGTAGTGTGCTCATAGGAGGAAATTGATAGGCGAATTTACAGGTTGAAAAGTTGTATTGAGTGATTCACTTGAAGGTTGGAGGTATTCTTCGCCGTCAATTAATGCCATGTTATCTTTTGTATTTCTGATGTTTCTGGATGCAAATTCACAATATCTCACTCATTTTCACAGCAAGAAACTCGGCAATTATTATGGCAAAGCAATTTCCATTTTGATGCTTCTGAATCTGTACAGGACCCCTTCCTCGCAATGCAGCAAAAGCAATTATTTTTGTACATTTCATTGGGCGCCTCGGCTCCAATGGCTGCATAAACTGTGTGATTTGTCTTTCCCCTCAAAACGCCGATAAGTCTTACAGAACAATATTTTCACAACCCAAATCCAAAGTATATCTCGGAAATGCCTCATTGATTGAAGACCATAGGTGTGCTTCCTAGAACAGGAGCACTGGCCAATTGAGCCATACCACCGTAGTTACTAGGCATCGAAGCCATGGATCCCATCTTCTCTCTATCAAGTTTCTCTTGCTCCATACGAGCTCGATCGGCCTTGGTGATTCGGGGTTTTCGCGTAGTAGAACCGCCTCTAGAACCAGGTCCTGATAGTGGCAGGCCTTGTCTAGCTCTTGCTTCTTGAGCAGCAGTAGTGCCACCACGACCAGAAGATCGAGAAGATCCACCACGGCTGCCACGTCCACGGCCGCGCTTTGGAGGACCATCGCCTCTGTTTTATGTTAGTCAATGACTTGAAAAGGATGAGTGATTCCACATACCTGGATTCAAGTGCTGGCTTCTCACCCTCTGGTACAAGAGGGCCAGAATATACAAAGAAGCCATCATTGGCCGCAGCAGCTTGCTCCTCCCAAAGAAGCTCAGAATCGTCGACGAATCCATCATCCTTGTCATATTCATCCTCTTTCATCTTCCTCTTACGAGGGATCTTCTTCGCTCCACCGTCTGTACCCGTGCGACCATCGCTCATACCTCCCATCTCGATGTTGCTATTGTCACCTTCGCCCTCTGAATCGAGTGACATCTCGTCACCGCTATCTTTGTTTGAGCCATTTCGCTCCAAAGCAGCACCTGCAGCAGCAACTCTAGCAAGTCGGTCACGCTGAGCCGCAAGTCTAGGATGAAGAGCGTCCCAACCGTATTGTTCTTCGGCCAAGCGAGTGAAGTTGATGTACTTGTTGACCTCTCCATTCATTGGAATCTTAAGAATAACCGTAGGTGCACTATATTCTGTGCCATCATTTGGTCCACCGCCACCAATTTGCATAAGGCCAGAGCCAGGAAGCGGAGGTGGGGCTGGAAAGATATCACCCTTTGGCTCCTTGTGCTTGGGCGGTTTTGGTGAGGCAGCAGCCGATGAGGTGGCTGTACTTCCAGGACCAGGAGCCTTTTTGGAGATCGTTGATGGGCCAGGAGCAGATGCCATATGCTCAGAATTCTTGCGTTGCATCGATGCAGGGGTGGGTGGCTTAGAATGGCCATTCTCGATGGGTACCGCAGGAGCCAGTCTATTCACGGTAGGAGATGGTGGAACAGATGTGTGACCCTCATCTCGATGCAGTCTGGCCTGTTGCTGCTGGTTGAAGAATGACTGAGTTGCAATGGACGGCGACGCCAAAGCTTGGTTTGGAGGATCAACCAGACTGGAGATTGAAGGCGATGCACTGGCTCGATTCATCGAATGTGGATGACTCGGAGAACCTTGTGAGTTGCTGTAGGGGTTGTGACTAATAACCGTCTCGCGCACGGGATCGTAGTTCGATCGAATAGGATCATAGTTTTGACCGCTGGTACGCATGGTAGGCTGCTGCTGTTGTTGCTGCGGTTGGGATTGTTGGGGTTGGATTTGTTGTGGAGGTGGTGGCGGTGGTGCAGAATTGAAGAAAGACTGGATAGGTCTTTGGGTGGAGTTCGGAATGTCTTCATTTTTGCCTTTTTGGGACGTGGAGGCAGTTGCGACTGGGGAAGGAACATGAAAGTTCTGGCTCGCTTCGACGTAGGGTGGTTGGCGGGGTGGTCCTGGAGCCACCGCAGGTTGGATCTCGGCTGGCGTAGAATTTTCGAGACTTGCATTCTTTCTTCGTCTCACAGTCGGTGCATTTGGATCTCTGGGTTTGCGAGTTTTTCTGACTTTGGGGGCATCGGTGTTGGTTGCAGAGCTGTCTGCGTTGATTTTCGGCTTGTTGGCACCAAATCCGGGTTTCCTGCCGGGCTTCTTCCGAGGCGGCTTCTCTACCGAGTTTGGCAAACCTCCAGCCGGATTGACCGTGATGCTGCTGCTCATGGCATTATTGTTATTCTGGCCGGCATGAGAATCGTTGGCAAATTGCGCAGACGGTGATCCAGCCTCCGGACTTGATCGTGGCGGTGACGAAAGTCCACTGGCCGAGCTGCCTGGTGAAACTCCTCGAGCCCCGTCCTGGTTGCGAACCCGCTCAGAAGTCGCCATAATGACTTCAATTTCGATGGAGCTTCAGCATCCGATTTTCCCTGACGCGTATGGGAGAGACCTGCGAGAAGTATCGAATCGTGCAGTCGAAGCTGTACCTGCGTTGTGCTTGGGAGAGGTTGAAACGTGACGACAAACGGAGTGTCACCACGAGGTGTGAATAGCTTCAAAACTGACACGACGACGCGAAATTCGAAATCTGGCAGTAGTGGACAAGTCGAGGCAGGTAACGGGCCAAAGGCAGGGCGCACGAAAGCAGTCAATGTAACGGATTCTTATGCACGTAATTAGGGGTCGTGATCGATGGCGGGCCAGAAGATATCGATGAAGATATCGTTCTGCAGTATTGGGGAAGTGTGAGGTTGTTGGGTTAGAAAGAGGGAAGTGCGTGGAAGACGAAATATGGAGGGTGTTTGGGGCCTCATAAAAAAGATTGATGGACTGGCGGGATTGGCATTTTGGGACTACGGAAGACAAGCGACTAATAATTTCTACTACCTACATACGCCTGGGCAGAAGAGACGAGCAGCAGAAACGAGCACTGCTGCTGCTGCTGCGAGGGCAAGTGCTCGGAGCCGGGGGGAAGGAATGATCCATATGGGAAAGCAGGAGCAGGAGCAGGAGCAGGACAGGAGGACCTCATCAGGGCGAGGGTGAGTGAGCAGATGAGGTGAGTGACTGACTTGCAGCCAGCCAGCATGTGGCTACACTCTGATGTGGCTTTGGGGTGGGATGTGGATTGACCAGCTGTTTGACCAAGGGGCATGATGTCTGGGACAGATTATTGAGTGCCCGAGGAAAACCACTCGGGTCCAGGCAAAGAAAGGTAAGGGTGATGTGCATGCTGCTTTGCGGGAAAGGGTGAAAGGTAAAGGTTCGGCGATTCATGGGGCAGCGCAGGGTAGGCAGGCTGATGGCTGATGACAGCTTAGCTCTGGCCAGTGAGGGGACAGGAGGAGACTGCCGGAGAAATAATTAGAGCTGCAAGAAACTCTCAGCCTCGACTTATCGGCAATCTGCCATCATCCATGTCGTCTTGATCCCATGTCGCTCCCCAGGCACAAGAGTCGACAAAAAGACACTGCACAACTCTGCATCTCAATTGAATTACAAACAATCGTCAGTGAAATATGATTACAATATTTGCTCTTCAGGTTGCGTCTTTTTTTTGCAAACTGTAAAACGACAACTGCAAATGCTCAAAATCCATAGATAGAATGTGGAGCTTATGCGTATGCAAGGCTACGGCTACACTCGTCTAAAACATGGTCCGTGCGCTGACTAGCTCGCTGATGTCAACCTTAAATTTTTGAAAGGCCATCGCAGATCATCCGCAGTCATGGATTTGCGAGGACAACGATTTGAGCTGAATCTTTCAGACGACGAGGACAATGCGGGCCCAGGCTCTACTGCTCCGTCGTATGCGGTACCTCCTCTTATGTCGGCCTTCGTAGGCGACATCAAAGAGCGCTCGACAGCCCCTCCTACGGCACCCAAAATGAAGACCACTCCAACTGGCTTTCCTGAACATAAGAAGAGGACCAAGATATCTGCATTTAAGCAGCAAAGAGCTGGAGCTGGACCTGTACAGCCTGTACCGGCAGATCCCAGCCGTCCTTCTGCTCCTAGGCCGCAGGCGCCTCAGCCAGCTAACGCCTCTTCACTAATACAGGACAACTCCAGTTTTGACGAGAGCGAGAGACGGCGGATCGACGAAGAAAATAATCAAAGGCTGGCAGCAATGTCGACTGCAGAGATAGAACAGGAGAGGGCAGAGCTTCTGGCAGGATTGGATCCATCTTTGATCGAGAGATTACTAAAGCGAGCAAACCTGGATGAAGGTCGTGGCGATACTGGACTCTACCCACCAAGTGAAAATACTGCCAAGACCGAAGACATATCGGAAAAAGCTGCAATTTCACAAGATGGGGTACCGACACCAACACCTACTGCAAAGCGGATTGTGGCATCAAAGTCGGTCACTTTCGAAGACGACAAGGAGCCTGCCACGCCTATTGACCTGAAGCCTGCATCCGAACCTCTATCTTCGGTTCCCGATCAACCATCTATACACTTCCCATCTGCTCCAGCAGCTCCAGAATTAGATCCCTCAGACCCATCCTTCCTCGAAAATCTTCATACCAAATACTTCCCAAATCTACCTGCAGATCCCTCAAAGCTTGCATGGATGGCACCCATACCCACACATGGATCTGTAGCAGATCAAGAATCCCCATACTATCCCAATAGTGAGGGTCTGTCTGCTTCAGCTCTCAGATTTGATTTCAGAGGTGGTTTATTGCCTCCTCGGATATCGAGAGCCATGCCAAGTACAAAAGGCCTACATCATCACGGCGAAGCTCCAGAAGCTGCAGGGTATACGGTCCCAGAACTAGCGAGACTGGCACGCTCGGCTTTTCCAGCACAGAGATGCGTCGCGTTTCAGACTTTGGGCAGGTTACTATATCGATTAGGAAGAGGGGAATGGGGAGATGCAGATAGTGAGATTACGAAGGGTTTGTGGCAATGTGTACAAGGGGGCAAAGTTATCGAGACTTTGGAAGAGGCCGCTGGTGCTGAAGGTGGTCATCAAGGTAGTAAAGTGTACGCTATTGAGGCTGTGTGGCTGTGGCAGAAGGGAGGAGGGCAGGTATGGAAAGCTGCGTGAGTTGACTGGGATGAAATTTACGAGCAATGATTTCATGATAATGGAAGATTTTTCAAAAGTTTGCTTGTGCTCTATTTCCGCTGAAACTTGAGGCTCGGTCTTCCCCGCCAGTGCAGGAGGAAGTCAACTCTTGAGGGTCGAGGATGTAAGACATGTAAGTTTTGCAAACTTATTAGTTCTGATTGAAGTCGAATGCCTGAACCAGCCCAGAAGTGAATACCTTCTATCTATCGATCTCAAGCGAGCAAGAAAAACCACAACAAAAAACCTCATCTCAAAAACAAGTCTGTAAAGAAATTTTTTTTTAAAAAAACCAAGAACGAGAACAGCAAAACTCTTTCCGGCCGACCTGCTGGGTTTTCCCGCAGCCGAAGGGGGCCAGTGAGCAAACGTAATTTAATACGTCTTTGGGACTCGAGGAACTTTAAAGTCTTACCGGACTCCGAGGGAGAAAATGCTTATTTGAGTCTATATGATGGTTTCGCTTCGTGGCGTTCTGATTGGTTGGCTGGTTAGCTGGTTGCAGGTTAAGGTGAGGTGAATTTGTTGTTGAAAAATCGACGCGTTAGTTTTGAGTCGTTGAGTGGTGTTTTTGTTTTTGTCTTTGTGGTTTCGATGCTTTTTTGAGTCATTATTCAGTTTAGAGGGGGTATAGTGAGGATGTCGCTTGTAAATTCGGGGAGGACGTTCCTTGAAGGACTAGATGGGCACTATTAATTGTTGACATGGCATTCCGATGTTAAAAGTACGGGCTTGAGTGAATTCATGGCTGGTGTTCAGTTGGTATTTTTTGTATTCAAACTTTTTCGGCGGTCTTGATTCATAACTCATGCATTTCTCTCACCTTTGGAAAATTGAGAGTCATTTAGTGCAGTGTGATTGAACAGATGTGATTGATCTTGGAAATGTTCCTCTCACGGTGGTCCCAGAAGGGTTAGTTAAGATTGAAGAGTTTTGATTTGGAGTAACGTCTCGCGAGTAATGTCATAAGATGAGCTGCCTATGCTAATGATCTTCCTTCACGGCACATCGCCCTTGTATGAACAAGCTGCACCTTTCTCGTGAGTATGAAATGTACATTTGGCCAGTCTTCGAGGGTCAACCCTGCTTCCACCATACTGCAATAGATCGCGTACAAGGGTCAATGCATCTCTGCATAGGTCCTGACTTGCGTTCATAGCCTCAGACAGCTCTTCGATGTTCCAATCCCCGTTAGAGTTCGGGTCCGAATAGAGTGCGTAGAAAAAGCACCGGGCAACGAATTTGCGAAGCTTAGAGTCCGGGTCTGAAGACTTGTATGCAGAGAGCATGGTTGATGTCAACAGGATGCGGCCGTCCCTGTCTAGATTGGATATGATAGAGGAAATGGTGTAATCCATTAGATCCGGCTGACAGATCTTCTCTGCCAGACAGTACACCTTGACACGAAGTCCGTCTTTACCGTCCGCCTTATCGCTTGTTCGAAAATTTTCAATGTAAAGCCATTCAAGAAAGAGGTGGAAGGCTTCCGGGCTATCCTCCGGTAGATATGCTTTGCGCTCGACGGCTTCCTTGAATCCGCTAGAAAACATCTTCTGAAAGTACGCGACTTTCTTGGGCAATATTTTGAGATGAACTCTGAATAGCTCTTGTTCGGGTCCGACGAGAATGTCCACCATCTCTATTCCGAGTTCACTGCTTAAAATTAGTAACGCTGATTGTCAAGCTGTGGGACATTGTATGCTTACTGGCCGAACTCGGATGCGTTTTCGGTGCCAGTCATTCTCTGTGAAAGACTTTGATTAGAATCGATCTTTACCCAAAGGACTATATAGTTGCACTTGCAGGAAAGACCTTGAAGTTCAAAATATGTGAAGGTATTGGCTGAAGGGTGGATGTCTTTGGAAGAACTCGAAGGCTGGAGGAAGCTTTTATAGCAAGAACATTAGAGTGAATCAGAAGCTTCGAGCTAAGAAGTGCACGAATAAATACGAACTCGTTTTTGGATCATAGTGATTGTTTTATAACGAGCTAGACATAGATAGGATCAGTATATTGTACGATATCAAGCCAAATGTTCATTCAGACGCAATGATCCACCTCGCATCTGATGTTCACTCCCACGCGAGTCAAATCCAAACATCAATTAAGGAAATAATCGAAGCCTACACAGGGAGATAACTGTTGAGAATGAGAATTGTAAACATTTAGAGAAAAGCTCGCACAAGACCTATGCTCTGCTATTGAAACAGCACAATATCCCACACCTTGAAAGGCGCAAAGCCGCATAAACACCTTCTCTATAACCCGACCTGATTTAAGACCACCTCACAGAAAGCTCTAAAACTCCAAGAAGCTCTCAATGATTTCTCTAACCTCTAACCCCACACCTCAACCAAAACTCAAACCTACCTACGTAGCCACCCCTCGCTTCACGACCCCTAAGCGAACCTTTCCCACCAACTATCCATATAGTTTTAAATAAGCAAAAGTTCTATCACAGCCCATCTCAGCATTCCACTTAGGTCAGTGGTTCAGGTCAAGAGTGGGTTAAGAGGTGGAAAAAGGGAATAAAATCGCCTGGCCCGCATACGAACGAACGAATCGCGACTTTAAAAACTGCAATCGACACCGAGCAAGTTTTCTACGATCTCCCCATCTCGAGATGGTGAGGTCCGAGTTTTTGCTTCTTGAAACTTTTTTTCCACAGATGATGCTTACTTTAATAGCTGGTTTTGAATTGTATGCTTTTGTTACTTTTTTGCGGTTTGTTTACATCGCTAAGCGAAAATTTCAAGGGGTTCACTCGAACTCAAAGCGAACATTAAGCAAAGCACAAAGAATCACGACGAGAAATCATCAGCAGAGTTCAAAATGCAAAATCATTTTCGCATTGAGAGATAATCACACATCTATAGCACAAGCTCCCATTGCTCCCATCCGTATTGCTAACCTCCATGCACAAGAATTCGAAAACGACCCGTCGCCATGCCTTTCATGTTTATCTTTCAAAAATGCATACCAGAAGGATATCATTTCCGCTTCGCCCGATGATCAAATGCATGACATGCCTGCAGTCTCGTAATTCAAAGCTAGTAATCATTCATAAAAACAGGGAGCCGCTCCCGTACATCATAGAAATACAACCCATCGTGCATCACAGGTTAACCCCATTGTCGCCCATTCGCATCAAGAGGAGCTCCTGCTGGTTGGTTATCGAGCCATTCAGGATCGTCCCATGACCCGCCAATAGTATTTGAGACTGGCTTAGGCCTTAAAGGTCTCGGATTCGCACGCTCAATATGCTCGACATCCCCTGTAGGAAAGTCTGCTCCATTGACCATGTTAATGTCACTTCGTGTTTCCGTCAGGTCGGTCATCTGGATCTCCTGGACATCTCTGCATACAGCGTCGACCAGGTCCTGCTTGTCTGAACTACGGACGTAGACCAGATAGTAGGGTGTGCCTCCTGCAGCTCCACCTTGCTGATCGAAAATTCGTCTTCTATCCTTGACCTCGGTGACGTATTCATCGTTATACTCTCGCCAGATGTCATGTTCGAAGTCGTAGATATAGACCCAGTAATGACCACCTCCAGCCTCACCACGATGGATGAAGACTGAGTGCAGTTTGTATTCGTACTGTCGCATGTCTGTGAACTGATCACGAAGACTCTGCTTGAGTGCTTGGATCTGGCCACTGATGTTCTCAAGTTCTGCGGTAACTTCAGACAATCGCTCGTCCAGTAACTCGGGAAGGGAAGGAAATATCTCAATATCCTCAACCTCCGCTTCTTGAAGAGTGTTGACAAGGTCTTTGGTGGCAAGTAAAGCCTCTGGAATGGGGATCTCATCTGCGGCATTCTTTAAAGCCTCCTGCCTAGCTTCAAGTTTTCGTAATTTCTCCTTCCATCTCCATGTTTCTCTTCGTCGCTTCATGACCATAGAGTTTGGATCGCCAGTATCGACGTACCTGTCCAGATAGATTGTTTCTGGAAAGGTTACTGCAGTCCGGTTCTTTGATGATCGTTGCGAGTCTTTGTCGTAATCGGTGCGCTGGATCTGGATCTGCAGAACAGGTGGCAGCTTACTGATGCACGAATATTGAGGACAAACGGTGTTGTCAACCTCAACTCTCTGCTCGTCGAAAACGACGTCAATAGCCTCGTATATATCCCGGATAACACCTTTGCCTGGGTACACGATGATTGTTGGCCAAGCTTCGACTTTCTTCTCCAGACTCTGAGCCTTTTGGGTATAGGTTGTGCTGGAACCAAAGAAGGTATCTCTGATGATATCAATCTGTTCACCTGAGTCTTCCTCGATGCTCGTCGGCTTGATTGCACACTGCATGCGGAAAGTAACATTTCCTATGACTTCGGTGACATCTTGTTGGGTACCAAATCTCCATAAATCATCATCAGGTATAAGATCTTTGCTTTCGGTTGTTGATATAACCAGACCAGATTTGTTACGGGGAGGAATCGGAGGTGGCTTTTCAGGGGCCGTCATAGTTTGTGGGCTTTCAACAGGCGAGGTTTCACCGTTGACCATTACAGCGTCCCCTTCTAGCTCTGCTAAATCCGCAGTGTGGTTCGTACTTTGGTTCTTCTTTTCGTCAGATAACGTGTTCTTGTCCTTGTTGTCGCCCGCGACTTCGTCGTAGCTTGGCAGTTGATCCATGTCAACGAGAGTTGCTTCGCTGCTGTCGTCGGACGCCTCATTTTGCTTCTCGCCAGGACGATCAACCATTTCGATATCATCTTCGGCTGTCATTGAAGATGTTTGGGATGCTTCTCTTGGAGGAGGCCATTGCGGACCGATGATAGGACTATCCATGTTCATGATCGAGTCGATATTTGGAGGACCAGATGGACTACTGATCGAGGCTCGACGGAAATTGGCCTCGGTTAATGAGCTGAATATTGTCAACTCGGCCAGTTCTCTCGTTGGCTTGACGGATCTTGAGGATGCTGTCTTGAGATTCTCGAACAGGTTATGTAGTTCGGCGACAACTACATCATTAGCGAATATACATCAGTATCTGACTCGAGCACTTACACTTCTGAGCTTTCTCAATCTCTGACTTGGCAACAATGCGTCCTCCAACCCTCTTGTTCTTGATGTTTTCCACTGTCAGCGGCATTCGATAATTTTCGAAGTCAATGACCATATCTCTGACAGGTTTGACAGTATAGTAGTACTGGAGCAAACTGTTCAGATAACAGGTATTGCCAATATTGTCAAGACCGACGGGTTCGGCTGTGCTGGCTTGGACATCGGCATTCGGGTCCTCAATCTTTCGTAGCAGAAAGTCACTTGATCGCTCTAAAGCAATGGTTCGTAATGCCTGGGTGTAGCTATCTTTTGAACCCGGCGCGCATGCACCTTGTGTGAGACTTTGATAATAGGCGAAGATCGTCTCGTCTGGCACAGTCCTGTTGTTGATCTGAAGTCGACTGTACGCATCACCGATGTCCAGATCAGACCCAACACCTCCATTCTCCATTTGGGCTGCAGCTCTTGACAGAGTGAAGTCGCCGCCGCGGTGTTTCGCAATGACTTGAAGTGCCTTGGCCACTCTCGATTTATCCCCATCAAGAGACTGTGGTCACAAGTTAGTTTGAAAAACAATGAACAAATTTAATGCAGAACGATTTACAGACGCAACAAGAGGCGCAATAATGCGATTTAAACTGAATAAGACGCGTACGCCAGCTTCAATTCGAAAGTGAAATAAAATCACAAAAGTACTCACCACTGCCACAGCGGCTGCTTCGATGCTGTCTGATGCTGTCTCCTTATTGACATTTAGAAAGTCAAGAGCTTCCTCGAAAGACATTGTTCTGTCGTTGGCAAGCGCTTCGATCTTTTCACTATCTCTATGCTTAGCAATGACGAGAAGACATTGCCGAGCTTCATCTTTTTGTCGTGGCGCTGATTCGATTCGAGATTTATACAGTCCCATGATATGGTCATCTCCCTCCCGAGTATCTGCGTCGAGACCGAAGAACTTATATGAACTTTCGATGGTTTTCAGGCCATATTCATTTGCGGACTCAGCCATGACTACTCTCATCTGAAGGTCAGAGCTATCGCGACCTTTGGCAATATCGGTCAGACAGTCCAAGTAGTAGGGCTTATTGAAAGGATCGCACTGCCGTTGTCGATCATAAGCCCATTCTAAGAAGGTATCCGTAAAGCAGTCAACCGCTCCCAAGCTCTGGTAGTGCGGATGTTCTTCTGCGGAAAGATCGACTGTCCTTGATCTCTTTGGATAGTCGTAATAGCCAAGACTTCGTTCAATATCCTTCAACGCAGGCAAGGGTTGGATGGCTTGATATCTGGTGATATTGGATGCTTGTTTCTCGGATTGTGGTCTTCCTTGAAGTATCATATCAAGTTCAATGACAACGTCTTCAAGGAAGTGGCGATTCGAGTCTGTGATGGTGGGAAGTTGCCAGAAGTATGCAGCTTCCTCCTTGAAAAATAAAGTTAGTAAGGATGTCCAGGTGAATCCAAGAAGTTTGAAACTGAACGACTTACCCCCGGTTCGGCACCTGGCTCTTCTATTGGTCTGAAATCGAGATAGTTGAATAGCGCGTCACATTCGTCCGCAAAGGCAAGCATATATTTTTTGTTTCGCCGCGCGATTTTCTTCACTTCACCGGTATCTCTTGTTGTCTTTGCATCGCTGAGATACTGTCGAAGGTATCCGATTGCTGAAGAAGGTGTCACTGGTGTCTGTCCGGCGTATCTCTCAGGCTGATTCTTGATTTCTCTTTGCCCTCGCGTGTAGACGATGGCGGGGTCCATGATCGAAGCTGTCACATTCTTAGGCAATCTAGGAGGCGAGACTCGGATTTCCAAAACAGCTGGACACTTCGAACCAGTACAAACGAATCTATGAGCCTCAGTGAGGAGATCATATTTGTTTGGGCCATGCTTCTCCTTGTACTCCCTGCCATCGATCGACTCCACCAAACGGAAGTGGTGCAAAGGATTCTCTGGGTCTAACAAATGGCAGGGTTCTTGCCCGCTTCTGCGTTGGTACAAATCTATCGAGACCTTGAAATGATACCGGCATCGTGTGCAGTATGTTGACACCACCCACTGCGTTGTTCTGTCCGGCTGTTGATCATTGGAAATCGGAGCGTTCGTTTGGGCCTCTTTCTTGCAGAGACTATGATGACAAGCCCTCAAATCTTTTCGCAAGTATAGTTGACCTTCTCTAAATACTGGAGGGAAATCTGCGAGTACGTTCCATCCTCCTTTCACGGGATATCTGGGGTCATAGTCCAGGAGATCGATGATCAAACGCGGGGCCGTCTTTCCTGGAATCGCAGTGGCGGTTAGCTTGTTTGCGAAAAGGGAGTATCACGATGCAAGGGGAGAGATATATGATGAGAACGAACCTGGACCCAAAGGGATCTCGCGGTCATCCATTACAGCTTTCTCGACGACATCAAAGGCCCAGAGATCACTTCCGCCGTCTTCCGTCCTTCAGGATTGCTCAGCGCCTCCACGACTCGTGGCGCAATTTACCACCTGGACGATCTTGTCAAGCACAGCGCAAGTATTCCTCTTTTGTGGTATCGGGATTATGGCGGTAAATGTGTGATTATGATGTTCAGCGATGGAGTATTGAGGAAGCTTAGCTTCAAGACTCGCGTGTAACAAGGGTCGTCAAGTTACCAACTACACATGAATCAGAGGAGAGATTTATGGGGCACAAGAAGACGTGGCACTAGTAAAACAGAATACATGAATATGATCGTTGCAGATGTAATATATTGCATGTGAGCATACGTAACTTGTATTTCCTCTGCCTAATATTTCAGAGCTTCCAAGAGTCAGTTGTACAAAATGCCCAGAACAATTTAGGCTTGCTCTAGAAGGCAAGTTCCGTCTTCCGCGCCCGAGCTTCGACCTCAAAGCACACTTCAAAGTCAACGACGGCGGTACCATACAAAGCAATTCCAGCCGCTACACATTTCAACATGGCATCAGGTGATGATCAATACCATCCAAAAGATGCCGTCAAGGCGGCCATTAGTGGCACAATGATTACTGGAGCTGCCGGAGGCCTGGTCTCAGCGATACAAAACACTTTGACGAAGAGGAACGTGAATGCGTGGGGAGTCTTTACGAAGACAGGAGGCACGATTGCGGTATTTGGTATGATCTGCTGGGCTGGAAAAGGGCTATCGCAGCTGGGCTGACGACGATTTAGCTGCCGTCGGAGGAACATACGAGTTCACACGATTCGCATCTGCCAATCTGCGAGAACGAGACGATAGCTTGAACACAGCGATCGGCGGCTTCCTGGCTGGTTCTGTGCTGGGATTAAGATGTGAGTTGGAATTTACACAAGATTCTAGAATTTTGGAAGCTAATCGAGTTGCGTAGTTGGCTCTACACCGGCTGTCCTCGGATTCGGTGCCCTCACAGCTGTTGTACTAGGGGCTTATGATTATACTGGTGGAGCTCTGTCCGGTTTCAAGAAAAACAACGAGATAGACGAGTTCGAGCGGAAACAAGAGTTGAGGATGAATCGTCGCCGGCCAATTGAGCAGACGATCTCTGAGCTGGGGGAGGGAAGAGGTAATATTAACAGAACGGAGAATGAAGTGCTTGACTGACATCTATCATAGGCATATACGGTCCAGGCTACGAAGAAAGAAGACGAGAGAGAATCAAAGAGAAGTACGGAATAGAAGTTCCAGCAAAGTCATAGACATTTCCATCACATTCGGGTTTCCGAGGACGGCTTTGCCGGTGTACATATGACCACGACTCTCAATCAATTCCGATTGTGTTATTAGGATTGGAGATGCTGAATCATGGCGCATAATTCATGAAAGTCTATTCGGACTTTAACGAACAAAGTCCTTCGAGAGGACGGACAAGAATTTCCCGATTTCTGATGGACTAAAGACAAGCCGAAGTACACCTACAACCATTGCAAGCGCATTTGGTAGCGTGAGACCCCAGCATAAGCTCGGTTTGTCTGATCTTCAATTTAGTGTTCACTCCTGCTGCTACCATCGACAAAAATGAACCTCCTCTGATATCAAACACATCTATTGGCTCTTTCTGCATCTCTACAAGAACGAATGCATTTCGATCATCTTGTTTGCAAGGTGCCGCAACGTTGTAGAGTATCATTTTAGCAATCATGAGTGAAGGATCGAATCATTGGGAAGGAGCTCTAAAATTCAGCACTTGCAAGACGTTGCTTTGCTGACCTATAGATAAATCCCCTTACTCGAGAACAGTAAAGCTCGTTGGCTCTTCCTGGGTGGCCTGCGACGAAGTTATATGTTTGGGATGTTTGGGTCATCCAATCTACGTGCTTGCTTAAAAGTGTTGATGGCATCCGAGAGTCATATCTCAGCTTTCAGAGTTTGTAGATGCGTATGATATTCACACAGCTCAATGCTTCTGTTGTCCAACGGATTAGTGAATCATTCCTTCCCATCCAACAGTCACCTTCGCCCTCATCTTTATGTTTGTCACGTGCAAAGCTTCTGAAGTGTCATAAATGTTTTCTTTTGGTAGGAAGGCGCGGCCCCGCCACACTACCCCGCGTCATGTCGCTGTTTCGTACATAATATCTTCACACTCGATTTGTGGAGCGTTCCAGCAATCACAACCACGGCCATTATCTCTCCCACTCGAATAAACTGCTGTCGACGATCTCTATTTAACACTCGCCGCTCACAGATAAGCTTCACGCAGAACGCCACAGGATTCTCTTGGTCTCCGGCATATTTTACTGATCGTCAGTCAGCTCCATTCTGCCGACACTATCCCCAGCTTTTTCATTGATCTGATCTGGAAGTCCCTTGAACGACTGTGCATTGATCGTTTTTCCCCACGAAGCCGCTGACGCCATCGTGCACCTGAGAAACACCGCCATCCACTGCCTTTCGCCTGGACATAAAGCCAACATTCTGATTAATCGTACTCTCTTCTTCTCTTTCACAATGGGAGACAAGGACAAAATGGAGAATCCCGTGACGAACTACCACCAGAGCGCAATATCGGACTCTCAGATCAAGGATCGCTTCTACCGATATTTCCAGCAGGAATGTACTGAACTGCAAGAGCAGATTGTCCGCCTTGAAAATTACAGTTTCGTTGGAGGAGAAAAGCAAGATGCCATTGATCACGTCCTTTCTGGAATCAGCAGACTTGCGAATGATGTCTCGGACTCGTCAGCATTTGTACCAGCATATGACCAGCGAATTTATGCTCAGGCAAGTCTCCCAAAAGTCAGAACTTATACTCGCCACTGACATGTGCCAGGCCATCAAAGCTCTAGAGGAGAAACTACAAGAAGCCAGAGCCAAGTTCGCACCTAGGTCTAGATTTCAGTTCAAGAACAAGAATACCTCTGCTATCTCAATCAATGATGCAGCGGAACTTGCTGCCCAGCAGCGACTTAATGCATCAGGACTTAGGCCTGGATTCGCGTCTTCTACCGAGTCTTCCATGGCTACCACCCCCGCAAACTTGATGACCCCTCCAGGTGAAAGAGATTCCAAGGATACACTCGGTGACCTTCCGTCGTTTCCAAAGAATTACAATGAAGAGATGTCCAGAGGCATGCCAGGACCGATACGAAAACCAAGTTTCTCCCAGGCTACTAATGTCAACATCACAGGTCATACCGGTCTCCACATCATCCTTCCCTCCTCTGCCTCTCGTGCTACTGCTTCCGGTTCCTTGACTAAGCTCAGCAGATGCATAGTTGACATGTCTGTACCAACAGCTACTAAAGCCCCGTTCGCTGGTCTTGCACTGAACAATATCAAGAATTCCTTGATAATTGCGGGACATGTTGCCGGAGCTGCTCACATCACTGGAGTTGAGAATAGTATTATTGTCGTGGCTTCTAGACAGGTTCGAATGCACGAGTGCAAGAACGTGGATATCTACCTTCACTGTGCGAGCCGTCCTATCATTGAGGATTGCAGTAACGTTCGCTTCTCTCCAATCCCTGAGAACTATGTAGGTTTTCGAGCGAGAAGACCAATGACCTGTATGCTGACAATAGTACTCAGATGACCGCATCAGAAGAGCCAGTCCAAAACCACTGGGATCAGGTTGATGACTTCAAGTGGCTCAAAGCTGAGCATAGCCCAAACTGGAGTATTCTACCGGAAGAGAAAAGAATCAATTCCGATACTTGGACAAAGGATGTTCCTGGTGGACCAGGAGTTGGACTCGAGGACATTTTCAAGACAGTCGGGCTAACTGGACGTTGATAGCACACGGTTGAGCATAGAATCAGAAGGACTGGACAATAGGCTCCGTAGATGATATTTGCTCTCCGTCTATAGCTTGGCAACATAGCGAGGGAGTTGAGGTCTTCTGATTGTTATTGGTTTGGGAAAAGGGGTATCAATTTGTAATATCTAATTCCGCGTGGCCTTTGCTCACCGTGCCCGCGGGCGGGTAGAAACACTTTTGGCCTCTAGCTGTCGTGTGAAGTACGACTTCATCGTATGCGCTTAGATGCTACCACTCAACGCCATCGCTATGATACTGCCAGAGCTGGTCTCCAACTTTGTGGCAATGTTGATCCTCTTGTGGTCTGTCCAGATATTCTTGCTTCATCAAATGTCTTCAGTCTTCTCCAGTCTCCATCAAATCTGCCCCGCCCTCCTTTTCCTTCTGTTCTCTCTCCCTCTTGATAGCTGAACCCACTTCCTTCAAATGTACCAACGCTGCCCTCTGCTTCTTTATCTTCTCCTCCAACTCCCTCATTTCTTGCTCCTGCTCCGCAATACTCCTCTCCATATCAGGCAGCTGTTTCACTTGCGCCCTCGCCTTCTGTAACCTGGACTTGATCCCATCCGCCGCAATGGGTATTTGATTCACCGTGAGCGGCCCCGTCCCATTCTCCAGATCCTTCACCAGCTTGGGAGTAGCAGCCGCTGGTGGAGAACCTGCTGTCGAAGCTGGAACATTCGCATTCTGCGGAGGCTGTAATCGCGCGAGGATTGCGCTCAGGACGGGGATGGTATCGAGACAATCTGGAGAGAGACCATCTGGGAGATTGGTTAGAGAAGGAGGTTGCGAGGTGGGAGAGGTAGCCATAGTTTCTTTCGAAATCAGCTGTTGGAATACTGCAGAGCGCGAGATGGACACGGTCCGATTAATGGAGACGTGATTCGTAAAGTCGATGTTCCTGGCTTGAGTGGTGAATTGGGAGTGTTGATTGGTGAACACTAAGCGTTGTTCACTTATCGGCGGCGAGTTTTTCTGTTGGAGGGGTCCGAAAAACAAAAGACACCCCACTACGTAGCTCCCTCTCTCACTTGTCTCAACAACAACCTCGAAGAAATCCCTCAGAAAAATTCTTCTCCGACATATAAACCTCTTTACTCTGGTTAGTATTCTCTGATTTAAATTTTAATCCTTTATGGTTTGATTACAGGACACCTAACATTGCTCATATAGCCTGTACGAAACATTCGCTCGCCAAAATGGTCAAGGTCGACAATAAGGCAGTGCTGAGTACGTTCTCCTGATCTCACCACGTATCCTCAACAACCTTTCCTATGTATATATCGACTTGTCCCTCCCTGTGAATCTGCACAGCAGATCCGCAATGGCTTCTCCTGCTCATACACCATCCAAGGCCAGGCCAATTGTTTACGAGGAACAAACGGTCAAGCCAAAGCGCGATTATATCCTCGCTCTGCTATACTGTCTCATGTACCTGGAGGTATCTTGGCTAATAGTTATGATTTGGCGCAGTTGTTATTGACGGCTGGGGAATTCCCAGCGAGACTTCTCCTAAGGCTGGGGATGCTATTGCTGCCGCCGAGACACCGGTGATGGACGCTTTCCAGAAGAACGCTGATGGTTACACCGAACTCGAGGCCTCTTCATTGGCTGTTGGTCTTCCTGAGGGATTGATGGGGAACTCAGAAGTCGGACACTTGAACATTGGTGCTGGACGTGTTGTTTGGCAGGATGTCGTCCGTATTGATCAGACGATCAAGAAGGGAGAGCTCAACAAGAATGATGTTATCATGAAGACATTCAAGGCTGCCAAGGAGGGTACCGGACGTCTTCACTTGTGTGGGTTGATCTCGGATGGTGGTGTGGTATGTTAACTCCTGCAAAGCGTTGTGGGTTTGTAGCTAATGTACGAATAGCACGCTAAGCAAGATCATCTCTATGCTCTCCTGAAGGTCGCTAAGGAGCTTGAGATTCCTCACGTCTATATCCACTTCTTCGGTGATGGACGAGATACTGATCCAAAATCCGGAGCTGGCTATATGGAGGATCTCTTGAAGAAGATCAAGGAGATTGGCACGGGTGAAATGGCAACCGTCGTTGGTCGATACTATGCGATGGATCGTGATAAGCGTTGGGAAAGAATCGAGGTCGGTCTCAATGCTTTGTGTGTTGGTGACGGAGAGGAGAGTAGCGATCCAGTGGCTACCATTAAGGAAAGATATGGAAAAGGTGAAAACGACGAGTTCTTGAAACCAATTATTGTTGGCGGCAAGGAAGCCCGTATTCACGGTAAGCAATCACACTTTGGTATCTGTCTTAATACTAATTGCTGGTAGATAACGACCAAGTCTTCTTCTTCAACTACCGATCCGATCGTGTCCGAGAAATCACTCAACTCCTTGGTGATGTTGACCGCTCGCCATTGGAGGACTTCCCCTACCCAAAGAACATCACTCTCACCACCATGACTCAATACAAGCTCGACTACCCCTTCGAGATTGCATTCAAGCCCCAACACATGGGTAACGTGCTCGCGGAAACTCTCGGCACCCAAGGCGTTAACCAAGTTCACGTCGCCGAAACCGAAAAATACGCCCATGTCACCTTCTTCTTCAACGGAGGAGTTGAGAAAGTCTTCCCTCTCGAGACTAGAGATGAAAGCCAAGATCTCGTCCCATCTAACAAAGAGGTCGCAACTTATGACAAGGCTCCTGAGATGAGCGCCATGGGCGTCGCTAAGCAAATGTGCAAGCGTATCTCAGAAGGCAAATTTGAGTTTGTTATGAACAACTTTGCTCCTCCCGACATGGTTGGACACACCGGTGTTTATGAGGCTGCTATTGTCGGTGTTGCCACCACTGACAAGGCTATCGGTGAAATCTATGAGTGCTGTAAGAAGGAGGGCTATGTTCTCTTCATTACATCTGATCACGGGTATGCCCCTTTCCTCCTCTCACCACTCCATTCGCCATCTCCTAAAAGGTAAGCTGAACTAATAATTTCTAGTAACGCCGAAGAAATGAAATTCGAAGACGGCAAACCAAAGACCTCGCACACAACCAACAAAGTCCCATTCATCATGGCCAACGCCCCCAAAGGCTGGTCATTGAAGAAGACCGACGGAGTCCTTGGTGACGTCGCTCCCACGATTTTGGAAGCTATGGGTCTCAAGCAACCCGAGGAAATGACGGGCCAGAGCCTGCTTGTGAAGAGTTAGATTGCCACCCATTGATTGCATTTTGACGTCTTGGCTTGTTTTTGATTGCGATGCGTGCGTGCGAGTTGATAGAATAAGAACCATGATGGCTAAAGAGTTCACTTGGCAGGTAAAAAGCGAGCGCATGAAGAGTAAATATGACTATGATGATGATGACGGTTGGTATTGGCATGGCATGAGACATGGAGTGTTGGGAGCGAGGTGTGGGGTGATGGGTAAATGATCCAGGTTTCATCCTATTACCAAGAGAGAAACAAAGCAACAAGAATAGAAGATAGACTTGTATAGACATGAATATACAATGGCTTTTCTTCAAAAGGAATCACTGTGGGACTGGACATGTTGAATTTGAACTCGCTCGCTTGCATTCACTCGACTGTCTACTCGACAACGACAGCTACAACAACTAACACTTAAGTAATCGTAATATACGTACGTGACCATCACCCCTTTTCTTCCTCGTTCCTCCTCATCTCGTCTCTCGCAGCTGCTCTGCTCTCGTAGCAACTCCTTTCTTGAACTTAAAACGCACTTCCTCCAGCCTGGTATTTTCCGGATATCTTACTTGTCCAATCCAACGAATGACATGAGCATAAAAAGCATGAGTGCCGCAGAACGCCTCCCGCCAATTCCATCCCAACCTCCACTCCCTAAACCATCCGTCCTTTTCTTTCGTTTTCCCTCCATCAAAGAGCCGAGCCAAGTAAGTGTGCTGATCATGCTTATTATGATCCTCCGCGTGCATCATTATGCCCTTCTCATTTTGCTCTCAACACCCACTTGACTCGGCGTCCTCATTTCTCTGATCATTATCCCGACCCCGGGACATTAGAAGCCTCACATCGCCTTCCCAACTCCACCCTTAGAACTCGTCCTACTCAGCGGACTCACATTATTTTTGTCTCGACTCTGATCCCAATTCTCCGCCACTGGCTGCTGCTCACCAAAATACCCTCGTGCCGCAGCGCTAAAATCCTGACTCCCGTTCGAACTAGCGTTCCCTCTCAAGCTCGAACTCCCGCTGCCAGGGCCGAGATCAGGTCCCGGGTCGCCCCATTCTCCGAGCGAGACGCCGCTGCTGTATTTACTCAGATACGAGGTCGTGCTGATAGCTCGCGAATTGGTGCCTGTTCCCTGGCCTACCATGTCCGGTTTTGTGTTCAGGGCAGCTGGGTACATGGCTGTGCTGTTCGTGTCTTTCGGTCTCCATAGCTCAGGACGCTCGAGGTCGAAGGGGTCGGAGCGACCTTTTCCTTTTCGGGCGTTGGCTGAGAAGGAGGAGAAGACTGTGTCGCGGTATGAATCTCGGCTGGGAGCGAGAGACGATGGGTAGCGGGATCCGACGGCGGTAGAGGGTGGTCGGTACATGGATGTTGGTTTGTTCGAGGTAGTGTTGTCCACGGATTGGCCGCGGGACCGTCGGATGTCGGTGATATAGGTGTTTGCCTTTGGAATGGTGGCTCCGGGTCTGGTGGGAGGGTCCGCAAATGGATTGGAGCGGTTTGATACTGGGTCCGCAAATGGATTGCTGGCTGGATTGGTGGATGGTGGTGGTCGCCATCCAGCGCCTTTTACGGGATCAGCGAAAGGGTCATCTCCCACGGATGCGAAGTTAAGACCCAGACTCCCGAGTTGAGGGAGTGAGTTGGTGTTGCCTGCCAAGGACAAACGGCGACGTTCGGCTTGTAGCTGTAGGTCTCGATCATCCATGCGGAGGAGTTGGGAGAAGTCCGGAGGATTGCTCATCTTGGCTGCTTGCTTCTCGCTCATACTTCGCGCTGCAGCAAATGGATCCTCAGGCTCCTTGGACTTCATCCGCATACGCCAGGCGAAGCTGACCTTCTCAGACAGGCGCTCCCACCACTCTGAAGCTCTGTCTTTGATGGATGGTTTCTCATTTTGAGAGAGGACAGAGTTGTTTCGACTGTGCTGTGGAATCGGGCCATCCATGAATTGTGAATTGCCCCTGTTCAAGTTGACACTAGGTGTGTCGCTTCTGGCACCTCCAACCTTTGATTTCAGTGCTGCTCCTAATCCCACGATGGCAGCTGCAATGCCCGCTCCGAACCCCAATAACCTATCACTTTGATAGCCCACCTCCGACTTCCACCTGCTTCCTCTACCTGATGGTCCCACTGAAGCATTATCATTTTCGTAGAAAGAGCTCCGGCGCCCAGTTGTGAGGGGAGTGAGGAGTGATTCTCTGCCTCTCCTTCTCTTTCGGAAGAAGTAAAATAGCATCCCCACTATTGCTATCAAAGCTACGGAGCCTACTACTCCACCGACCACAGGCGCAGCTGTAACTTGAGGGTTAGAAGATATTCCAGACGCAGCTGACGACTCTTCAGGACTCGAGGTAGATGCTAATGAAGTAGAAGAAGTGGAGGTCGTCTTCGAAGGGGTAACAAATCCAGCGCCATTATTATCCCCTGAAAGCACCGTTGGTGAAGCAGAAACTTCACTGAGAGCAATCGCAACTGCGGAGCTCGATGATGTGGTAGGGGTCGTAATCCTCGACGCTGGTATAGCGGAGGCACTCGAAATTGCACTCGTAGCGGAGGTGCTAAGAACCACAGCAGACGTACTTGTGACAAACGAAGACACCGGTGTGCTAACTGTCGACGTCGCGGCCACCTGCGCGGCCGTCGTCGAGGTCGGCGCTGCACTCTCTCCTGCGGCATTAGGTTGGTTCTCAGAAGTCGACGAGGATGTAGATGCTGCTATCGACGTTGTCGAGGTCGTACTCGGTGTAGCTGCTGGTAAAGTTGCCAAACTCGCAGGTAATGTGGTAGCAGATCGCGGCACAGCTGTACAACGAAGGCCATCTATTGAAGTGGTCGAAAATCCTGCCGGCAGGGACATGATGAAGAATGAAAAGCGACACCAGTCGCTGCAAGATAGAATATACAAAAAGTCAAGCTTCAATAATACAGATCATAGAGGCTCCCAGGCCATCAATTTGAGATATCCACCATAACGACGATGATGTTTGCGAATGTGAAGAAGAACAGAATTCAGTAATAGGGAACAGTGGAGTGCAGACGGTGGAAGGAAACCATTGATCTCCTGTCCTCAAACGCCAGCGTTCTAGCATGAGTCTGGAGTGGGTGACCGGTTAATATGAGAAGAGGATGTGAGACAGGGTATGGCTAGAGGAGGGGGTTTCCGCTTGTCGCAGGAGTCCCATGCTGAGACACTGTCTGCACCACCATGCTGGCCAGGGGTAGGCACTCGCTTGAGCATTTGTGTAGCATTTTGCGTGCGTGCTTGACGTGAGGAGAGGAGATCCTGTATCAATGGCATAGGAGAATTCAAGGTTTGAGGTGGAAGGTTGTGTATGAAGATACTTTTGCATATCAGGTTGGATATGAAGATCCGGAAAGAAAGTGGAGAGGGGGAGAAAAGAAGAATGTTTCGTTTGGCGGTAGTCGGCAAGGAGAGAGAAGCTAGGACGAAACAAGCTTAGACTAACTACGAGCCACCCCTTTGAGGGTCCAAGCCACATCAGTACTAATACCTGCTCACTCACGAGTTATTGTATTTCGAGCCGCGCGCTCTCACTTGGCGTTTAATATTGTCCCAACTCCAACAGTGCAGAAGAGCAGGTCAACAGAGGAGTCCAGTGTCTGGCATTGGACCATCGGGGTTACTGAGTTGGAAAAGGTATCAGCACAGCCGACTGACCAGGAACTGCTCTCTTGTCAAGTGCTTGGAACGACAGAGGATGAACTCCACCCCGTTACAACCCTCGGACCGCTGTTTTGGAAATTTATATTGAACGCCACCACTTCCCAGTCATTGTGGTCACCATCCTGACAGTACGAGACGTTATTGGTAGATGGTGCCCAACAGGTGTGCATGAGGGAATGCGGTTGAGTTCGTTCGGTGTGCGGCTTCGCTGCAGCCTCGAAGTATTCGAATATCCGGACCAATGCATACAGAGGAGGATGCCTCTTATGGAATCTTCGACATGTTATTGCAGCTCAGAAGTATCGCCATGCTTCACTCTGTGTGTTCTTCCTCAAGAGAAGTCTGACGGCGTCGCATCTCCGAGGGTTCTCGACCATAAAGCACAATTGTTACCATCTGCTCCACACTTGAGAAGAGGGTTGCAGGCTCGAGCCTGGTAGAAGTCTATATGAGAATTATGCATATCATCGTAGGCTTCACTTCACAGCAAGGACAATCCCAAGAGCCGCAATCTCGAGTCATCGACGTTCTCGAGTGCGCGGCTTTAACTGCCTCTCATCAGAGAATGTCTAGGTATCGGTGTTCCATCTGTAGATTGAGTAGATTGCCGAGTGTGAACCGCAGATATTCTCGTCCCCACGGGCCGGAGTGTTCTGTCTGCAGTTGTTCTCGAGGTGCTTCCCGTTCCGGTTCCTGCAGGACCAACCTGCAGCTGTGCAACACGACCGACCAGAAGTCCGAAGCAAAAGAGAAAAGAAGGTGGGAGGAAGTGAATGCTCCGTGAACTCTTTTCGACCATTTGGCCAGACGGTTCATGTCAGCCACAAGCCATCAGACGCAACGCGGGTAACACATCAAACGCCATGTACCGTAGACTTCTAACTTCTCCAAAACACTATGAGGATAACCTTAAGGTTAAACTTCGTTTCTAGCTGCAAGCCAAGAATCACCGAAACTTTTTCAAAGACTGGCTGCTCGTGCCGTTTCGAGCGTAGTAAGGTTAAATTGAAAGCAAGAAGATTCTAATATGCACTTCGGTGACATCTTGACGTGTCTTGTAGCTGGGATGACAGTCCGAGTCGAAGACACCAATGCGTGGAGATCATGATATGCGTGCCATTATCGAGTGGAGCTCTGTTGGGTGACAACATCCACGTCGTAAAGCGATACAGACAAACAGACACACACACACACAGAGTTGAAGTCTGACGCATTCATTGCTGGCCGGCTTCTCGAATTCCGAAGACCTTCGTGATGCTTGGAGAAGAACAGCAGAAGAGAAGAAGATGCACGAGGCTGCATGGACCATTGATCTGCACGCTGCCACATTTATTGCTGCAGCCGAGCGCTTTATCCGACCTCAGTTTTTTGACCTCCTGGTAACAACACCAGTGAATCTTGCCACCTTCGAGACTCACACACAGCGCCGTCTAGAAAGAAGTTACTCCGGGCGGGAGAGCTTCCATGCAACTCATTCTTTCGATCAGCATAATTCCGTCAGAAGGTGGTGGAGATTAGGGATTGAAGATGTTTGCTGGTATCTCGCAGATAGGTCAGTCACGAAGCCGTTCACCCTCTCTGTTGGCTCGATATTTCGCCCCCCTCCACAATCCTCTCAAAGGTCAAGAGCCAAACATGCATGTCACTGTGCGTGCGAGAGCTTGTCATCGAATGCTCGGGAGCATAAGGCAGATCTTCCCATGATCGTTCATCATGCGGATTGTTATCGACCCATCTGAAGCAAGACTCTGGGACGTTTTCCCCCAGACTTTTGTTGATCAGACGGCAGTCAAAGTTGTCATCCCAATCAGGCCAACCTCTACGTTTCATATTCCTTTTCTTTCTGTCATTCAAAAGCTTGGCATAACCTTTTGGGAATGTTCGTCTTCGAAGTCATATGCTCACGTGCCTCTCCATGAACAGGTGCAGTCCACGACGCAACAAGGAAGATACTTCCTCCAACGCCTGTCAGGTTTCCAAAATGTGTGCCCAAAACGGAAGACAAGTTCCCACCCACTCGAGATGCCGGTTCATTGGTCAGCCTCCTTCAAACAGTCCACCGACCAGCTGATATCAAGCCTTTGCACTTCGAAGCACTCAAAATCCACGTGATACCCGATGCCTCTCCCGAAGAACTCATCCCTGATGCTAGCTTCTTACCGCCGTCCAAAGACTGGGATGTCGTCCCTCAAGAAGAACTACCAGAAGCCAACGAGCAAACCCGCAAGCCACTTAATAATGGCAACCTCTCTCCAGGCATTCAGACCTATCGAGAACGTCAAAAAGAGCTTCTGATAGACAACACCGCCGCGTTCCGCACAATACGTCGCATTCCTGCACCGGTTGGCGAGACGGCCGCTCGTCTAGGTAATGCTTATGAGTTCTACAAGAACTTGGAATTTTTCTCTGGGTATTGGCACGATACGTCAATTCCTCCTAAGCCGGAACCATCTTCTGAAGAGACCACTTCTGAGGAGGAAAAGAAGGATGCTACACCACCTCACTTACAGACCCATATCCGTACAGGAACAGGCCTCCAGCTTCCCCCGGACTACAGGCAGAACCTCCTCACAGCATTTGTGAAGCTTGTCGCTTATGACTTCGGCTGCAACGTCTCGTTTCCTCGTACAGAGCCTAGATTACATCTCACTCCAAAGAAGCCATCTGACCCACCATCATACTTCAACTCATCTGTAACGTTCGTCTACAGGACTCCAAAAGAGAGAGCCATGGCTCGAGCAGGTGTAGTAGAAGGCCCAGTAGCAGCGTTGAGCGCAAGAGCGAGTACAGTCTTCATTACCAAAGCCGAAGAATGGCTAGACCTCGCCCGAGAAGTCGTCGCCGTTCTCCTCACCGCCCAACAAAGATCCCGAGAAAAGAAGACCGAGAAGAGATTCGGCGAAGGGAAATGGTGGACCACTACTCCTCGCTGGGGTGGCGGTGCAGGTGGACCCATCGGCCGGGAAGGCGACAAAATCGACGAGCTTGCTGGCCCAGAAAAGTTACCAGCAGCTGAACTTGGTGATGTACCTCCTCCGCCTGGAACGAGGGTAGCGAGCGAGGTCAAGAGACAGATTGGTGGTATCAATGGGCCGAGTCCTAATAAACGCAGCAAGAAAGTCAAAGAGGGAGGCAATATGCAAATCTATGATAATTATCGCAAGATGAACCCCCCTGGACCGACTTGGGATCGAAAAGCCAAGTACATGTCGATAGGGAAGGTTGAGGGGGTAGGATATGACGATGTGTTTCTTGTCAGCGCGTTAAATCATCATATTTGTGTTGTTCGGGCGAGGATACCGGAGAGTCTACTCGAGGTTCTTGACGGGGGAGAGGAGAAGGAGTGGGAGAGAGTTAGCATGTGGAGGAGTAAGTGGTTTGATATGTATCTTGGCAAGGAGAGGGTCGAGGCTATGGAACTGGTGTGGGGGATGATGGCTTGGTTGATGAGGAAGATTGAGGGTCTCAAGGGCCCAGTTGAGGATGAAGATGATGGCGATGATGGCAAGGCGGAGAAGATGGATTTGAGCTAGATTGCACTGTGACGAGAGATGAATAAATGAGCGCGCGTTAGCATGAGTTGGGATAGATCCGACTCTGTGGCCCATGGTGGATTAGATTGATAGATTGGTGTTTAGGTACTTGGGATATGCATGAAATGTCAGGTAATGCAGAAGTGAGAACAATTGCTCTGCCTAAGTCGAGCACTCCTGATGACACATCTCTCCTGACTTTCTTATCGTCACCATCGCCTCAAGCCGCATACGCCATCTAGTCTCAATTATGTCAGATCCGAAATGCAAAAACACATGCTGAATCATCGCTACTCGGTCTCCTGATCAACACTCCTAGTTGGTCGATATAAAATTGGCGAGAAAAATCAGGGGTAAGGTTTGAAACATAAGCCACAAAATAACTCCATCTGCCAATCTCTTCACCAGCTGTTCTTCGATTGAGGCAAGGCTGAAACAAATGCAGATGTCCAGGGGTTTCCAGATTCAGTAGTCAAGACCCGTTTTTCTCCTGAGAAAGGAAGGATCACCCGCTAGTAGCTGCCAGACTTCTTGCACTTCAGCCACACTACACAGCCTTGTGGTTTCCTGTTTCCCATGTTATCTTCTGACCTGATAAAGGTCTTTGCAGACCCCTCCATCAAGCTGCAATGTTGCTCGGGCTTCATCATCCCTCATCGGCTTTCGCTCATGCGCCTCTTTAACCTTTGACTCTGTTGCTCGATCGTTCTTTTCGAGGTTGACGGGATCCTGCTCTTGCTTCTTACTGGAAGCTAGACTATACACAGCAGCCTTCTTTTGTCTCTGGTTAAAGACGTTGTCAACTCTTTACTCGATACTCGTGACTCCGGGGAAGTCCTAGAAGTCCGAGGGTCTTTTTCTTCGGTTCATTTACAATGGACTCAACGCCTTGCAGACCCGGGTTTCCTGTGTGGACTCCACCATTTCGTGTACCGAACTTTTCTCTGCCTCGAAAATTCCCAGCATTGCCCGGTACAATAGATTCCAGAGAGTCACTTAATACGAGACCGATATCGACAATACCAATCTCAAACGAACGTCCTTCTACGCATCTCAAAGCTTCATCTAACAAGCGCAAGAGACAACATGGTGCCAAGCCAGGAGAGAACAGTTGCGGTATCAAGAAGCAGAAGCTCATTGGTCGCCCGAGGAACAGTTGGACCAAATCACGCTTACGGAAGCTGGTTCGACTATATCTGATGACCGACTTGAGTGTGCAAGACATTGCAATTGTACTTCGAGCCAAGGACTTTTCACCTAGGTCAGTTGAAGCCTATAGCTACAATGCAATGAGATACTGAATCTTCTATAGTAAGAGGGACACTCAGAAGCAGATCAAATGGCATTTTCCAGGACGAGATCCACGTCAATTTCGCGACCAGTGGAATATGCCTAAGATCAGGCTTCAACTCGCTAGAGAGTGCCGTGCGAAAAAGTCTGCCAGAAGCACATCTCTGCTTCGTGAGAGGAAAAGTCGGTCACCTATGGACGATGAATTAACATCATTCCATGAGAGTGATGGCACGTATGGACAAGGCTTGAACCCGGAGTTGCTCAATCTACCCGGCTCTATAGACGAGTCTTTGCCTTCCGAAGCCTCGACAGATGCCAATGACATCTCCCTCGAAAAATGTACTTTCACGGATTACAATATTCGTATGGTGGAAGAAGCTTCGAACGTTCGACCATCGATATCAGATACGACCAGTGATGGCTGCTCGCCTTCAATCTCCAAAATCCCATCATTGGTTTCCAGTCACGCTTCCACTCGTTCTACTGGGTCCTCGAGCCACGCGAATGGATCCCCTTCTCCTGAGCACCTTGATCATTCCGAGAAATCTTTGTCGATGATAGATGTCGCTGAAAGTGCTGACACTATTCTTAAGCCAGACTTGGAGACTGGACAACAAGAAACTGTGCCCGCCACGACTGCCACACCTCTCAGTTTACCAAACTTGAGATTCTTTCCTGCTGCTGAAAAACACCCAGCCTCAATACCGGAGTCCCACGAGCTAAGTATCCATAGTATAGGGGGACTGAGAAGACGCTTGCCCGGCAAGACCGATTCGGTCCTCGGTGATGTATGGTCGGCTTTTCAAAACCTCACAATCTCTGGAGCCTCAACACGGTCTCACACAAGTTGGGCGGGCAGAGTGGTTTCCACCATCTCTACCTCGGTTTCTGGACTAAGTCATAGTGACAGGCATCTTCATGATGTTGATGAGAATGAGGAGTCAACTTTTACTCCTCTGGGTATCGAACCACGCCTCCCTCTTCCTGGCGATTTCGCGGCCGACTCTTTGTACAAGGCTTATTACATAGGGCAACGACGGTATCGACGCAAATGGGGTGAGTTCGAAAAGCGACCTAGGATCCTGAAGGACTCGCATAGCGTAAGGTCCATAGCAAAGCTAGTATTGTCCATTCATACGCATACACTTGAGGTGCAGCTTCTGGATCCCCAACGCAAGGATCTGTTCGGAAACACAGCATTGCACATCGCAGCTGCCTTGCAACGTCTCGCTATGTTTCATCCATTGATTCGTCATGGTGTCAATGTGCATGCAGAGAACAGTGCCAATGAGACTTTATTGCATCTTGTAGACGATTTCGATGAGTATGAATATTCTATTCTAAGCACGCTGAAAACTGCTGAGTATGATTTCAATCAACGCAACTGCCTTGGTCAAACAGCTCTGCATCAGCTCATGCAAGGCTGGATGGGTGAGTTGAGGTTGCGAGGAATCTTAGCTGCACTCGCCATCTTCAAGATACCTCTTCCCTCGTCAAGAGATAGCTTTGGCAACACCATCATGTCGCAATTGGAAGAAGCTGGTATCGACAAGTACACGATCCGAATCTCCCTGTCCGAAAGGGATGATCGCCCTCAGAAGGAGACATGGGATTTGACTGAGATGGCTGGCTTACAAAGACCACGCGTACCAGAGAATCAAACAGCACCTGTGATGCCAAACTATGGAGACCAGGTCAGCATCACGACGATGGAGGAGCTGTGCCTTTATGACCACCACAGAGCCCTGTTGAAAACCATCGTAAAGGCATATTCGAGTCCTCGGCACGAGGACAATGATGGCCGCAACGGGCTGCACTGCCTAGCAGAAGTCTCCCTGACATTGCCTATTCAGTGCGAAATCCCTAACTATGCAACAGCATGCGATGGACTCGCTTTCAGAACACGCCGTGAAGGGCTATTGTATGGTCTTGTCCACGTTGGAGTTGATCCGGACAACCATGATAAGGAGGGACTTACGCCTCTCATGGCTTTCATCATCCATACAAGGGACGGCGAGGACGAGGACGCTACGGAAAGACTCCTTTCTCAGCTATGTGAGGCTGGAGTAAATGTGAATCGTCGGAATCGAAGCGGCGAAACACCATTGCACATGGCTGTCAAGCTTGGTAAGCGCACAGTAACGAAGTTTCTTCTCGAAAATAAAGCAAACGTGCATGCTCGCGATATTTCAGGAACTGGTATCATTGCCTCTGGCTTAGAACAGAGCAGGAAATCCACTGATGGAGCGCTGCTAGCGCAGATCTTGCTTTGTGTAGATCTTGTGAAAAAGGCTGGGGGTGTCGCAAGTCCTACTTTCTATCAAGAATGGGCTGTTGATGAATCAGGGTCGAACTCCAAAGCTCGGCGCCGAATCTCGCTCCCGAGACTGGCTCTGCGAACATAAGGAGATTCAGGAGAGAATTGACGTATACATAATGTAATAGATGATTTAATGATCAATTTATCTTATATCATGACCGAAATAAAGCTATTTTATCTCTGCTAACTTTTCCCATGAACTAAGCGCTGAGACTTCTCCTGACTGAAAAAGTTGAGGTTGCCACATGAGGACATGCAATTTGTGCATGAAATGTTAAGACAGACATTCTGCCTCGACCAGACATCTAAAACGCAACGAAGGATAGTCATAGCAAGGGTACTCACACAGCTCCCGACAACGAGGCCTCCGAAAGTGAGATGCTGAGAACGGACATTTGCTCTGGACGAAGATCCAATAGCTGCCAGAGATTGAGACCAAAGTCAATGTCCGCCTTCTTTAGACGAAAAGAGTTCTGTTCTGAGTCTGGACATACAGCTCTTGTCAGAGATTGTACTTATCTTGATCTCATAATTTGACTTCAATGTAATCTCATGACTGAGGAAGTCATCACTATCGTCGCTGGTTCCGGCACGAACATGAAAGAAGCCAAGATCTCGAGGGCTCTAGGCATCCAGTAATTGGAAAATTTCCCGCGCTGCCCTCTCGAATCTTGTCAACGCTGGCGGAACGAAGGGCAGTATCGACCCCTCTTGCCAGTGGCCTACCACCGTCTCTACATACACTCAGATCTTGAAATTGGAGATGTGGGTTCAGGTGAGGAAGACAAAGTGGTATTAGATATCCACGAAAAAAAACACTGAACCCCAAGTTATAGATTCGGCAGAAATATTGAAGACCACTCGGTTCATCTGCCTAAAGTTTCTTTTCGAATTGTTCAACTTGAGGTTGAAAAATTGCTTAGTGTGAATGCTCATGGGAGGTTGCGACACTGGTGCAGAGACTTAGTAGTCAGATGTCTGGCGTAACATTATATATACTATGACTGCAGTCACTCGAGCTTCCGAGTTGTCAAGGTAGCAAAATACGTTTAGAAAACTATAGGCAGGATCCGCTCCAGACCCGATAATCAAAGCAATTCGAAATTTGACAAGCCAAGATCTGCAGGACTCTTTTTAGTCCAGTCAAGTAATGGATTGATAGGAGTTGGACGTGGACTTGAAAAAGAGATGCAACAACGTCGACGGAAAGGTTGATAGACGGTACTCACTCGAAACTTCAAGAAATTTGAGGGAAAGCAGAGTGGTATTCGCTGACCTAGCATTGTCAGGATATTCTTCCTCAAATCGGACATCGGCCAATGTCACCTAGTTCTGCCATGGTAAAGCATATTCATGCTGAGCTTTCGCTTGTAAATGTGGGATAGTGTCCCGAAAACTGGTTTTCGAACAGCCAGTGATTCAATGTCTATCACTCGATACGACATTAATGAAGCCGAAAATGTCCCAAACTCAGGTTGATGGATGCGACCAACAAAGTCAGGTATCTCAATTTTGATATCGACCTGAGTAAAATCTGCTTCCCTTTCCAGTGGAGGCGGTGCATCTAAAAATTGTTCAGAAGGAGCAGTGCGACAGTGACTGGAAGATTTCTCTCCAATAGGATAATTTCTGTCCCATTCTGGCGCAGTGATAATGAACTGAGATATCCGAGTCGGTATCTTCAGGTGAAAGGGCAAATATTCCTAGTTGCAACCTTGACAGTAATATAATGAAAACTGAATATCCAACGTTGTTCGGCTATCTTAAAATCCGGGGCCGTTGATTGAGGCGAGGTCAACGAGGAACGAGGAGGAATTAACAATTGGTCAATTGCGGAAAGTTAATGTGAGTATGATTCGATGGAAACTATAGACGCTGAAATACGGGTCTAGCCTGGCTGACATGCAGACGATTCCAACGTTGGCGTTCTCTGTGTATTGGGCGGTGACGAGCGGCTGGATATTCTCCGTAGTATCGTGGGCCAAGATGACCAAAAGCTTATCTCAATGGTCATGCAACGCTCTGGAGATCTCGCATGCTTACTGACGTGAGGCAGACTGGGAAGGTTGAGGACGAAGAAGTAACGTCGTATGCCTTGAACATGTCGATGAGAGGAAAAATTGTTGAAGGATCGTGCATTCATTGATGCATCATTGGCTCGGGCCGACTGTTGCTGACGGAAAAATTGTGTTTTTCTGACTTTAAGCATAATCTTTTCTGGATGACACTTCTTGACAACAAGCATATAATTGGATACTATTTTGGACTTCTTGCCCGTGCTCTGTGCATGAGCAAGGCTGAGGTTGCCATTCCAGATTTCTGTCATCATCTACAAGGGCACCTGCGATCAGAAAGCATGATGATCGCATTCTGACACTGGCTTCACATGTATCATGAGGTATGATCAGGTCTAAGGGAAAAAGTAGAGGCGGCCCGAATGGCAGCTGACGAACGTCGACCCCGAATTCTGATGTTTGAATATTTTCATACTTTACCTACCCATCATGTATTTCGTGTCACGAAGGAAAAGCACATAGCCACAAACCTTGCATGATGTCGGCGAGAAAAGATCTATGACATCTGCAAACAGATCTGTGTGGTAGAGCATCGGCCTTTTCGATCTAGACGATACCAGTAACGGCAGATCCACTATGCAAGCGAAGCCTTTTGATCCTTCGGTGCTACGAGGAAAGCTCCCATGATGGGGAAGAAGACCGAGACTGTGGCTCATTTGGATGGCTGAGAGGTCGGCGTGCCCTAGATTGGTTCTGATGCAGTGGTAGTAATGGCAGAATAAGGCTCTTGCACCGAGATGCATGAGAACTGGCCAGTGAGAGGTCTGTGACGGGGAAGGCGAAAAGCGTGTCTGCCCGCCAGACTAGACGTGGGGTACCGGGGCTGCCCTCAAGTTACCGTTGCTTCGAAGGCTCTAATTCGATGGTTGAGCCCGAATTGGAGACGAAGAGGCTGCATCCTGCGGTGAGGAGACATTTGGTTGTTCTGCTTCGCAGCATGTGGCATAATGGCGGTCCAGTAACGGTGCAAAGTCTGATATGGTGGAGGTGTTGTTGTTCTCAATGCGGCTAGAGAGCATGCTGCCACTGTGGCTCACCGGCGCCATGCTGTATCAGATGTAGTGCATAGACTGCTCCTATCACAGCGGCTCGCTAAAGGCCTTCAGGAGCCTCGACGCAAGCCACAAAAACAAACATTCGGACACTCCGTTAGACTGCTCGACAACCCTCATTCTCAAACTTCGGACATTGTAGATGCATTTTGAACCCAAGCAACTTATCGACTGTAATTTGCCGTGCAGATGTCCTTGACCACCGTGAACAAATTGCGTGCTCGTCACCCCTGAAGTGCGCGGCCTTCCCACTACTCGAAGCGCGCGAGTGGGTTCATATCGAAGTCATGTTTATGGGCGTTCCCGATGAGGGTGAATTTGTTGTGATAAACAGCAGGGTATGAACAACAGACGTCCAATGAACAATGATCCCCGTGTTTTCCACGTTTTATCGTTGCCGTTTGTGGACGATGCGTTCCGGAAAGGAACTCCATGGACGCTGATTGACTGCACTCGGGGTGTCAACTCTCGCCTCAGATACACATCGGCATCCACGCCTATAGGTGCGACTCAAGCATGCTGAAACTTCTGACCTCACGATGCGTTGCAATACGCTGGTGGTTGTAGACAGCTGTATCTCGCTGTACGGATGAGCTGTAGTTGTGCAGGTTGCTAAGCCTCCAATACTAAGTCTGCAAGTAGCAAGAGATTAGACCACATCTCTCAGCAGATGCAGTCTCGTAGGTACTCACCTCCCCCGACACTAAGGATAGTCATGTCGTCTATACTTGACATTGGAGATGATATGACAGCCGGTGGACGGGGCTTGATCCCGCAGCCGTGGAACCTCACTCTGAATAAGCGATTCCAAAGCTGAGAGTTGAAGCTATCATGCACTCTAGTCAAGTGCTAGAAGACTCGCGGGAATCTCAAAGACTCGTGGCCAAAGCCTTAGTGGCTCTTGGCTGGCAGGACATGACTGGAATTTCTGGGAGGGGAGCTAAGGAGCGAACCGCCATCGGCTGTACCACAGTATTGGAAATGGTATTTTGGATAATCCTTGCGCAGCTCATGGTACAGGGGACCCGAATTGAGAAATGCAAAAGCAAAAAGAAGTAGTCCACGTCAAGGCCTGCGTGCAAAGTCAAGGTTGTTGTTCGCCGACGTGGTTGATATGGCCTGTCACGCTGGATAATGCTGGGTCTGGCCACGAGACGATTGCCTGTCCCCGGTCGAAGATTCGCAGGGAGCGGGAGCATGTCAAATCCTGGCCTGGCTCTGCTGGTCATCGTGATTTCCCATGCCTGCCCGCGCAGGGTGAACAGCGCTGCATGAATCTATTTGATGCTGGCTGGTGATCATGAATGGGCCGACAACACAGGGAGGCTGGGCCTGAGTCTCTGAGTCTCTGATGGATGCAGTGTTATTGTTGGTGTTGCTGTTCACTCATTGATTGATGGATGGATGGATGAATGGATGGATAGAGAGAGATGATTTGGAGAGGAGGCAGAGTGAGGCCCGTGAACCGACCAACTTGACTGGGTCGGCCTAAGCGACACACACTAGCAGAGGAGATCATTCATCAGCCGCTAAGCTAAACCAGACTACCCAAGCCTGACGTCCATCCGCCCAAACACATCCACATCCTCGTTCTTCGCCTGGAAACACCACCCCTCACTCACTCACCTCTTCACCACCACCGCCGTCGACATCCTCAACGCTTGGCTTTCCCATCCATCTCCTCCTCTTCCTCCACCATCCACAACGTCCCACATCCGCCTCTTCCACATTCAGAGTTTCAGCCCATCTGTTTTTGGCTACACCCTCAGAGCCACACTCTCGTCGCTGACCGCCTATCTAAAAATCCGTGCTTCGCTTCCACGCCATCCTCGATCAACACTGCCCATCCTGGTCTGAGCTCTGCACCTCCCGGTCCCCTTGGAATCCAAACCCACTCTATCCTCCCCACGTTCTGCCGGAAATTTGCTGCAGCTTCATTCTATAAGAATCGTCCTCATCCCACATCCTCAAGGGTTGTCTCAGGATCAAAGAGTTGGATCAGACAGTTCCAGCCTCGCTGCGAGTATCTTCTCTTCGTCTCTCGGAAGCGCCCCTCGGCGTTAAGCCGACAACAAGCAATTAACACTTCCTTCCTTCTTTTCCTCGAAAGCTCGCACACATAGCTATGTCAGGTTATCCAGGATCTGGTTACCACGGAGGATACGGAGGTCAACCACAGCAGTACCAACCCCAGCCAAACTACTACCCGTAGGATCGAGGCTCTCAGCATTTAGCTATCAATGCTAACGGATTTTTTAGACCACAAAATTACGGACCTCCTCCACAACAAGGTGGCTACGGCTACCAGCAACCTCCTCCTCCTCAACAACCATATGGATATTCTCAAGTAAGGAATTTTAAAGGTCGAGAAGAACCAGGACTAATTGGCTTCTAGCCTCCTCCACAACAATATGGCGGATACAATGGAGTGCCACCGAACCAACCTCAATATGGCAGACCAGGTAGGCTTACTGTCCTACCAAGATATTATAACTTGCTTACCAATGGTGCCACCAGGTATGCCATCCGTCAACTCGAATGCCTACGTGAACGGCAATCCTAGTGCTCCTCCTCCACCGCCCTCACAAATGCAACACTTTGGCGGTGGTGCACCACAAGGATACGCATTCCAATATTCCAACTGCACAGGGAAAAGAAAGGCTCTGTTGATCGGCATAAATTATTTCGGACAGAGAGGGCAACTGCGTGGCTGTATTAACGATGTCAAGAACATGTCGTCGTTTTTGCACGAGAACTTTGGCTACCAGAGAGACGACATGGTCATTCTCACTGATGACCAGCAAAATCCCATGAGTCAGCCAACGAAACAGAACATTCTGCGAGCTATGCATTGGCTTGTAAAGGATGCTCGCCCAAATGACTCTCTATTTTTCCACTATTCTGGTAAGAAAACTTATATGGTCAAGCTTGACGACGCTAACCTGAGACAGGTCACGGAGGCCAAACTAAGGATCTCGATGGAGATGAAGAAGATGGATACGACGAGGTCATCTATCCAGTAGATTTCCGACAAGTCGGCCACATCGTCGATGATGAGATGCACCGGATCATGGTCATGCCCCTTCAACCGGGCGTGAGATTGACAGCAATCTTCGATTCCTGCCACTCAGGAACAGCCCTTGATCTGCCATATATCTACTCTACTCAAGGTGTGCTCAAGGAGCCCAACCTCGCCAAAGAGGCTGGGCAAGGTCTACTTGGTGTTATCTCGTCTTACAGTCAAGGTGACCTCGGTGGTGTTGCCAGCAATTTGATGGGATTTTTCAAGAAAGCAACTTCAGGAGACGATGCGTACAACAAGACAATGGCCACAAAAACTTCACCAGCCGATGTTGTTATGTGGTCTGGAAGTAAAGATGACCAAACATCGTTAGTATACCCTTTCATTCCTCTGTACGCGTAATCGGGGGTCAGTACATATGGGAGACCCGGCAAAAATAATCAGGAGGCGTTTTTGGGAGGTTTGGCGAGGCGTTGAGGGATACCATTTTGGGCTACTGGGCAAGACCCTGGCCGTTTTTCATGTACTGCTAGCTTTGACTCCCCATATATATGAAAGCTCTAAGCGTGCGCCACAAGCCGAAAACGGCTGGGGCGTGGGCTTAGGGCTGCGAGTCACGTTGGGTCAAGTGACCTAGCTAGCGCCATTCCCCTGCATCTGCCGTCTCTTGCTTGTTCTTTTCTGCTTCTAGCATAAGATGATGCTGACTATATCCTCTTAGTGCCGATGCCACCATCGCTGCACAAGCAACTGGTGCCATGTCCTGGGCCTTCATCACCGCCATGAAGAAGAACCCACAGCAAAGCTACGTCCAATTACTAAACAGCATCCGAGACGAGCTTGCTACAAAATATACTCAGAAGCCACAGCTGAGCTGTAGCCACCCACTGAGTAAGCCCGCCACCGCATGACTGAATTTTCTTGGTTGGTAGTACAACATATGCTGACCGCAGGCACAACAGACACGAACTTACTCTTCGTCATGTAAATAATAATTTCTCCTCGGAAGTAGGGAGAATAGAAACTCGGCGTCACACATTTGTGCATAAGGGGAAAAGCACAAACGGTATCATACTCATTGTGATCCGGGGTAGGATATCTGGGAACCGGGGCATTGGTCGGAAGGAAGGGAGGATATCTCTATGTGTTTATGTAATCACGATGAGCTCTTTTCACATCCAAAAAGAAGCGTGACTGATGATAGGACTCGATCAATGTATTCAATCTAGACAAACTTGACTTTGACAATACCAAACAGAACAACCCATCCATCCATTCGTCATGAATGGTAAAAACAAGTAACCCCGAAACGCTCATCCAATGCCATGCTTAATATCATACCTACTCCAACGCCAGCCCATTAAGCAATAACAAAACGCAAAAACAAGAATCAAGACTCCCTGATCGCTCATACAACACGAGAGCTCTGTCTCTTAGGCGTCACCTTGGGCGTAACTCCAGCCCCAGCCCTAGCCTTCTGCTCCTCGATTTTGGCCTTTATTCTGTCATGCAACTTCCTACTCTCTGCCCAATCCGCAGCGAATTTCTTCATACGAATAGTCGCGCGGACCACGTGCGCCACCGTGCGCAGGGTCTTCTTCTTCTCTGGTTCCCGGGGCGGAAGTGTAACGCCAGCTGAGAGCAAGAGTTTGATGTCTGCCTTGTTGCTGTGAAGATATTAGTTGGGATGAAAACACGCAAATAGAGAAAAGATACATACCAAGCTTCGAAGAGATCGATTTGCAGTTGCATATACTTCTTTGCATAGGCGGCTGAAGCACGGAAATGTTCTTCGCGTGACCATTTCTTTCTCAGCCATTCCATTTGCATACTCATACCACGCATTTCCTTGACGTGAATCTTCTCTCTCTCTTCAATGCCTTTCTTTAGAGCTTGGATTACTTCCGACTCATCTTGTACAGTTGAGAATGAGGTATTCACAAATCGGACGCCGGAGGTCAAGTTCTTCTTTTCTTGTTCCCAGATCTGTTTTCGCTCATCCCACGCCTTGAGCTCAGATTGCCAATTTTCCTTCGCCTTGTTGTACTTGCGTTCAAGCTTCAAGAGTTGCTCTTGGGCTGAGTTGGCTTTGGAACGCTGCTCTGAACGTTCCTCACGGACTCGTTGTAGCTGTGCACGAAGTTCGTTTTCTACAGCGGTAATGGCAGCGATGTTCTTTTCATTCTCCTCCACAACGATCTCGAGAGATTCGACTTGCATCTGGGTTTCACGAAGCATCTCGTGCATTTCTCGGCGTTCGTAAACAATGGTCTGCTCTTCACCCCTGTTGCGACGTTCTTCCTGAAGTACTTTCTCCAGACGGGTAATCTTGCTGCGAAGTCGAGAGATTGTCGCTTCGGAAGCCGCATTCTTAGTAGCAAGCTCTTCTTTTGCGAAGTTGGCTTCATCGAGAGAGCGTTCAAGCTGATCCTTCTCAGTCTCCCAGACTGCTTGCTGGGCTTGGAACTCGCTATTAAGAGTATTAACGTTCCTCGCAGCTTGCTTCTCGTGCTCCTTCAGCTGGTTACGAACATCCTTGAGAGTTTGATGTGTGGTTGCGAGTTGAGCACGCACTTCGACAATCTCAGACTTCCGTGCAGACCCACTGACAGAGGAGTGAGGTGAAGATGAAACGAAGCGCGAGATCTCTGCGTCGTGGGCTTTTCGCTCGAGTTCTGTGATTTGACGCTTGAGACCTCGAAGTGTATCTCGTTGGGAGACTTCGCGCTGAATATATTCAGTCTCCTTCTGGCGTGCTGCTGTCAGTTCTTCCCGGATCATGGACAGCTCGTGAGCACTCTCTGCCTGTCCAGTGCCGGCTACCACCTCCGACTCCAATTCATGGATTCGTGCCTCTAGTTGTGAGATTGACTTCTTAGCTGCTGCGAGTTCTCGCTTCTCGGATGAACCCCTGAGAATTCTCTGGAGGTCATGGATTTCTGCACTGAGGCGGGTCTCTTCGGTAGTAGCACGTTCGATTTCCAACTGCAATTCCTGTTCAAGGGTCTGCTTCTCCGTGACCAGGATTTTGTTCTCGTCCTTCAGTCTGCGCACCTCACCATCCAACCTCATCTTCGTAGCTCGTAGATCGATACGTTCCTTGTCAAAGCGGAAAGTTTCGTCCTCTTGTTGCTTTATCGACTGCAACTGACTCTTAATCTCATCTCGCTCAACCTCGACAGTTTCCTTGGAGCTACGTAAAGATTGTACTTCGATGTTAAGGCTCGCTAGTTGGGTCTTCAAGCTCGTCTTTTCTTGTCGGACCTTTACAAGCTGTGCTTCGACATCTCTCAACCTCGTGTTGAGCTGCTCGTTACTTCCTTCTCCGGCTTGCAAATCGCCTCTGAAAGTCTCAATTTCTGTACGTGCCTTGGCAGTGGCGGATTCTGCTTTGCTGAGGTCTTGCTTGAGTGACTGTATCTGATGGCGAAGGGTCTCGCACTCCTGTTTGGCAGTCGTGATGTCGTGATTAGCCTGTTCGCCCTCATCATCCAGACTTGTTTGTAGAATCTCGACTTCGTCTTCTAGTCCCTCCACTTTTTCGGCCAGGGCCTTTTGCTCTCGTTGACTTAAGCGGAGATCTTCTTTGACAATCGCAAGTTCGGCTCGGGCATCTTCCATTGCTTCACGTCGAGACTGAACCTCTTGGTTGAGTTCTTCGATCTGGCGCGTGAACATGGCCTCTTGCTCTTGGTGACGATCCATTTCACTCTGCAGGGCATGCTGAAGTTTTGTCTCCTTACTGGATAAGGTTCCTTCCGCTACTTGCAATTTATCAACTGTTCGTTGCAACCCAGCAGCCTTTTCATTGGCGATTTGCAATTGGGATTCCAGGCCGTGGCGTTCAGACTCCCACTTGTCAATGTCCTCGTCGTACAGTCGTTCCTGCTCCTGAAGCTCAGCTTTTAGATCTTCGATCTTGTCATTGAGCTCATCGATCCCATTTTTGTACTCGTCTCTGATTTCTCGTTCGCTATTGAGAGCTAGAGTCTTTTCGTGGTCGAGCTTGTCTTCAAGATCCTCGATAGTCTTGCGAGATCTCTCGAGATCTCTTTGTAAGCTCTCGGACTCGTTCGTGAGTGCATCGTGGCGGGTTTGTAGAAGGCGCTTCTCGTCACTTAACTGCTGAAGCTCATTCTGGGCAGCTGTAAGCTTTCTAGCGAGAGATTCCTTCTCCCTGGCAGAAAGCTCTTTCTCATCCCCTCCTCGACGAAGATCATTCTGGATGGCAGCAAGCTTTTTCGATAAAGACTCCTTCTCGCGGATCGAAGATTCCTTCTCATTCTCAACGAGCTCTAGCTTGTCCTTCAACCTCTGTTCGACGACATCGCTGTCTTGCTTCAATTCTTCGTACTTGTCTTCAAGTCTAGAAACCTCGCGGACTTTGTCGTTAAATTGCTCTTGCAGGGTTGAATGCTGGTCGCGCAGTACTTCCAGGTCGTCCTGCAACTTGTTCGCCTTCTCTTCAATTTGACGGCTGAGCCCTTTTGTGGTGATTGACTTGTTGGCCATCTCATCTTGCAACTCCTCGAGATTACCCTCTGCACGTTCTTTCTCCCTGATAGCTTCCTGTCTATCCTCTTCTGCTTCCTTCATCTTCTCTTTGAAGCTTCTCAACTCTTGATTCAGCTCTTCAATAGTTTCCCTGGCGTCCTCGAGCTCTTCGCCAACTTGAGCCTTTTCTTCCAACTCAACAGCGTGCCGCTGCGCCTTTTTGATAGCTTCTTGTAAATCAGCCACATTGGCATCACGCTTCTCGAGGTCCTCCTTGAGATTGTCTATCTCATCTTCCCTATCGTCGAGCAATCGGTCCTTCTCTCTAAGATCGACTTCGAGATCGTGGACCTTGTCTTGCAATTCGTCAAAATCCTGCTCCCGACTTCTCAGTCTCTCCAGCTCTGCGTCCTGGTCCTCCAACTCCTGTCGGAGGCGTTCGAATTCTTCTCGTTGGCCTTTGTCGAGTTGCTTTTGCTTGGCTTTCTCTTGGACCTCGTTATATTGCTGTCGATATAACTCGATGTCATTTTCAGCTGATTCCAGGGTCTTGCGGTACCGGAGCAATTCCTTCTGCATTGTGACTCTGTCTACCTTCAGATCTGTGTTTTCTTTCAACGCTGCTTCGCTGAAGCCAGGGCCGGCTTTTCGTAGAGCTTCTTCGAGGAAATGAATCTTCAATTTCAGACCGAAGTTCTCCTTCTCAATCTTGTCGATGACATTCTCCTGCTCTCTCAAGGACAATTGATTGCCATCCTGCAAAACTCCTGGGCCTGCGTTCCGTCGAGGGAGCAAAGCCATAGGTGTTGAAGCTGTACTACTGCTATCGATTTGCGGCGCCGGTGTCCCTGCCATGTATGAGCCATTTTGAGAACCGCTGCCATAGACCGAGCTGTTGACAGGAATAGGTGTCAGATCCTCTGGTATATCGCCCAGACCTCCAGGTTTTAGAAATGCTGGTGTTTGGGGAATATTTTCCTTTCCAATCCGCAGAGCACTATTTCGAGTCGCGCTTTTGAGAAGAGGAGTAAATTCTCCACCTGCGAGTCCTGCAGGGAGATTTCGTCTTTCGCTGAGCGCAACGCGACTTCGAGGCGTCCTCAGATTGATGCCGCGCCGTCCTTTCTGTAGTTGTGATATTAAGTTGTTGTTATCCTTCGAAGGTGACTGGAAAGATGGTTCTTGTGTTATATCGAAATCCAGCTGTGGATTCGTGAGGTATGTCGCATCGCCGTTGCTCGATCGTGGAGTCTCGAGAATAGCGGCTTGTACCATGTTGATGATTGGGAGCTATCACAGCTCATGCAAATGAGGAAATACTGATGGGTTAATCTTCTGATATGCACAATCCCCAAATGTAGCCATAAACTCCGAAGAAAATGCAAATTGAGGTCGCGTCGAGTTTTGGTTATGGTCGTTCAAAGAACGCGGTTTCTTCCTGTGTTTACTTTGGGTCCAAAGTTGGTTAGCGCGAAACTATCCTCGTGTGAGGCCCAAGCTCCCAAAACGCCGCGTCGAAAATCCAAATGTTGCCTTCAGCCTCATGACCCCGCGATTGTATCAACATATTCTGCACTTTCAGAATGGATTCCCAAGATGATGGTCTGAAATGGTTCGGTGAAGGTTTTGATGGTTTTCCCAAACGTCTACCAGAAGACTGTGTCGAGTACACTCTTTTCATCATCGACTCTAGACTGAAGAACCAGAAAGAAGTGCTATCACGGCTTGAAGCCGTGCGCAAAGAGTCGCTGAAGCTTACTGAAAGCCTACTTAAGGACTACATATGGCAGCGCGATAAGTTCAAGTTGGAACTTGAGAGTGGAAAGGGTATGTCTCTCCACCAATAAAAACAAGGCAGCTACTGATTCGATTATAGGACTGATGTACCTACATGGCCTAACCAACTATGGAGATTCAGTCGAAGACGAGTGGCTCATTGTATATATTCTCAGAGAATTGAGCAACCACTTCCCAGATTTATGGATCAAAGTCGTAGATACAGATGGCGAATTCTTATTGATTGAAGCTGCAAACGCGTTACCAAGATGGTTGAACCCCGAGATAGCAGACAATCGGGTGAGTTGCACAACATCTTAGACATGAATGTTGTGCTTATACTTTGCAGGTCTGGATCCACCATAATCAACTTCGTATCATTCCACTCACTGCAGCTTCGTCATCAAGTACTACCGACCAAACAGCACCAATCTCTCGCAGTCTGACAATTCAGGAAGCCTGCCAAATAATTACCTCGACCCCAGACATCCTCATGAACTCACCTCTGATTGAGGAAGAAGCTTTCTATCGCCTCAGAAATTACCCAGACCAGATCCAGGCCTCAATGCACCATGCTCTGATCACCATACCTAGGAAGCTTGCATCTATTCTACACGACCGTCCAACATCTATTGCCCCTGCAACGGAGGCCTTTTATTTGCGTGATCCGATTGCCTTGAAGCCCCTCCAAACAGAGTCATCCGAACTGATATTTCCCCCAAAAGATCTCGTTACAGTGTCCACACGCTTCACGAAAGTTCTATATGCTCAGCTGAAATCACAGCAATTCGAGTGTCCCGTAGCATGGAGGGATATTCTACTCCAAACAGCCAAGGAGACAGGCGAGTCGGGCAAGAGATATGTCAGCCTTGAGATGGGAATGAAAGTCACTTCTGGGTTCGAAATGCTTGTAACGGACAGTAAGAACAACGATAACCGCGTCGTCCGAGAGTTAAAGATTCTGCTAGACGACTTAGCTACTTGGGAAGACTCCGACCTACCATCCGACCAAGACATTTCTAAGTGGAAAGATGTGACCCGAGAAGACGACGAATCGTGGCTGGATATCAATTTCGAGGACTTCGAGAGAGAACTGCAAGGAAAGAGTCAAGACAAGAAGAAATCGGGAGTTCCAGGTTCTTTTGGTCCAGAGCCGCCTTCGGGATTTGGTGATGCCAAGACGCAAGCTGATCTGAAGAAAATGGTTGAGAGATTCGAGTCATTTCTGAACGATGATAATGCGGGTATCGACGGAGCCGAGATGGACGACATGGATTTTGACGACGACGAGGATGAGGAAGAGGATGAAGAAGATAGTGAAGATGAAGATAAGGATGTCAGCTTCGACGAAAAAGAATTCGCGAGGATGATGAGAGAGATGATGGGGATGCCGCCTGAGGAAGACGAGGCAGAAGATCCGGCCAGTGGGCTCCGAAAGGTCGAGGAAGTTGAATCTAGTGACGATGAAGATGGCTTGAGTGAAGCGAGGAAAATTAGGAAGGTCATGGAGAGGATGGAAGCCGAGCTCAACGAAGCTGGAGCTCTTAATCTAGACCCAACACCAAGAAAACTATCAGCGCTCAAAGGCAAATCGAAAGAAGAAGCTGAAGAGGATGCCGATTCTGAAGACAGCGACGATGATGTCAACATTGATTACAATCTCGCCAAGAACCTGCTTGAAAGCTTCAAGAGCCAGGCCGGTATGGCAGGTCCCGGAGGCAATCTATTGGGATTGATGGGATTACAGTTCCCCCGAGATGAAGATGACACGGCGTCAACTAGTAAGAAGACATGAATGAGAAGAAAGGTCATCAACTTTATTAGATATTGTGCGAGGGTATCATTTCCTATATGCAGACACCGGACGCCACGCTACGCTCAAACGCTCAGCATTTCATCTTATCATTCCGTCATCCCATCATTTGTCTTTTGGTACCGTCTTCCCTTTGGCTCTGTCTTTCCTTTTAGCTCTGTCGTTCCTCTTGGCTCTGTCCTTCCTGTTGGCTCTGTTTTTCCTTTCGACTCTGTCTTCACCCGTTTCGAAGATTCGCCATCAGTCGATGAACTCCGTACCCGCTTCGGTGCATCGCCATCCACCACATCCACTTTCTCCAGTTGCGCCAGCACTTGTGTAAGTTTCCTCCTCCCTCCCAGTTCCCGCCGACTACTGTCACCCTTCGGCCTATAGTATTCCGTCACTACCTCCACTATCGCTCTATAGCAACGATACAGCAATTTCCTTGTCTCCGAGTGTTCTCCATCCTCGATGATCTCTTCGCCAGCGGCATCCCAGCCTTCTTGGAACCCTTCCGTAGGTTCATCAAAGCAGGACGCTATCAGTGGATCGCCGAAGACTCCCTGACTCCAGTTTCGGAGCCCGGTCAAGCGGATGTGCTCTGAGGGCAGCATCGTTTCTTCGTCGTCGGGATCGCGCTCTATCATGACGTTCTTCGGGTCGTTGATGTCGAGGATGGCAAGTCTGGGTGTGGTGACTGCGTCGAGTCGCCATGATAGTCTTGCGAAATGTGAGCGGATGACTTCGTATGGTAGGAGGACAGCCATGTCTTCTCCGTCCCGAAGAATGCTTTCCAGGAGCGTGTTGAATCCTTCGGCCCAAGTCTTGCATCCGAGCTTGGGAGGAGCTGATGGTCCAGATGGCTGGCACGGAAATGGAAGAGCTTTGTTCGCCATACCAAACAGCTTCATGGGAGAAGTTAGATTGGCTAGGGTTCGTGCCAGTGCGCCGACTTGTTTGTCTATGTCGTGACGTTCGGGGACGCTTAGGAATGGAGCAAGTTTCGTGAGAGGTTCTCCAGGTGTTGAGCTGACGATGGTGTAAGGATATGCCAGTTCGCGGCTGTCCTTGGCGTGCTTGAGCAGTTTAGGGGCCAGCCCTAGTAGCGCTCTTGATACTTTTTGGCTATCATCTTTGGCTTTTGAAGATTCATCCTCCTCCTCGTCCTCCCCTTCTTCTACTTTCTCCTTGCCACTTTTCCCGTCGAGATCTGACTCGGCCAAGAAATTCAACAGAACAGCTTCAGTCGACAATATCGTTGACTCCTGTCGAAGTAATCGAATGGATAAGCTTGGAGCCACCGACAACAGCACCTTCTCACCATCCGACATCTTTAAGGTGAAAAGCCTCGCAAGTCCACTCGATTTAAGTTCTTCGGTCGAGCTTAGCGTCACATCGGGCAAGACATGACTTAAAATGTCTTTGAGTCGTCGTACCGGTAAGGAGTACATCAGTGAGGACATACGCTGCCGAGGCGGTCCTACCTTCTTCGTTGCTGCTGGGACCTTCCGTGGTGAACGGGACCCCCCTCCTCGGTTGTCTGCCATGGCAGCAGCAGAGGACGACCGTCCCGAGATATATGCTGGTGATAAGCAGCAGGCTGCTGAATCGGCCCTAAAGACCGCTTGTGGCTGAGATGCCAACACGGCTCCTGCCCCAGGCGTTTGAACCACACCGTCGGGTCCTCGAAATGTGATATTGCAGCAGGGATCCGACGTCCCGTGAGCGATGTGTCTTGGCCTATAATGCTGTGTCATTCGAGATTGGCGGAGGCTTGAACTCGTGTGGGCAATTTGCCGTGGGGTGTGATGGCGCCGGGGAAGTGAAATGTGATGGATCTTCACGGGGGGGGGGGGGGGAAGTGCTTTGCCGTGCGTGTGCAATAATCTGAAGGAGAACAAAGCGTCTATATAGATTTCTTCCTCACGAGAACAGGACTAACCCCCACTGCCCTGGAGTCTCTAGATCTCTCGAGTCTGCATCTACTTCCTTCACTTGATGTAGGTTTTGCATATGTATGAAGAGAAGCAAAGTGGGCACGAATCTGCAATCCACACCAGCCCGATTGGCGAGCAATAGACGAAATGTACCATCTCAGCCATGCTGGCAAAGCATTCTGTTCATGTTGGCAGTCCGCCGTGGCCATACCAGACGTGCTTCAGAAAAGAGAAAATGGGACCATGGCGCGTGAGCGCTTGAGAAGCGTAATATTTTCCACTTGGCTTGCTTCTGTCGCTGCAAAATCGCTTATTGTGGTCTGGGATTGGCCCGTAGCAGGCGGTTCCCGGGAAGGCAAATGCTCTGGAGAGACAGGGGGCGCTATTGACAGCAGCATCGGAGCAATCTGCGGGCAAATGGTGCAGATGGTCATGTCCAGTGTTGGTGGTGCTGGATATTGACCTTGGAAGCGAAACAACGTGGCCCAGAAATCTCCTACTGGTTGTCATTACGCGAGTGTGCATGGCGACCGCCGACCGACTGCATGGAAAGGCGAAGTGGGTGCGAGCAGGGCAGGGCAGGGGTAAGCGGATGTGTCAGTTGGCGAGAATGCGTGGGAGTTGGGGGAGCTGAGTGGATGCCGCTGTTGAGGATGGACATGTTGGTGGTGGTGGACGAGAGCACCGAATACGATGCGTGCTTAGCAGAATTGTGTTAATGCTGAATGTGGCAACTTCATGCCGCAATGCTTCATCGCATTTAGTGCTTTCTCGAGGCGTATTGATTCGCTTTGAATGTTGGGTGCGGGACTCGGACAACTCAGATCCTTGGGACTTGATGCGTGCGGAGGTCACGGTACGGATTGTGCTCGAGGACAAAACGTACATGCTAATTCGAGTTGATAGATGCGTCGTCAAGTGAGCCCCAGCTGCACCGTCGTACAGTGTAGATCCTGCCGAGTAGGTGCAGTAATCTTGGAATGCAACTGCAGTCGAGGAAATGCTACCTTTGCCGGGCTAGGACTGTCTGGTGGCCAGACGTGGCAGAGCTATTGCAATCAGAAAGTCGATAGTCAGGTGTCAGCTCTCCCCCAACGTTCAAGAGGTAGATAGGTACCCTTGGCCAATCCGAGAACGGGGAACCGTCGGGCGGAATTCCTCCTTTTCGAACCTGTCAGAACTCGGCTGGAAAGGAAGCCAGAATCATAGAAGCAAGCCTTCTGCTTCTGCTTCTGCTTCTTCTTCGACCCCCCTTCACTTAAGCCCCCCCCCCCCCCCTTCGTTAATTTTGTGCCGATGTGGTTAGCTGTCAAACGGTGGATCTTCCCGATTCGAAGCATTCTAGCGAGCTTCGAGAAACGCCTGCCTGGGCTGGATTGGTGTGAGAGATCAATTTGGAGGCTGCAACTTCGGAACACAGACCCAGTTAAAGGGCGATATCATGCTGAATTTCGGAGTGAGAAATATATAAATGGCTGAGAGGATTGCGTTGGTCTGCATGAATGTTACAGTACAGTAGTTGTGTTTGCGATCGCGATCGCTTCAAACACTTGATCGAGTACTTGATTGTGCATATGGGAATAAAACAGATATGTAGTTAGCAGTACATTGTTCAGCGGTCTGGAGCCTGTTAGCAACTTCACCGCCTTCAGCCTCTAAATCTTCCATGCATGTAGCGGTCAGATCATTTGACAACGTTGGTCATGAATTTATTGTCATTTTTGTGAATACTTCTTAGGGGGACTGGGGTTCAGTGTCTGAAGACACTGAAACCTTCATACAATGGAACTAGGCCAGTGACGTTGAGTAGTGATCGTCTTGATCCAGCAAAAAGCAAGTCCCGAGACAATCGAATTCGACATTTAAGGCCCCGTGTTGTCGGTAGTAGCCACGCCGGCACCCTCGATTGTTGCTACGCTTTGAAGTTTAGCCTCAGCATCTGAAGCAGCCTTAGCATTCAGCGTCGACTGGCCATGCGAGTATAGTTCAGCCAGGTTAAATCGCTTCAATGCTTCCCAATCGCCTCCAACTACACTCATCCCACACACCGTCTGCAAACAGAGTATCAGTAGACGAACATACATATAGTGCAACCTACCACTGCACGATCATGCAATGAAATGGAGTACATGATGTCGGCAAGTATGGATCTTACCTGATATATGTCCACCACAATCACTTTCTCTGCATTCGTCAGATCAACCTTGTGCGTGTCCGCGATCGACGATGCAATTTGTTTGATGACTGCATCCCGCTTGAGAGTATTATGATTTCGAATAGTTGGTCGAATAGCATACTGTGGGCATGTCAGCAAGTCGTTTATGGTTTCCGCTTTGAGTTGAATGCAACGCAAAGATACGACCGGAGTGGCGAAAGTACACGAGGGATCGAAATTGAGAACGTTGGACTTACAGAGTAGTTGGCATGGTCCTGCGAAGTCTCATTCGTAGGAAGACTTTGGTTATCTTCGCTACTATTGTTGCCCTCACCATTCTGCGTATTCAGCTTGAAATAATTTCCAAGCACTGATTTCGACAGATCCTCAAGTCCCTTCTCAGTCGCCTTTCCGAACAAGGTCATTGGTGTTAGACGATTGATGTATCTCATTCTTCGGATCTTCGGATTCGCAACAATCTCCTCACAGATTTTGTGTGCGAAATCTACGGGGTCTATGCCGGACCGAGTCTTGAAGAATAAGACGCACTGGAGATCCATGTGTATTTGTGTGAACAGCTCTGTGTTGCCATCTTTCTTCTGATCCATAGAAGCTAGCTCCTTCTTTATGACAGCCTCGATATCATCAGAGTTTTCATCACCTTCTGGTTCATCGGGTGCTGACTTAAGGCCATAGAATCTTTCTGCACACTATGCATCGTGTTAGCCTCTAACTGCAAGTTTTCCTCTCCGCCGTACCTCTTCCAACATAGCTTTGAGCTCCGCTGCCGCCTTTCGTTCCACACCTCTTGCACAAGTTGCCCAAATACCAGCATCACCGGGCTCTATCTTCCCACTTGATCGAGAAGCGAGTTTTGCTTGTTGATGTGGAGTTTGCCATTTGCCACCATTTCCTCCCTATTTCACGATTAGTATATGCATTGCTAAAGTTATTGCTACATCTCCAGGGAGAACGCGAAGCATATTGAAATCAAATCCACAAAATCCTTGCCGTACTTCGCCACCTAGCTAGAAGCATGCATGTTCCTCAAATAAGACCAGATGTTATTTTCCGCAACCGCTGTGAATGTATGGTAAAAAAAGACGAAACAAAGTGAACGTGAGCGTCGTGACATCTCGCGCAGAAGTCTCTTCCCACAGTCTCTCAAAACTTGATATCATGGCATGAGCAGCAACAAGCAAGCACCCAGATTCGTACTACATCTGAAAAATTGAACAGACTACCAGAATACTATGTCCCAGCTCGAGAATCTCAACAAACACCAGCACGCTCTAAACATGGACATCCGCCAAATGCAAGGAACCAGAACTCCCATATCAGTAAAGTAGTATTCACCGCATACTGTAACACGAAATACGCAAAGCTGAACCACGCATCTGTCCAATTGAGAAATCAATCCTCCAAACCGCGACAAAAACATTCATCGAATTCTTCAGCCTCGCGCACATCCCCACAAGAACACAAAGAAAACCCTCAAAGCATACCTTACTCCTCTTCCCACCCCTCTCAGCACCATCACCACCCGTTCTCTCTTTCCGTTTCCTCGAGTCGGCCATGCTGATACGGATCGTCTTGCGACTGCGTTGTTGACGAGGGACGAAGATGAGGTTTTGCAGAAGAGGGCTGTCCCCACTTTTTGGGTTCGGGTGTGGCCAATTGGGCTAGTGGGACGAGGCTGAGAGCTTTTGTGACTCGATTGATACAGACATGAATGGATGAATTTCAGGTAATAACGCAAGGATAGATATTACATTCTGATAGTGTAATTGGTTGCATTATTGAAGTTCCTGTTTACCAGAGGGAAAAGGTGATTGTCTACAATCGAAAATCGTTCAGACATTTTTCCCAGGTTAGGTAGAGTTCGAAAGTGGTCCAAAGATTTGAATTATGCTGGAAACTTGTTTTGCAGTGGGACAATGATATTCGGTTTAGTGAGTCAAGAATGTCTGTCAGTAATGAGCGTCCAAATTCAAGTCCCATTGATGGTCCTGTACAACGCGATTTTAACTTTACTGAAGCTTGTTCTCAATTTGGAGATTCACGTATTTCCTTCAGGCGGCATTTTTGAAAGAGCTGAAATTTGTCCTCTATGTATTCATGAAGTCATGAACCCCAATCTATCCTTTCGCCAACCCGAATTTGAAATCGCCTCCAACGAAACCTTCGTAAACACCATTTCACTCCTTGGCATTTCTTTGTGCAGCAGCCTCTGCTGTTAGAACCAATCCTCTTGGGGCATCCTTCTTTGGGATATACAGCTCAACAAATTGCAAAACGTCGGCAGAGTTGAAGTCCTTGTCAGCAAAGAGCTTGGTGACTTCTTCCTTGGTCTTAATTTGGTAGGTACGATATGTGCCTTCCTTAGCACCGAAGACCTTGACGAGATCTTTGAAGTGCCATTGTTGAATATCGTTGTACTCTGCGTCCATACCGTGAATAAATCGTTCAATTGTGAAGCCGTCGTTACAGATGACGAAACTAGATATGTTAGTTTGAGTTTTGAGGGTGAAGAGCGTTGGATCTTACATGATTGGCTTCAATCCTAGACGAATCATGGTGCTGACTTCTTGGGCTGTCAATTGGAATGATCCATCGCCAACAAAGAGGATGCTTCGTCGGTCCATTCCAGCATCACGGGCGGCAAGACATGCGCCTTGAAGCGCACCAACGGAGTATCCAATACTACCCCACAGCACCTGACTGATGGCTGTGACACCTGCTGGGAACTTGGTTTCCCAAATACCGAAGTTCGCTGTACCAGTCTCGGTAATAACAATATCGTCCTTCTTCAGGAATTGTTGGCCGACTACAGGCCAAATCCATTTTTGTGTGATGGTCTCAGACTTGTCTTCGTTCTCTTCTACCTTGTTCTCCATCTTAGGTCCAGGAACAGCAGATAGCTTGCTCAAGTCGACTTGCTGAATAACCTTTCGGAGCACACCTCTCATCGAAACGCCAGGGTATTCTGAGTATCTTACAGTTGTATGTGTACTGTGGAAGTCAATTGTGTTGAGTTGAGAAGTCTTATATGTGAAGCCAGCGGTGTTGAAGTCACTCTATATCATTGTTAGTAATAAAACTTCCTCCCAGAGCGGCAATGCCTTACCTTGATGGCTCCAATTGTCAAGATCAGATCGGAAGCTTCTACGCGCTTCTGAACCTCTTCTTGACTTCCATCACCTGCGTAAACTCCGCCAAAGCTTGGATGTGTCTCGTTGACTGCACCCTTTCCCATTGGAGTGACGAAAACTGGAAGTTTAGTCTTGTCTATCAAGTCATGAACTTCCTCGAGAACTCTGTGCCGGATGGCACAAGCATCAATCAAGATTATTGGGTTCTTTGCAGACTGAAGATACTTCAAGACCACTTCCACGACGTAATCTTCTCTGGCCATGTCATTTGTAGGGAATGAAAGATCAATTGGAGTCTTCAGTCGCTCTCCCTCGATCTTCTTCTGGACCATATCGGTGGGTAAAGTAATATAGACGGGTCGACTTTGAATCCAACATTTTTGAAGGGTGTCGTCAATTAGAGCGGCTGCTTCTCTTGGGTCATTCAATTTAGCCATTGCACAGGAGATCTCTTTGTTCATATCTGCAAAGACCTTGGCAAAATTAGCAAGTACAATCTGAAAATGAACAGTAGTTGCGAATATTCTGGAGGACTCGATGATCTCTCTATGTGCTGTGACAACTGCAAGTATGTATGCTCACATTGAAGTTTCCATTGCCCAGTGTATGATGTAGAAGCATGCCATCCTTCTGCGAGGCTGTTGAAGGCATTCCAACAATATGGACAATTGGAACATGCTCCGAGTATGCACCTGCGATAGCATTGACGGTCGAGAGCTCTCCGACACCGAAGGTAGTAACTATGGCAGACATGCCCTTGATTCGTGCGTACCCATCTGCTGCATATCCTGCCAACCGTGTCAGAAGTAACATGAAGCTCGACAGATTACATACCGGCGTTGAGTTCGTTGACGTTCCCCACCCACTTCAATCCTAGATTTGGGATATAATCGAGAGCTACCAGGTTGTAGTCGCCTGGCAGGCCATGGATCGAGCGGACACCAATCTGTTGCAATCTCGTGAAGAGATACTCTGCAACGTCAATTGGCGATTTAAGTTCGGCAGTCCTAATGGGAGAAGAGGTGCCAGCTCTGTAGACTGGAGTGCTGGTCATATTGTCTAGAATGAGTTTTCGATTGACGAGAGAAAAGAGTAGGAAGGATTACTTTGTTGCAAGAAGAAGACTATGTTGAGAAGACGGGTAGATTTGTTGGCCTTGCCAGAGTTCAAATACTCGCTGGAGCTTGAACCCGTGAAATCCGTAGCAAGCCTCACCCCACCTAGAAAACTACCTATGACGATGCAGGAGCTTGCAGCTAGAAAGACACGCCACTTTGATGGAGACAATGCAGTGAATCCATCAAAACCAATACCGTTACTCACGCGTTCCGAGTGCTATCAATGCTACGGTCCGATTGCATAGTCGAGAAGTCGGTCGAGTGAACTGATGATGGAATCTTGAAAAAGAAATAAAATGGAGAATTTGTGTCGAGGAGCCACCAGACTGTGGCTTGTGCACAGTGGCTGGAGACTAGATTCACGGTTGGTGTGGATATCCGAATATCTTCAATCTGCCAAAATAATAGCATTTTTCCAACCGACGGGAAGTTATTAAGCAGCCCGCATCACAGCTTAACCAAGACTGTTATTAATCAATACAGATTGGAAATATTTCAGATGACAGCTCAGGGATGAGGTAGATCATAATAGAGGATCACCACGATTAATGAAGCTCGGAATCAACCCACCTCACCCTGGAACCGAAAATAGCTGCCGGCAGCCGTTGGGAGCCTCAATCAGTCTCGTATGTCCTACGGCGTATTCTACCAATTGCAGAAGACTAGGGAATGCATATGAGAGGGGTCGTAATCTGTCTCGTCTTGAACATCCGAATTTTCTGCTCGCTGGTGAAAACAAAATGTGGGTCGGAGCAGCCGTTGTGGCGCCACGACATCGACAGCTGAGACTGAAACCTCACGATTGATGAAAGAAGAAGCGCCTCACGTCTTGAGGCCGAAGAAGTGCCTCTGGGCGATATCCGAAGTACGAGGGCGGCGGATCGTCTAACAACAGCTGGTTCAGGCCCATGTGGGCTCGTATAACTTCTAATGTACCTCCAAGACGAGCTTCCTTATCGCTCTCAAGACTACTATCTGTACAAGGCCAATTCTTCAGTGGTTTTTCCTTTTATCTCATATCTTTCACGCTTCTCTTTTCTTGCATCCCAAAGTGAAGACGCTCAAGTCAAGTAGCGGTGTGCACACCTTAGTGAATATCTATCAAATGTATCCATTCGCGTACATACACAACACATCTGATGTCGAGGCGGCGGCAAGGCTCCCCGAGACGAAACCATGAAACACGGAAATAAAGATGGCCCGAAGGTGTGGCTGAAAGTGTGTTGGCCCAGCGTGCTTGGCGGCGGGCTGGAGAACCTCCATACGAGTTGACGGCCAGCCCTGCAGACCCTTTGATTGAATGAACGAATAGAATGTCGCGCGACTACCAACAACATTGAATGCCGCCCTCGCCCTCAGTCATCTCTCACCCTCACTCCTCTCCCTATCACCATACTTCTTGGTGCTGCGCCGTCCATTCTCGCTCTCGAGTCTTTTGCTGTGAGCGATACTAAGTGCTCTGCGACGACGAGCTTGTCCAAAACATTGGGTTGGGTCTGGTCGGTCGTCTTGAGGAGCTCGACGACAACGCAAGGGACAGGCCTCGCCGACCTCAACACGTCTGAATCGCATGTACGAAGATGCGCGGATTACGATGACCAGTTCGCGCCCTCGATCCTCTTCAACTCGATCGAATAATTCAGAAGCAAATAGACTGCCGGCTGTCTCCCCAAGGATCAGTTCGCACGCTGATCTCCAAGTCCCAGAGGACCTCATCTTGAACGACGTTCCGCAGTACAATCTCAGCAGCTCCTCGGGTCTGCTAATACCCATATACGGCAACGGCTCCCCGTATCCAACACTTGCATCCTCGGGTGGTGCTTCGCGCCCAAGAGCGAGATCTGCAGCGGCAGATCCGGTGCCTTCGCCATTGAATACCCAGAATAATTCTTATCGACCCTCCGCACGCTCTGGTCCAAACGTTCCGATGTATCAACCAGGGCAGAGACATCCATCTGCGGTGGATGCTTCAAGGCAATATGTTGTTCCACCCCCACCACCCATGTCTCCTCCAGCGCAACCGCATATGATGACCATTCTCCCTCCCCCACCTCCTCGAAATGTCGGACCTCAATCTCACCAACACCCTGGCGTTATACTCCCACCACCCCCGGGTCCCCCTCCAGTTTCGAGCTGGCAAGGCAGCTGGGGTCGGTCGTATGATGCCAGAGGATTCCCTCTACCTCCACCTAATCCTCCTACGAACACCCAACATCAAGCATATAATCCTAGTCAAAGCTATGTTAACCATCAGCCTCCCCCTCTTTCGATACCACCACCCCCTGCTAGCGAGCATCAAATGTCTGCGACTTACATACCACATGGAGATTCATTCGGACCCGGAGTAGGTATACCTGGGTTTGGAAGACAAGAACCAAGCTTCACTCGCGGTGATAGTGCAGAATTCTCAGCTGTGTCTGTGTCAACTCCTGTGGACGATGGTGGCAGCTATTACCAGAACCGATCTCAACATTACCAGACACAAACACCAGTAAGCCGATTCAACGACATTCACCTGCCAGATTACAGTGCTTCGGGACCTCCTACGGCTACTATACTTAACCCGCAACCGTCTAGCAGAGGCCTCAATCAAGCCAGTAATACTGGTACTCCAATATCGCCTAACGATGCTGGCTTGGAGTGGACCATGGATCGTGTTCTTTTATGGCTTGCTAACAATCAATTTTCAAAGGATTGGCAAGCAACGTTCAAATATCTGAACATTTGTGGTTCGGTTTTTCTTGAGCTAGGAAGCGGACACGGAGGAAGAGGCAACTTTGGTATGATGCATCAACAAGTTTATCCTCGTCTGGCAAAAGAATGTTCGAATAGCGGCACAGGTTGGGACCAAGCAAGGGAGCGGGAAGAAGGCAAGCGCATGAGACGTCTGATCAGAGGTATTGTCACGGGCAGAGCACCAGATGTGACCAAAACTCACATCCGTCGAGAATCTTCAAATGCCAATATCCCCAGCGCAGGCACGGAGGGGACTCTTGAGGGCTCACCAAACCTTGGTAGAGAAGCTCAAGTGTCGACGCCTAGCACAGCCAATGGAGATGATGATAGTCCGGGTAAAACAATGTTCAAAGGACCAGGGCCCGGGTTTTCAAGCAGAAGAGTTTCTGCACGAAGCACCACAATGCCGATTTTGAGTAGTAGTAATGGGCCTCTGGCAGAATCGGATTCTGTGAGTAGGAACGGTCATCGAAATGCTCTACGAAACATTGATGGAGGGCGCCACAGTCCAAGTGCAAGTAGCGACACGGAAGGACCATTTCGCGCACCAGCTCTCCGGGTTGATGGTAGTCCCAATCCGGATAGTCCAGGTGGCACTTTTGTATCGATGAACGCATCGAGCACAGGCAATTTGTCTGCTTCGCCTCGCAGTGCAAAGTTCGGACATCGAGCAAGTAATAGCACGGACTCCATCTCATCCAGTGCAGCTATATACGGCTCTGGAGTTCCACCAGGTGCAAGTCAAATTCTACGGGGGGGAATGGGTGGAGCTGTAGGAGAGCTGAATCTCGTTCGCAATCAAGACACCCGTCGTCATGGAGTCGACGGTGCCCGGCCTTCGCCATTGGATTCTGGTGAGCGATCTGCTAGTCTGGAACAGCCTGGCTCCGCGAAAGAAGGCAAGGGCTTTTTGATGAAGCATTTCCGCAAAAAGAATAGAAAAGAAGACGGTGCAGGGCCTTCTCCCGAAGAGCCAAATCTCGAATCACCTACAAGTCCCTCTTTGAACTTCAAAGCCGCTCCCTTTATGGGTAAAGTCAGCAATTCGAGCGAGACTTCTCTGGATCGGCCATCTTCAACATTTTCCGCCTCAGAATATGATCGGTTTGCACATACTACAGGGTATCGCGGAAGGCGTAATGTGCCAGGGCGAAACTTCATACTCGCAACTCTAGACGGATGGAACTACCGCATGTGTGAAGTTACTGACTTGGATTCTGCCAACGAGATTCGTGGTACAATCTGCTCGAGCCTCGGACTACATGACAGCGAATTTGTTAAAATTTATCTTACTGATCTAGGTAGATCCGATCATGATGAAGCACTAGACGATCAGAAACTACTTATCCACAGACGAGCAAAAGCAGATCAGTCTGGGAGTCTGAAAGTATTTATCAAGGCTCCTGCTAATGCGTACACATCTGGAGCCCAGACTGTGAGTCTAGGTATGAACTTTGGTAACAAACTCGGCCTATCGCCAGGCCTGCCGCCAACAGCACCACTGGACGAAGAAGCATACGCTGCGCTCAATGGTGCCAGAAGGCGGTCCAGCTCATCCCCTCCTAGCTCTCGCCAAAATACGATCAAGGCTAGCATACCACCATTAAGTCATGAGAGTCCTGAGTTACCTTCCTCGGACAGCCAGACTGATGCTCTCCGAGATCGTCTTATGCAGTTCAGGTCGTCTCAAGCAACAGGCGAGAGCCAGCTTCCTGAAGCAGAGAGACAAGCGTTTATGGAATTAGCTGCTGCTGAGCATAAAGCTGAGATGGAGCGCAGACAAAAGGAGTACTTGGCTAAAAAGAAGGCAAGCAAGGAGACTCCTTCCGCTGATGGGGCATTTGGCATTGTTGGTCGCAATGTTGATTTTGATCAGCCACGAAATTCTCCATTCGAAGACAAGAAACCCGACAGCCTCTTCCCCCAAAGGAAGCCGCCTCGACCGCCTGCGGAGTCGGCAACTTTGATTAAAGCCAATTCTCTGAGCAAGAGATCAGGCCAGCAAGCACGTCTATCGTTGACGAGCATTGACAGCGACGAGAAACGTATGTCCGGCGGAGACCAGTTTCCTTCCACCATTCATGAATTGTCTGAATATGCTAAACGCAAGCCTGTACCTCCCTCACCGTCTGGTGGCGCAATTGCAGCTCTTATCGGGATGGGAAGTCGATTGGGTGGAGTCGGGCACCCAAGCCCAAATACAGCCTCCTCATCACCAAATAAAAGATCTCCGCCTGGTGACAGTCCTCAGTTCGATCGAGGTAGAAGTGCAATGGCAACTGTGGATTTCGGTACATCTGCTTCCGGCCGAAGCAGCCCTAGGTCTGCAAGTGGCACTCCCGGCAGCACAACATGGAGCAAAGGAGAAACAGCCTTCACTGTGCCAGACTATGGAGAAGAAGGAAACCAGTTGATCGCCAATGACTTGATAGCCTCAGGTAGAATGCCTGAGAATTCGACGGTCACCAAGTTACGAGAGGAGGACATGAAGAGAGCGCCATCTCCAGGTGAATTGAGTCCAAGCAGTGCCCATACTCCTTCCGGCATGAACATTCCCGGGAACAGAAAATCCTATGGTCCCAACTTGGACTTCACAGAATCGAACATCAACTTCAAGAACTCACCTCAACAAGCACCAGAGAGCGATTCGGACGATGATTCGGATGACGGCCTCTTCGCTGTACCGATAGCATCTCGTACACCCGTCAAGAAATCTAGTCTCAGGAGAGTCAATGGCGGAGAGGACAAGTCAAGCGATACAGAGGGCATTGGTAAACGACCAAGTTTGACGATTAGGACTTCGCGCTCGAAGAAAGGTTTATCTGTTTCATTCTCCTCGCCACAAAATGGCGGGAACACTGCCAATACTCCAAGAGCACCTGACTTCGATGATGACAATTCTCGCAGTGCTGGCAAGAGACCACAACGCCGTAATCCTAATTCTGCGGCCTCGAACTCTGAAGGCGGGTGGTCTGCAGAATCTTCAGAGGATATGAGCGCCAAATTGCTTCGTCGTGAATCTTTTGCTAGAGAAGATGTCTGGGCAAGCAGACCTCCTGCGGAGGCGCTTATCAACCACCTCGACGACTTCTTCCCGAATTTGGACCTGGATCAGCCTGTACTGGAGGAAAGTAGCGGAACATCACCGCCTGTATCGCCGATAGCAGAACACCAGACCTTGGAACAACTAGCTGCTGGACAAGCAGGAATGAACATGGGCGAGCAGTCGTCGACAGGCACCATGCGATCAAATCTATCCTACAATGATGGAGATACTTTAGGATCGGACGAGTCAACTTTGAAAGCATTAGAAAGGCCTAGCTCCATTCAAAGTGTCGCTCAGCGGAACGTTCGTCGTTCCGGCGGCTTGGGTAGGATGAAGTCCATTCGTGAGGTTGCAAGAGGAGCCCACGAAGCGAACAAGCGATATACACAAGTTACTGCGCCTATCCAGCAAGGTGCTGCATCCAGCACTATTCTCCGACGTAAGAGTACGAAGATGTTCGGTGCCAATATTGTCCAGATTAAGCCTCAGCGTGGCAGCATGATACTTCCACAGATTCCTCAAGACACCATCCCCAAACGGCAAGCAACTTTCCGTTGGTTCAAAGGTCAATTGATTGGTAAAGGTACATACGGTCGAGTATACTTGGGAATGAATGCAACGACTGGAGAATTCTTAGCTGTCAAACAAGTCGAAGTCAGCGCTAAAGCTGCTGGAAACGACAAAGACAAGATGCGCGAGATGGTCGCAGCACTTGATCAAGAAATTGATACTATGCAGCATCTCGACCACGTGAACATCGTCCAGTATCTTGGTTGCGAACGGAAAGAAATGTCGATCAGTATCTTCCTCGAGTATATTTCTGGTGGTAGCGTTGGAAGTTGTCTTCGGAAACACGGCAAATTCGAGGAGACAGTAGTCAGCTCGCTCACGAGGCAAACTCTCTCGGGCCTAGCATATCTGCATCGCGAAGGTATTCTACATCGAGATCTCAAAGCTGATAACATTTTGCTGGATCTCGATGGAACCTGTAAGATTTCTGATTTCGGTATCTCGAAGAAGACCGACAATATTTATGGCAATGATGCATCGAATAACATGCAAGGTTCCGTGTTCTGGATGGCACCAGAAGTTGTTCGATCTCAAGGCCAAGGATACTCCGCCAAGGTAGATATCTGGTCGCTCGGCTGCGTTGTCCTCGAGATGTTTGCTGGTAGACGACCTTGGAGCAAGGAAGAGACCATCGGCGCTATCTACAAGCTTGGCAGTCTGAATGAAGCACCTCCAATTCCAGACGACGTCTCTCAAACGATCAGTCCAGTTGCCGTAGCCTTTATGGCAGACTGCTTCACCATGTAAAACTTCACATCTCCTCTTTCCATGTTAATCGCTGACCCACAATCTAGTGATCCTTCTGAACGTCCCACAGCAGACACACTTCTATCTCGACATCCATTCTGCGATTTGGATGCCAATTATAATTTCCTCGACACCGACCTCTATGCAAAGATTCGCGGTGCATACTAAACAATTCCTTTCTTAAATTCTACAAGAGCGAGCGGAGCATGGATAAAAAATTCTTTTGAGCGGCGCTGGACAGCTTGATGACTAATGAATATGGCTTGCATTATTGTATTCATATCGTGGCTTCTTTTCCCTTTTATACCTACCTTATGCGGGTATCTTGCTCTACTAAAATAGCGCTGGCGTGGGGTTGCTGTTACTTTTTGCTTGGTTTTGATGGTCGGTCCTGATTCTGGGATGGAATAGATGGAAGTTGGAAGAAAGGGGTGATGATTGGGAGGGATTGTTTATTGTATACCTAGATGTTATTACGATGAAATCTGACCGGCGTTAGCTCCAAGGTGTTTGAAATGTGATTTGAGTAGTCGAAAGCGAATATCTAGACTGAAGAGGTGATTCAGCTGCAAACTTTGCTCTCCCCTTTAATCTTTCCTATGCAGTATTCTTTGGTTCGAGCTATGCGACGAAAGAGAGGTAGCTTCGAGGAGAGGAAAGACCGCATATCTAGGGGATGGGGTATCAGTTAGCGAGTCACAAGAGCTCGTGGTGAGGCGACGCCTTGAATTGCACACAAGTACGTAGCTTGGAGGTGTCGGACGCTAAATCGAACATGATTCATAAAGTGACTAATAACCAACCATAATCCGATGATGTTAATATACATGCATCTCTTTCCGGTGACTAGAACAGATCTATCGGGTTACATAAATCGACAGGAAGGTTTGTCCAGAGGCTGATCCCAGTATCTCTCTCCTTCAACAACGAAAATCATGACCGACGTTACGCAAACAGAGAATGCAACTAGGGATGGAGATCGAGTTATCATTCTTGCTTGCCAAATTATGGCTGCAAATCCTCACCTCACCGATACTCAGGCTCTTGGCTTGGCCAAAGCGATCATGGCTGGAGGTCTGAACCTTGTCCAAGGACAAATGGGAGAGTTCGTTGATCCTCAAGTCAGAACTCTTGCTATGCAGATAATCCAAGCGGAACCTCGAGTTGGTCACCAACAGGCTGTACGAGTTGCGCAAGCCATAGTCTACGGAGGTATGGGTGTCACTCAAGGGGTTGGTCGGTAGACGAATGGGATCGGGTAAGCCATGACATATTAACAAGGATGTTACGATGTTGGCAAATGTATCAGAGCTTGTCTGGCTACTCGGCCACACCAGTTGAAAGAAAAATCTAGCTCTGTTGGCATATCTCTTGAAGTGATTGGCTTGAATTCCTCTCTGTTATCATACCCTGCCTTAAGAACAGATGTTTTCAATCATCGGGACAATGGAAAAGTACGTAGGCAAACTATTCCCAGGGTATACATGTGCATTGTGAATCATTTATTTATGAATCTACAAGCACTTCTGACTGTAGAATGGGATATAAAAGAAGAGTTCTGTTCATTCTGTGCATCTTCTCCATTCTGCAACCAACATCAGCTTTCCAGATTCATCTTCCTGACTCGACTTACGAAATTCAAAACGACTTTAAGCAACAGACAGCAACAACAACAGCAATTAAGACAAGCTCCAGCAGAGACCAATAAGCTAAAGGAGACACGACGAAAGGATCAAGTCGAAGACAAATAGCAAGCAATGTCTTCTGAAGAAGTGCCCAAGGAGCAGCAAATTGCTGATGCGAGAGACGGCTTACTAAAACTCAACCCAGGGAGGAGTCGACAGTGGGCTGAACTCTGGGCAAAAAGTCTCATCGAACTTAAATATGCTCAAGCTCCCAGGATAATTAAAGGCAACCCACGCCCTAAAGCTGCGCATACATTTAGTAAGGAGACTAGCAAAGGTCAGAGCGGTTCTGGTGGAAAGACACCCGGTGGAAAGACATCTATTGGCAAGGCTCCTAGTGGAAAGACCCTCGAAGGAAAGACTCCCAGTGCAGAAACTCGAGGTGAAAAGACTCCTGCTGGCAAGACCTCTGATAGCAAGACTCCTGGCGGAAAGGCATCTGGTGGAAAGGCGTCTGGTGGAAAGGCGTCTGGTGGAAAGGCGTCTGGTGGAAAGGCGTCTGGTGGAAAGGCTTCTAGTGAGAAAACAGGAACCGGAAAGGGAAAGACGGAATCAAAATAATAGATCTCAATAGTGGCAGCAGCATCATCTCAAGTCTGTTATGTCAAGATCATCTCCGTTGGCACCGGATGACAGTTCACTGATCTCGGCTTGGGGTTTTCCACAGGCTTTGCTGCAAATCGATTGAACATAATCGGTTTCAATGGATCTTGCAACTTTTGCTAGCTAAATCAAGTAGAAGGTGTTGTTTCGTAATATCCTGGGCATTCTGAACAATCAATTCTGTGACGTTTGCTTTGCCAGTCAACGCGAGGTGATGTGTGGAACACAGTCCGTCTGACGAGGCTGAAACCTCGTTGCTAGTTCAGACCAAAACGGGCAAGACTAGCCTCGTCTTCGCTTAAAATAATATTTTGAAAGATCCTCGATAACTTTCTCAATACTGCAAGTAGAGTATACTACTCAAGTGAATGGGAAGCTGTCTCTTGTCGTTATCATACTCCCGGTATCAGCTCTCCACGCACTCAACATGGCGCCGTATGACAGTGATTCATCCGGTGGAGAGGACAACGACTACACAGAAACGAACGTTCTCCTTGGTTACGCCTCGAAGGAAGCTTCAGATGATACTATCAGTTATCTTGGAGGACAGCCTGTAAGTCTCTCGAGCCCATTCCCATAACATATCCACCTTTGTGTCCTTAGATTTTTTTCTCTAAAATCGTACTGACAAGAGAGCGCACAGTCTTGGCTTGACCCCGCTACCCCTCCTTCATCGGCTCTTGCAAAATGCAAAGTGTGCAATGACCTTATGGTCTTGCTCCTACAACTGAACGGTGATCTGCCAGAGTCATTCCCAGGACATGAGAGACGGTTATATGTCTTGACTTGCAGAAGGAAAACATGCAGGCGCAAAGATGGCAGCGTACGAGCGTTACGGGGTGTCAGGATAGCAGACGTGCCTGTCAAAGATAGAAAGGTGGCTGATAAGTCAGAGCGAGCAAGTGAAGCACAATCTTCCAAGCCTGCTATAAATCTCGGGGAGACACTGTTTGGTGCGAAGCCCTCGACATCTACAACATCTGCCAATCCTTTCTCGACAAGTTCCAGTGCAGCGTTCTCGAATCCATTTTCCTCTCCTTCCAACACTTCCGGCAGTCCCTTCGAAGCTGCTGGGCTTCCCACCAACGAGCTTGCTGCAAAGCCACCACAACCACCATCTACGACTGCCGACCTTCCGAAAACATTCGCCTCTGCCCTCTCACTCAATAACGATACCCCGAATTTTGGTCCTCCTCCACCTCCCGAACCGTGGCCACAAGAGTCAGATCTTCCACCTGCTTATCCATTATACTACCTTGCAGACGCAGACTACGAAGTACTAGACAAAGTAGAAGAAACCCCGGTACCCGCACATACTATGGATCTTGATGAAGGCGGAGCATCAGGCAGTCAGAGGGAAGATAAGGATGTGTACGAGGATACAATTGACAAGACATTCCAAAATTTTGCAGACAGATTGGCGCAAAATCCGGAACAAGTTATCAGATACGAGTTCAAGGGACAGCCATTATTGTACTCAAAGAATGATGCAGTAGGCAAGCTCTTAGCAGGATCTGGGAAGGAAAATACGAAAATCAAGACGACTTCCATTAATGGAAACAAGATACCTCGATGCGGGAACTGTGGCGCTGGCAGAGTTTTTGAGGTTCAATTGACGCCTCATGCTATTATGGAGCTGGAAAAGGATGAAATGAGTCTTGATGGTATGGAGTGGGGAACTATCATTGTTGGTGTCTGTGAGAAGGATTGCCAGCAGAACGGTGTAAATACCGGAGTGGGATACATAGAGGAATGGGCAGGAGTACAGTGGGAGGAACTGAAGGGCAGGTAGATAGAAATGATACCATGAAGATAACATTCGTCGAACGAAGGCAATGTCCATTACGATGCGAGTGACAGCAAGAGTTTCTTGTTTTAAATCTTCATGAACACTTTAGACATTTACACGATTCGAATACCTACCCGATTGCAAGTTCTCAGCCTCGAGTCAATCCCAGCCTCGCCTCGGCATCAAACCATCATCAACCTCATTTCTCTCAACACGCCCTGCAATGGCAGCACCATCTACCATACTTCGCCGCCTACGGCCCATCTCCGCCCGTGGTAACCTCCTCGCAAGAACATACCATTCCTACGACCACCCTCCACCACCAGGTCCATTCTCGACCACCGAATCAACCATCCTCTCTGCCTCACTCCCACACATCCCGTCCCACGGCTTCACACTCACATCACTCTCTCTCGGCGCGAAAGACGCTGGCTATATCGATGCCTCCACGAATTTATTTCCGCAAGGACCATTCGCTCTGGTACATTACCATCTACTGACACAGCGATTGGGGCTCGCCCAGAAGAAAGAGGTTCTAGAAGCAGACGAAGGGATTGGGGCAAAAGTCAAGAAACTGACGTGGGAAAGATTGATGGGGAACAAGGAGATTGTGCACAGATGGCAGGAGGTATTCTCTACAACTGGAGTATGGTTAGTTGGGGATTGTGGCTGACGAGAAGAATAGGCGTTGGCACTTATGGCACAACCATCGAATGTCCCAACTTCACTCAAGGAATTGGCGGCTCAATCTGATGAGATATGGTTTTTATCAGGCGATATATCAGTTGACACGAGTTGGTACACGAAGAGGGCTTCGTTGTCGACTATATACGCTGCTACGGAACTTTTCATGACGACAGACAAATCGCCTGATTATATCGATACAAGAGAATTCCTTGACAGAAGATTCAAAGATGTGCAATTTGTCGGCGGTGTTGTTGGTAGTGTGAGCCAGTGGGTCGGGTTTACGGCTTCGGCTGGGTTGAACGTGTTAAGGAGTAAAGGTGTACGAGTTTGAAGAAGGAAGCTGCAATGGCAAGTGTATTTTACAACCATAATCTAACATGTACACACCATGTGCTTTTCAGCCCAACGATCGCTACCCGCAGCAATGCCCTAATGGTGGCACCAGAGCCTAGGTATCAACGCAAAAGGCCGCTCCTGACGTAAAAGTACAAAACGCCATACTCCCATGCAAATTTCCATCTAATCTTCTTCGACCATCTCATCTATCCTTCTCTGCCTCTCTCTAGGATCGTGAAGTCTACACATTGTTAGATAGGCTCTGGCTACAAAAGATCCATAGAGGTAAACTCACTTGATGATTTTAACATCCGGACCATCCGCAGCACCAGCTCCAAGAGCCTTCGGCGAGATCAAGATGAACTGTCGCCCAACGGAGCGACGGGCGCCAGTAATCTGTGGATTGTCAGTCATCTTGTTGTGGAATCATTTCGTCAATAACTTACAATCAATTTCGTGGAAACGTCACGGTTGACATCATCCATGAAAACGTCGAATTCGTCCAAGCAACGCATTGGTGCACCCATTGCCTCCCAGAGCGCGAGAAGCAGACAGATCGATGAGAACGACTTCTCACCACCAGAGAGAGTTTTAGTCTGTCGACCTTTGCTACTCTTGGTTGTTTCGTCGGGCTCAACTTGTACATCAAGCTTCTTAGCCTTATGATCGATTAACAATTTGCCACGGAATGCCCGCTCGCTGAGAAGATAGTTGAAGTTGATGCGAGACCTGGCCGATATGTATCTCTGAAAACGCCAATACATCTGCATTCGCTTCATGAAGGATTCCTTGAGCAATCCCAGTAATCCCAGGAGCTCACCACGGTTAGCTTTTGCTTCATCATAGATTCGATTTGCCTCCAGTGCCGCATTGTGAATTTCATCGTCTGAGCCGCCTTGTCTCTTGGCAGCCTCTTTTACGCGTGCCTTGAGCCTCTCGAATGCAGCACCGAGACTCGCATAAGTTTCCCCAGGTTCAAGATAGACTCTTTCAGCACAAATCTTTTTGGCCTCTTCAACAAAGCTAGCAACCTGCTCAACCAAGCCGTCCCGTTTTCGAACGGCGATCTCTTTTGACGCACGAAGCTCTTCGATGTTGTGAATTGCTTGGTTCTTCTCGCCAAGAACCAATCTCCGGGCCTGCTCTCGATTCTTGACTTTCTGGTCTGCCTTCTCCATTGAGAACTCATATTCTGTGACCCTCGCCCTGACTGCATCGAGCTCGCGCTTTTTCTCAAGCGAAGCTTCATTAAGAGTAGTTCTTTCCAACGCGAGATTCCCATATGCTTCTTGACAAATGGCTAGTTCTTGCTCGGCTTCTCCCAAGCTCACCTTGAGCCCATCAACCACACCATCTTCCGGTTGATATCTGTCAGCTTCAGCTCTCAAGTTGTCGACTCTCTGTTCCGCACGCTGTACAGCAATCTTGAGCTTGTTGGATTCTTGCTTATGGCGACCAAGCGCGCTCTCGCATTTCTGTTGAGTGGTCTGAAGCTGGCGTTTTTGGGTTTCAAGTGCTTTCAACTGCGACTCAAGTTCTGTCACTGTCTCCCTTTGATAAGAAACTTGGCTTTCAATGTCGGTCTGCATACGTGGTTTGTGTTTGGGAGGTGAGATTGGTGTGATATCTTGGTGGACACCTCCAGACCCAGTAAAACCCAAGCGATGTCCGAAACCTCTCTCTGAATCGTGCAAACAGAAACATTGCCGAACGTTCCTAGGTCTGGGTCCTTGATACATAACCCTGAAACCTTCTTCTCTTCGCTTGACTAAAATTGACTGGTCGATGCCCATAGTAATGATTAGCTGGCGCTTTACAAGATCATTGTCGATGTCCAAGGCCCGCAAGATTGTTTCAAACTAGGTAAAGTTATCAGACTTGGTATTCAACCGATAAATAGAGCACGGAAGCTGATGGGGTCCCTTACCTGCTCATCGGGTTCATTCCCTGTTGTGTCAATCGGATGATGGTTGCCAATGACGATCGGACAGAAAGTCATCCTCTCCTTTCTCTACAGGAAAATGGTCAGCAACTTGGATCAATAAGAAATGGCTTTTCCACAGCGGTCAAGCTTGGGGCTTCCAACTTACTAGCAAATTCGACAACCGGACCTGATCAGCTTTGCTAGTGACTATAAACCCTGTCAGGTTGCTACCCATGGTTGACTCTAGGAGGTTCGACCAGATAGGATTATTTAGTTTGATGTGAAGACCCATTGGACCGACCGGTGTCTCGAGGAAGCCACGATCGTTTTTGATCGCCTGAATCAGTCTGGGCATCTTTGCATCGAAGCCAGCCATGACGTTGCCTCGATCGCGGTTCAAACTTTGTAGGCGCTCCTGGGCGATCTCGACTTCTCTACGTTTCATCGATAAAGGGTTGTCAAGGCTCTTGCATGCTTCAACAGCATTCCAACGGCTTTTCTCCAGTTGAGGCAATTCCTCTTTATTTCGCTTCTCCGCTGCGAGGGCGTCTGCAGCAGCTCGTTCCGCTTCTGCAAGCTCTGTAAGCTTCTGAGCGTGTGCGCCTCCGTTAGCTTCTTCCAACAGCCGCACATGCTCCGTGATCTTTCCGTTGTAATCCTTCACCTTCTTCTCTGCTTCCTGCAGGTTGCCCTTCATTTCTTTCGTTTTGACGGCGAATGCTTTCACTTGCTTCACTGCATCGTCGTGGGCATTCTTCGCAACCTCCTCTTCATCCTTCAGTGGCGTAAGTCCTTCTTGCAGAGAAGCTTGTGCTTGTGTGGCAAGCTCCAAATTCCGATCGGCAACCTCAAACTCTTCAGACTTCTCCTCTATTCTACGCTGAGAATTTTCGATTTGCTGCTCATGGTCTGTTACGTCCCTCTCCTTCTGGTGTAGCTTTTCCTCTATCTCGAAGACCTGTGCCCAAGCAAGCTTTCTTGTCATTTCTTTGCACTTCCGTCGCATGCCCTCATGCTGGCGAACTACAGCAGACTTGGCCTCTGCAGCCTCCGCGTTTTTCTTGAGTTCGAGGATACCCTCTTTGGCTTCGTTCAATTTGGTCTCAATCTGATCGCAAGTATCTGACAAGAGTTTGTAGTCATTGTCCAGTGCCTCTAACTGAACGCCTTGGTGGAAAAAGACGTATTTCTGTGACGGTGTTGAGGTCTGGATGAAGGACTTCGCCGCGTCCTGAGTCAAGACGTTCATGGGATTGTCGACTTGGAGTTGATAGTACTCGATAATATCATCGACATCACCTTTCTTTGACGAAATGAGCTTTCCATTGGCATTCTTCAGTTTGTAACTGCTGGACCCTGACTTATTAAAATGACGCTCAATGATGATCGAGTCGCCAAACATGTCTGGTTGATATGCATCGTTGCCCTTGTTCTTCATTTTGATGATCAGAGCAGCTTGTTCCTTTCCACTCTTGATCATGCTCTTGAGACTCGAACCACGATTTGTCGATGCGACCTTCCCTCCCAAGCATAGAGTGATAGCGGTCAAGACCGCACTCTTTCCACTACCATTATGGCCAACAATAAAGTTGATGAGTGGTCCTAACTGAACATGCAACTTGTCGTGACACATGAAGTTGATGCAAGTAATTTCTTCGATAATAGAATTGTCCGCAGCGGAATTTTCACCGATCCTGTTATTGTTCCGGCGAACAAATACCTGCGTCATTCTCTGATCATCAAGATCCGGGTTTGCTACATGGCGAAAATTGTTGTCTCGCAAGATTTCGTACTGTGTTCCTTGAGGCGGCCCATCGTTCGTGTCCGCGTCGGGGAGCTCCTCGTCGGATTCGTCGCTCGATTCTTCCGGACTCGGGTTCCGCGCATTTCGAGATTTCGAGGCACTGTGGTTGACCGACAGCCGTTGTTTCTTGTGACTCTATTTACCTGATCAGTAAAGTATCTCGCGAGTACGTTGATAGTACGAATCAGGCACTAACGACTTCTTGTCGCAAGCTCGAGCTCGCACTTTCCACTGCGATGATGTCCTCATCATCATCGTCTTCACGTCTTGGTCGCTTTTGCGGAGCCATTTTGACGTTGCCTAGGTAGACCGGGCCAGCTGTGGTCTAAGATGAGGCTCGTTGAGAAATCCAGTGAGGGAGACGCGGGTCGTACAGAATTATTTGGTTTGGACGCGTAGGTAAGCGCGAGCGCGATTTAAGGTTTACGCTAGTCCAGAATCTTCTAACCAATTCGGGTAGCTACCGCCTTCAGGACTCCCGTTTCTCTTCGTCCTCACTTTGCTTCACATTCTGCTCTGAATATTGCATGTACTCGCAAGCTTAGGCTAGAGTCAGCTCTCACTTTTCATTCATTAGAACTAGGCAGTATGCATCCTCCACTCGAACTTCTTCCATTTCATCACTATTGGCTTATTCAGAATCAGGTCATCTATGCAGCCACTAGTCGTTCTGCTTTTCTCTCTCAAGTTTAAAACTCTGTCCATTGTTGTTTAATAAACTTCTACAACTTTTAGCACGTATCAAGTAAGTCCTATTTACCCAGACTTTATCAGCTAATGCATTCCTCACGGCCGCATACAAATTTGATTCCGCCTGCCCCGTGCCTAGTTCCAGAAACCTTTATTGAGATTGGCACTCCTCAGCAGCCTTCAAAGCAACAGCGAATCTGGATTTGAGATCGTCTGCATCCTCAAGACCAACACTGATTCGAATTAATTCGGCTGGAACTTCGAATTGTGCAGCCCAGTCCAACTCCAGGAAATGTGCTAGAATCACGTAAGGTGATGTCAAGGTGAAGTTCGTGCCTAGACTTGGTCCTTTTGCCGTCTCTAAGCGGTCATAAAATGCTACGGCTTGGGCGTTCGTGTGGAAAGTGAAGGAAAGAAGACCACCGTAGCCTCCATTAGGTGTTCTACAGGCGTCGTAGAACGGTCGTGAATCATTGAACTTTGGATAGTACAGAGCCTTCACAAGTGGATGTGCTCGAAGGATGTTGCAGATTGTTTCCGCGTTGTCGTTTATTCTTTCGATCCTAGACACGAAATGGCGGCTGTTGCGTTCCATGAAGATAACGTCTTCTGCCCAATAGTTATCTTCGTAGTCGAAGGAAGCCACTCTTTTCAAGGCTTGATAGTACCGACCTCGAGGGTTCAGTATAGAACCACCTCCCATTACATTGCATTCTCCGGAAAATATCTTGGTCAGACTGCTGACGACCACATCGGCATACGGGAGTACATGGACGTTGATGAAATTGCCGATTGTTTCATCAACGACAACACCAAAATCATATTTGTCAGCCAGCTTCCGAATCCGCTGAAGATCAGGGCATTTGAGCATAGGATTCCCCGGAAACTCGCAGAATAAGGCCAGGAACTTCTCGCCAGATTCGAGCCGTTTCTCGAGATCGTCCAGGTCTTCAGAAGAACCATTACCATAGAAAAGGCATCCAGGACCAAATTTCTCTAGAATTTTGAGTGTGTCGACATAAGGAAACCCATACATTATGCTTTTCATAGGGCCTCTGACTTCCAACATCATTCGATGAGCGTTGAAAATCGAGTTCATACCACAAGGGTACAAGTATACGTCGTCTTCAGAAAGTCCGACAACCCCACGCACATTCGTGTCCATTTTCGGACTTGGTGCTTCTGTAAGATCCACCTCTCCCATGAGCGAACCAGCAATTCGCCGACGAATTGCGGACTTCGCATTCTCGACAAACGAAACATCAAGATTGCGGCCGAATCGCTCTTCCAAGAATTGAGAGCTCTCGCGGCTCTCGGTTGAGCCATTGAGTGGTGAGTCGGGATGATTTTCCGAACTTTCTACCCCCACTTTATTTCCTTTTGGCGGCGTTTTGTCGATGGATGCTCTTTGGTATCTTCGGGGGCCTTTGCAAGGTTTCTGAAAAATGTTCGAGATTGGTTGGAGTGCAGTGTGCTCCACGAGGATTCCTTCTTGGAAGAGAGCATGGCAAAATGAAGCCCGACGGCTGGAAACACCGTCTCCAGAATGTTGCCAGTACTGCTTCGCAAGAGGGAACAGATCTCTATTGTAGATCACAGCTGATATCGAGGAGGAAATCTTCTTCAGTGTCTCCGAATCTGCCCTGCTGTTGTCTAACACGAGGTCGACCACTTGGAGGTGGTCGGAAGTTCCTGACTGGTCTTTCGATTGCATGAAATTCACACATCTCCGCGCGGCCCTTGACGATGGGAACAACATGGCCTGCTGGCCAGTCTTGCCATGCTTCTTCACGATATCATCCGCGAATGCAGTAATAAGTTTGTGAATAAAAAATCTTGATCACGAGACCATTTCAGCGTGGCAAAACCCATGGAGAATGAGCAATACATACCTTGGATAGCCTGTCACCATCTTGCTCAAAACCCTCTCTTGGCCCTCCTCGTATCCAATGTTGTCCTGCCATTCTGGAAGAGACACACTTGTTGCCTTTAATCGGGATTAGCTATTGACTCACACTTGAGTATAGGAAGGAAATATAGGGTACTCATAAATTTGAATACATACATGAGGCGTTAACGCCGGTATAGACTCTCCTAATTCAATGACGGACATTTTATGTGATGTGTGGTAACAAAAATTTGAGAGGAATATGATCACTTGTGTGTGACTGACTTCCTCGGGGGTTGTCTGCCAGCCGATTCCGGACGGGGAGATGAGGTGCTGAAAAAGTTAATCGATAAGCGATAAGCCTATCAAAATTAGCTCCCGCAGCTTAATTTTTTTTAGCGATGATGAAAAAGTTAATGGCTGGAAAAACACACATAGTTATGAATTGGAGAGATTGATCTCTATGACAGAGACCAGCATTTAATGTGTTTTTGCTACCTGGTCCAATCATGACACAACTTCCTTCCAAACGACGCAAGCTGGGTCATACCCCATCTGCTGAGCTGACGCAAGAGGATGAGTCGGAGAATGTCTACGATGCGCAGTCTGCTGAGGAGTCTGCGGACGAGGTAGCAATTCCTCAATCGAAACAAGCAGCTTTACGACCGAAGCATTCGCAGGCAATCGACGATGCTGCACTGTATGCTGGAGGGTCCTACAAATCCAGTCTGTTCAAGCTGCAGGTCGATGAGCTACTGGCTGAGGTACAACCAAACTACGAAAAGCGATTGACTGGTGTGAACGAGGCGTTGCGCAAGTTGAAGACATTCATAGAAGAAGTGGAGGACTGCGATCCTGTTTCCGTGAGCTTTTTCCATTTATGACATGCATGTAGAAGCTGGACTGACTTGTTGTGTAGGTAACCGAAGCTACCAAGTCTCTACTCAAGTCTCACAAGATCACCATACCATTCCCAGACCCAAAACCTGATAGGAACGCCGCTTATAAGTTGATGTACTCTCGGCCTTCGAACATCAATGTCGTTGGAAGCTATGCTCTCAAGACCATGGTTAAGACTGAAGGTTCATTGTCGATCGATATGGTGCTGGTGATGCCCTCTGCTATTTTCCAAGAGAAGGATTATCTAAACTATCGATACTTCTACAAAAGAGCATATTATCTAGCATGTCTTGCTGCTGGCCTTCAGGAGAAAGTGGAGGACGAATTTGTCTTAGCATTTGAATACCTTCATGGCAACAGTCTTCAGCCCATATTGGTTGTTAAGCCTAAATCAGGTGAGTGACAATAGTTATTACTATTTCGATTTCTACTCACTTAATATAGATAGCAAGAAGAGCAACAAAAGCTACGACATCCGTATCATTCCCGCCGTCCCTTCTGGCACCTTTGCGGAATCGAAATTACGCCCTGACAAGAATGCAATACGACCTAAAGACAACCATTCCGAGCAGTCTTCGCTATTGCCACCGACCCCTTTCTACAACGCCACTCTTCAGTCAGATTGTAATATCGAGCCATATCTAAAGCTTCAGCACGCTGCTGCCAAGCAGTCGACAGGGTTCAAAGATGCTTGTATTCTCGGTAGGGTGTGGCTTGGCCAACGTGGATTCAGCAGTCGTCTCTCCGATGGTGGATTTGGCCAATTCGAATGGGCAGCTCTCACAGCGCTGCTGATGAAAGGAGGAGGTCCCAAAGGCCACAGCGTCCTCTCTCCAAGCTATAGCAGTTACCAAATGTTCAAGGCTCTGCTTCAATACCTCTCGATTAACGACCTGGCAAGCAAGCCGGTTTGCTTTGAGATAGAGAATATGCTAACTGCCAAATCAAACCTGCCAATGGCTTATGATGGTTCCAGAGGACAAAATTTACTTTTCAAGATGACGGCGTGGTCATACGCCTTGTTAAGAGACGAAGCTAGGACCTCCTTAGAGATGTTGAATGATGCGACCTTCGACCAATTCGAGTCTACTTTCATCATCATGAGTTCTCAGCAGTTGCAAAGATACGACTGCTCACTTAACATCTCTTCCACTCCAAAGCAAGTCGAGACTAATTCCTATGACCATGCCACAAAGGAAAGAATATTTGCTATGCGAATGTTCGATGTCTTGCACGAAGGTTTGATGGATAGGGTAAAGCTTGTCAATGTTCAGTTGCCTAGTACGAACTCTTGGTCCTTGAAATCATCCTCCACACCACCGCAAGAACCATTGCTTATATCATTCGTATTTGATCCAGCAAACATCGATCGTCTGGTGGATCATGGTCCATCTGCGGAAGAAAAGAAGAAGGCGGCAAAGTTCCAAAAGTTCTGGGGTGAAAAGGCGGAACTACGTCGGTTCAAGGATGGAAGCATCCTCGAAAGTCTAGTTTGGTCTCCAGGCTCAGCTCATGCCGTGTTTCGCGAAATCGTGACTTACCTGGTTACTTGCCATTTTGGTGCAGAATTCAGCAATAGTCTAGAATTCGTTGGTGAAGGGTTTGAGAAATTACTTCCTGGCGGGACCAGCAGCAAGAATTTCGAGGCGCTAAAGCAAGCATTCAGCACTCTTCAAAACCAAATAAAAGATCTCGAAGGACTACCTTTGCAGCTGCGACAACTTTCCGCTATCAGTCCACAGCTTCGCTACTCTTCAATCGAGACGCCAATTTTCACTTTTACACAACCCATGATTAGGCCAGCCGACATTCTCATTCAATTTGAAGGATCTGGGCGGTGGCCCGACGATATTGTTGCCATTCAGCGAACAAAGATAGCTTTCCTGCTGAAAATTGGCGCTCTACTTCAGGAAGTCGACGGTACCGTTGTCATTCGAGTTGGCCTCGAGAACGAAGACCACCAACTCCAGAATTCCGCTTTCCTTGACATCATCTGTGGTTCTGGTGCAGTCTTCCGTCTCCGCATCCATAACGACCGCGAGCAGACTCTTCTCGAACGGCATATCAAGGATAAATCCAGTAATCATCGCGAGCGTGAAGATGCTGTTTCTGCGCTGTCGATGTACAAGAAGACTTTTCTTCAGCTGCCGCTACTAAACCAATCGATATCTACGCATTGCACCAGATTCCCATTGCTATCATCAACGATGCGTCTGGTGAAGATGTGGTTCAATCGCCATATGCTATCGAGACACGTTAGCGAAGAGCTCATCGAGCTCATTGTCGCTCGAACATTCCTGCACCCATACCCATGGAGAGCTCCTTCTTCAACCATGACTGGTTTTTTGAGGACATTGTCGTTCATTTCGAGATGGGACTGGCGACAGAAACCTTTGGTTGTAGACTTTACAGGGACGATGACAACCAAAGATGTCGATTCGGTCAACACACGATTAGAGGCGTGGAGAAAGATCGACCCCAGCATGAATCGAACTGTCCTTATCGCTGCTTCGAATCATGACATCACTGGCACTGCTTTTACAGACAGTGGTCCATCGAAAATGGTTGCTGCACGTATGACAGCGTTGGCACGCTCGGCTTGTAAATTAGTCAAAGAGAAAGGTCGAGATTTGGATCACAGAGCTCTATTCGCGTCCTCAACGGCCGACTACAACTTTATCGTCCATATCTCACCCAAGTTTACTGGCACACAACCAGGAAAAAACAGTAAACCCAAATTCAAGAATCTCGAGGTTCAGGGAGGGGCTGATATCGAGATGATTGGATTGCAACCAGTGGAGCAATATCTTCAGGAGCTCGAGAAACTTTATACGGACAGCATTGTTTTCTTTCATGGTGGCGTGGGCAGCAATGTTATTGCTGGATTGTGGAATCCACAAAAGGCCGCGCCGAGGCAATTCAAGGTCAATCTGGCATACGCTACGAAACCTTCCAAACATGAGGATGGGGAGGCAGATGAGGTGGTGATTGATAAAGCTGCGATATTGGCAGAGATCGCAAGATTGGGGGGAGATATGGTGTCACGTATTGAAGTACAGCATTGAGATACCCTAAATACGAGTAATCTAGACTACTATAGTAACGCGGACTCCTGGCTGAGACCCTAGTGGATAGGATTGCGCTGTATGTATTGGGAGAAGGGCACAGATCCTGCAAGCTAACTTGCACCAGTTCGTCTTAGTAATTCAGATCTGCTCATCGGCAGACTTTTCTCCTCTGCTGTAACCCATCGTGCCTGGAGATCAACTCTTCCCTGAACGCTATTTAAAGCCAGCTGCAGATTCAGCGCTGACTGAAATAAAGTGCTTGTTTGAGTGTCGCGTTCTCATCGTCCCGATCCCTCATCTGCCATTAGGGGACTTCTACATGCTCAACCGCTGGTTGGTGCATTAGCGAGAATCCCAATGGAAGTAAGCGAGCCCCTTGTTTCGTGTGATTAAAGTGTAGTTTCAGTACTTACCTGGCAGGCATGTTTTTAACACAAGCTAGATATCCCAGATGGAAAGCAGGGTTGAAAAGTCATATGAATCATATCACCGCTCTTTCTCTAGTTAACATTGCGAGATAGGTTGATTACTAAGGCGGAGTCCTAAACAAAAGCAGTTGGTAGCAGTTGGTGTTACGACGCCGAAGGCTACTACAAGAAAGCATGAGGTCTTAAGGTCTTAAACTATGAGTTGAAAGAATCACGCCGTCATCGATTTAAACTGAATAGAAAGGTTGCGATATCATGTATGATCCACTAAATCTTTCAAATCCAGCTTCCTAAGCAGCGGAGGCCGCTCATCAGCCATGAAAGTCTCTGAATGCTTGTTAATTTTCAAGGTAGATATAAGCAGAAGCAGCGCTAGCTAAGTACACTGCAACGAACAGACTCCCTAGATTTCTACTTCTGTTTTCGGGCAATCTTGGCCAATCTGACGAGATGTAACCATTGCGTATTTACTTATCGATGGAGTAGACTTGAGATTTGCTGCTAAATTTGTAGTCGTTCGCATCCATAAATTCTGATTATACTTCAAGTACTGAAAAGTCTAAGTTCTACTTCATCGCTTCCCACAATCGATTTAAGGATTCCATGACTGCTGTGGATGCCCGTATTGAGGTTTAATTTCAACTTCCTTGAAGTCAAACTGGCCGCCCATAGTATTACGAGCAGAACAAATAAATGAGCCAAAGATCATATTTTCTACAAGCAATCACTCAAATTGATCTCATGGGATGATATTCCAGAAGTCGAGATCAGAGACAGCGCCCATTCACGTGATACCTACCCCTCTAGCTCGCTAATCGGCCGGTTCGCACTTCCACGAAATTGTGTGAACTTTTCTAGCACAACGACGACAACCATTTTCGAATCGAATCTTCCGTTCCACAACCACATCCGCAGCGCCATTTAAGACGCCAAGATGGGCGTTCCATTCGACTATGCACCCGACAGGCCAGAGCACATCGACGCGATCCTGAATGGTCTCGATAGATACAATCCCGAGACCACCAGCATCTTCCAAGAATACGTCGTCCAACAGTGTGAAGAAAAGACCTACGATGCCTACGCAAACCTGGCGCTCTTAAAATTGTGAGTACAGAGTCCACTCTGTGCGTGCGGATATGTCAAAGTGATGATCGTTTTTAACGTTTCCTATTACCTGAATGGGCATGGAGAATGAATCCCTCCAGCCTTTGAAGTTTCTATTAGCTCTATCTGAAAGACTTTTCTTACCTCGTCTATGTATCTCATTCAAGATCTCGAAAGGCGAGCTACTGACATACATTTCCCATCAGATACCAATTCAACCCCCACCTCACGAAAGACGAAACCATCACCAACATCCTCGTCAAATCCTTGACCGTCTTCCCCTCCCCCGACTTCTCCCTCTGTCTCCACCTCCTCCCACCGCACATCCTCACGCCCGCAAGCACACAATCCGCCCTCCCAGCAGCAGGCGACGCACCCCTCTCCGAAGCGGTACAAAAGCTTAACGTCCTCAATAACCTCCTCGGCCAAGCTTCCTACAGCCAATTCTGGGCGACCCTCGATAGCGATGACCTCTACGCCGATCTCGTTGCCGATGTAGCTGGCTTCGAAGAGCTGATCCGTATCCGAATCGCCCTCACCATCTCTCAATCAGTCCGTGAAATCGAGCGCTCGGTATTGGAGTCATGGCTTGGACTGCAAAGCGAAGGCTTCGACAAGTTTGTCAATGGTGTTTGTGGATGGGAGATTGAGGGAACGGTCGTGAAGGTACCTTTGAACAAAGAGAATGAAGCCAAGGGAACGATTGTTAGGGAGAACGTCAAGGTCGACCAGTTTGCGAGGGTCATTAGACGGGCATATGAGCAACCTGCTTGATCTTGAAACATTGTGGTATGTGGTTTTGCATGGCATGGTCGGCTGGCTTGCTGGATGGCGTTCCGGTATGGAGTTAGAGGGCCACGGTCTATAGTACCAGACTTGGGCTATTACATGATCACGGATGGTCTTCGATGAAAGATCGTCGTTGCGAGCAACGTGGTAGAAATCAAAAACTATGGTATAATAGTCACTTATCTTACGTTGCAAGAGGTATCTTCTGATGCCTAAGTCTTGTTCTGGAAGGTAACAAACGTGAATCACTAGTGATGCGTATTATTGTTTTTTTATGTGTATATTATGTATAAATCTTTTAATACGGAAGCGCAGTTGGCAGTTCCGATGTCAGTCGAGAAGTCTCGACTTGATCGTCTATTTTTAATAGGACATTCTCCTTTCATCAAACAACCAACTTTCCCCCGCTCAGAGTCTCAAACCTCGAGAATATTTTGGATTGCCAGTGACCTGCGCCTCACAAGTCCGCCTATAGCCTTTTAAATGGCAAGTGCCAATTTCTGGTAATGTACACATTGCTTATTTCACCTAGGACAAAGTTCAAACCGCTGCAATTTGCAAAATCTCGAAATGGTTAGGATATATGTCCAGGAGGGAAGTCATAAAGAATGCTCCAGTGCTATATCTTTTACAGAAAGTGAACCACATCCAAATCTCATGAGTTTTCCACAGATTTCCTGTGATTAACCCCATTCCCAACCCTGGCTCATGGGATTGAGGGCTTGAGAACTTCCAAGTCTATATCACACAGAGCTCAAAGAACTTGCTCTGGCAGTTCTCGATATGCGCCCTTTGTTCCTTCTGAGTAGCAGTTCAGCCTAACTTCATTTATTCAATTTCCCGGATCTCCTCAACAAAGAATATTAAATCCAATACTTCCTTGAATCATGAAAACAGCTATGTTTCAACATGACAGCATTTGTTTCTACGTCGGCAATTGATTCCCGCCGCCGTCCATATGCAACACTTCCCTCTCCCACAATTATTTCAAACTCAAGCACACATCAACAATATCTGAGTCAATAATTCTTACCACAAGTCGAAAATTTAATGCTTCTCAGATGCAGGATGCATTCTTCCACATTATCTCAGGACTCGATCAACAATATTCTTCGGATCGGGACAGAATATTTTTTGGATATCATGTCCTTTGTTCCCATATCCGCAAGCATTGTGCCCACTGCAGTATGCATCGCATCGGGATAGCCTCTGAGAACCAACAGAGCCAACAAAGCCCACGATTCCCCTTCAAAGCAACACTCTTTGTTTATACCACATTAATACCGACAGAGCCCTTCCCTTCGAATCAACGACAGTCAACAACCAGCAATCATGAACTCACTAACTGGAGGTGGTAAACGAAAACGAGCTGCTGAGGATTCAGACGAGGATCTGCGTCTTCAACCCCCTACGCAAAGATATCGTACTCTAGCGCTAGAGAAGATTCAAAGTGTGTGAGTCTTGAAAACTGATCCTAAGGACGGAAGCAAGTTTTTGGCAGATTTTCCTGGAGATAGATACGATAGTTTGTCTGGAGAAGTCGACCTTATTTTCAGGCGTGGTCTCATCCGACCCGCGGGCACCCAAACTCAAGTCCGCAGAGCCGGCCTGGGCGTACCAGGTGACCCCAAGTATGAAGAGGATGCCGAGTTCATAAGAGCAAGAAGGGAAAAGGAAAATCGGCAAGTAAATAATATTAAGGACAGCTGGTTAGCCAGTGCAGCAACTTGGAAAGATACGCTCAGCAATGCTTGGAAAGGAACCAAAGTCCTTGGTCGTGGCACCCAAGGCATAGCAGGTCTTTGGTCACGATCGGACACTGAAGCGTCTATCAAGCACGTTGTTGTGAAGCAAGCTAATGGTCTTGGTGATTCAGAAAAGGAGGCAAGTTTCATGGAACTGTTAAACAAAGCCAACTCAAGACATATAGTCAAACTTTACAAACATTCAGTCGTAGAGTCATCCCAGGGAGAACCGAACCCTTTTCGGGAAGCGTTTTCAACAAATTCCACGCCGCCTGCCATGATTGCTAGACTATATACCGAATACTGTAAAGGTGGGGGATATGGAGAAATTTATTGGAGATCTGAGAGAGTAAGATCATTCATCTCGCGATGAGGTTGAAGGGCAGTCACTGACATCAGCTTAGAAGATACACGGCGGCAAAGCCTGTGCCGGAAGAGGCAAGTTGCCATTTTATCCAATCAGAAAGCATACTCTTGGGTGCTTTATGGTCTTTGCTCGTATATGATTTTCACTTCAATAGGGAAACACGTGTGCTAACACAATATCTCTTTTTAGCTCATTTGGCGTCTTTTCCAATGTTTAGTGCTAGGAGTTGCGGCCATGAAGAATGGCAACGAGTTGCTTGACGGTGAGAGCTGGGATACTCGTGTCTTACATTTGGATATCAAACCTGGAAACGGTATGTTCTATATTAGTTGTGTTGCTGCAGCTACAATATCTACTAATCAGTCTTTTAGTATTTGTTGGAACGAATGACAACAATCATTTAAAAACTCCAGTACTCAAAGTGGGTTCTTCCTTCCCTTTCCTTGTACCAGGCTGAATTGAACTTAGTTTGGAGATTTTGACGGTTCAGCATTCGCGCCCCAACCGCCCAAAGCACAAACGTTCGACTGGCTGCTTTCACAGTGGCGTACCCCTGGTTTCGAATCCCCCGTAAGTGCGCAATGTTAATCTATGTATTGATTAATCTTTCATCGTGCAATACACTGATGTCAAACTAGGAGCAACTTAAGGCGATAGATATATGGAAGTCACGAGAGGCCCGTTCTGAGGCGATTTCTGAATCGCCTCGGAACGAGTACGACTCAGACGGGAACCGCGTGAGCGTGGTAAACTTACCGAAATGGTCAACATTCGACTCAGAAAGGGGCTCGGGAGAGGACGAACCAGTCACCGGCCCGGAAGTTGATTATGATCCAAACCTGAAATATGGACCTTGGTCGAATCTCTGGTCGGCCGCTAAAATCATGTGGCATTTGATCAATCGTGGGCATGAGTTTTTTTATATTAAGGACAGTACGGCTGATGAGTTCACCCTATTCGGAGAATTTGCTTTTGAGCTGTCTCCCGACAAACTCGTCGTTTCTCTAGGCCCAGAGATCCTTCGAGCTCCTTACAGTGCCACCTTACGCAAGACAATCGCGCATTGCATGGCGAAAAATTGGCAAGATAGACCAAGCTCAAGGGAGGTGTTGAAAACTATCGAGGCAGCTTTGGCTGCTTGTAAGCTTGCTGAGCCAGGACAAGGTTTTGGGTCTGGCTTTGATGCTGGATTGACTTCTTATGATGAGCCTCCTACTGAGATGCCTGATTTCTGATGCATGTTGCGAAATAGGTGGAAGCTTTACTTAAGTCCTGCAGAACAACGTTTAACTGACAATGCCAAACATACAAATATGGTGATTTTAGGGCAGGACATTATGTGCTGTCATCTTTCTCCAGTACAACCTCGCAACCTTGTCTCTTTCTCCCTTCTTGATTCTTGTGTACAGGTCCGCAACCATGTTACGAGGAGTCTCTGTATTATGGGATGGGGAAGGAGATATAAATATAGTGTGCTTGCTGATCTCGATGAAGGGTTGATGTATAGAATTGATTATGATGATTTGAGAGCATTTTGGCAGTATGAAGTCTTTCGGTTAGTAGCAGTTTATGTTCTATTCCAGCTTGCTTCTTCAGAGGGCACCACATGTTTATATGAGTTGATGCAGTACTCTATATACTCAAATCGGTGACGAAAGTCTTGCGTTTTACAGTGAACTCGGTCGCTAAAGGCTTGTGAATCTCGATACCTTGTAAAGTTACGAGTGATCGAAGGCGCAATCAGCTTTCAGATTTATATGCTGGACCACTTCGTTGACACAGACTTTTGATAGAGATCTCCGTACACCCGTCGCGATCATTTTGTTTTGCTTCACTGCGTCTTGTCGTTTGGGTGTACTTGTTTATTTCTCTTTTCAAAGTCCGACACCTTCTTGCACAGAAACGAAGGTATCGTCAAACAATTACCAATCAGATAGACAGCAGTCGCATTCATGCCCTCTACCTTCACGGACCCAACAGAAACAATCTACAACGCATCTCTCTCCTTCTCCTGGCTTCCTTGCAGAGAAGCAGAGAACTCCAAATCAAGATTCCAGCCCTTGTCCTCCGAAATCTGCTCAACATATGCAGCAGCAAACCCACTCAAAGCCGATTTCTTCTTCGTAGCCGCATCTGGCCCATCTCCCTCTTCATCAGAGTCAATGTCTGCATTTATTTCGATTGACTTTTCAGTATCCCATTCTATTCCAGCCTAAAAACAATATTTCGTCGTCAGTCAGTTTACGAAGGGTACGGGTGGGTCAACAGACGGCGTAAAAAGTAGCAGCCACGAAAATATCTGGACTTATTCCTGAAAGGTCGGTTGCTTTCTCAGTCTGGTGGTTATCAGTATGTGTGAATTGGTAGGCGGGGGATATGCAAATTAGTTGCCACAACATACTTCAGCATAGGCCTTAGCCTGCTTAGAGTCCTTCGAGTACAAGTTCGTCATTTTTATCAAGTGTTCTCTTTTGTGTATTGACTAATACCGTTGTTTCTTCCCAATATATTTTCATTGTGAGGTAGGGACCAGACTTAGGCTATTATATGATCACGGATAGACTTAGATCAAAAGTCTTAGTTGCGAGCAACGTGGTAGAAATAAAACTTATAGTATACTAATTACTTGTTTTACATTGTAAAAAAGTATCGTTTAATACTTAAAGTTTTATCTAAGAAAATAATAAACGTGAATCACTAGTGATATATGTTATTGTTCTCTCATGTGTATATTATACACTCTTATGCTATCTATCCAATGCACATTGCAAAGATATGATACTATTGTTGATCGCCGCCAACTTAACTCCTAAAGCAATACCAACGCCAATACGTACGCTTTTCATCAACCACCGAAGGGGAATCCTCCTGGACCCCCACCACCAAATTTGAAACTGAATTGTTGACCACCTCCGTGACCAAATGGGCTACCTCCTTGGAATGGACTTCCATGGAATGGGTGCTGGCGTTGTTGTTCATGGTTATTTGGATCATCGCCTTGATCATATCTATGCTTCAACTCAGGATCACTGAGAACTTCATATGCCTCATTGACCTGAGCCATTTTCTTCTCTGCATCTTCTTTCGTAATCCCCTGCTTGTGAGCCTTGTCCGGATGGTGTAGCTTGACCATCTTGCGGTACGCGGACTTGATTTGTAGCTCATCAGCGTCTCGAGTCAGACCAAGAACCTTGTAATAGTCCTTGGTCTTGCTTCGCTTGAGCTCAGTATGGGCGTTTTGTAACAATTGATTAACTTGTTGTGCTCCAGGATGGTGTTCCTTTGCCCCATTGAGTGATGCAATAGCCGCGTCAAAATTCTCAGCCTCCATATGTCGCTGTGCTTTGTTGAGTAGACCGTAGAGAGCATGTTCGTCCAAGGTAAGAGCTTCATCACACCAAGTCACTGCCTTCTTGGAATTTTTCATCTGTAACTGTAAGTAAATGAACCAGCTTTTTGTCAAACTCGGACAGAACTCACTTCATGATAGGCCTCGCAAACCATCTGCACAATGGAAGACTCGAGTTCGTTCGGAGCGTGTTCGGGAATAGTACCTGCTTCTCGGAACTCCTTCACGTCATCTTTGACATCTTGAACCAAGCCCACGTCCTCTCCAGCGGGAAGTAATAGCTTGACAGCGCTGGCATATTGCTTCTTCTCCATATGCTTCTTGATAGCCGCCAATTGCTTGTCCAGTGTCTTCTCCCGCCTATAGAGCTTCTTACATTTCTTGGAATCTGGATCCGAGTGCAAGCATTTTCGCATCTGATCCATACCATGTTCCAAGTCTGCCAAACCGTAGTATGTAATTGCTGATATCTGCATGTGCGGCTCGGTCATTCCTGGCTGCATCTGCAAGACATGCTTGAGATCACTCATGCCCTCTTGAACCTCCCCTCGCTCAAATCGACAATGGGCTCTCGTCTTTCGTAATGATAACATCTTGCTGGCAACCATGATGGCGACTCCAGATTGCGAAACACATTCCTCCCAATTACCACTTTTCTCCGCGGCAACTGCTAAATGAGCAGCGCCCTTAGCCTCTTCGAGTTGAGCCAGATCCTCCTCTGAGTTGCCATGGGCAGTGAAGTCTTTCTTTGCCGCATCCCAGTCTCCGTTCTTTGCGTGAATCTTCGCACGTTGTACTAGAGCACCCTCAAAGCCAGGCTTAATCGTTAGAACTTTATTAAAATCTTGGGTGGCCTGAACAGTCCTTCCAAGAGAGAGATACGTAGCACCGCGCTTGAAGTATGTGAGATAGTTTTCGGGATCGCGAGAAATGGCAATGTCATAATATGTAAGAGCGTCGTTCGTTTCGCCTTTGGCAAGATGCGCATTGGCGGATGCGAGGAGGGACGAGATTGGGGTATCGGAAGGAATATCTGCTGGTGATAGAGCGAGCACCAGAGAATTTGAGGACAGTATGCTTGCGGCGAACGCCAAAGCCGAGAGATTGACAATCATCGTGAATGATCGTGCATAGAGTCTCGAGGTCGTGTGGAGTTGACAATGGGTTGGAGGGGGAAAGAGAAGAATGTAGTATGAAATAGTCTCGCTGTCAAGATGGTTCAGAAGAGGCCAGGCTGTCGATTACTACTTTTGAGGAGATGTCATTGGCCGTTTTACCCTGGAACATTCACTGTGTTTAGCGTCCCTTTAGCTGCAGCTCAGCCTTGTGCCACGCCCCACCTTGGTACCTGATGGCAGCCATGCATGGGAATCAAAACAATCGCTTGCTCAGTAATCTTCGTCTCTTGTCGATGCACCACTACATACGAAGAAATGGCACATCTCTCTCCCTCAGCGATCTTTTCCCCGTCAGTGGCACGACAGCAATTGGCAGCCGCAAAAGATTGGAATTATGTTGATAGCTGGCTGTCCACCAAGTTCCTGGGCAAAACCCCACCGCCGTTTGAGCGAAACAACGAGACTTTGAAAGCACTGCTCTCCCTCGCTGCTGTTAACGAGAGTGCCGATGAGGAACGCGATCTACTGGCCAAAGTCGAGGCGAAGGCACTCCAAGACCTGCAGGCAAAAGAAGAGACAGACCCGAATGCGGAGTTAGTCACCTCCATCGAAGAATCCTTACCGCGAGAAGGGCAAACCAGCCTTGAAGCTCTTTCCCATGCAAGTGTTGCGTTGAAGCAACCGATACCAGACATTGAGAGGCTAGGACGAAGTATTCTTGATCTGCAGGTTACCTCCTACGACCTGGAGCAGACTACTGATCGCATTGCTATCCTCGAATCTCATTTGAACTCGGAACTCCAGGTTATCAACACCCTCATAAGAGACTTGCAAAGCGAGGCCTATCAACCTCCCTCGAATCTATCGAAGCAGACGATCGAATATCAGCGAAAAGCAAAGACTTTAGCATCGAAGTTACCAGAACTTCGAGACCGCACATCGTCTCTCGTTACATCGGCGGGGACACCGAAGATTACGATACAAGATGTTAAAGCGGAGGAGGACAAGTTCAAAGCATTGATGGTCATTGTGAAGGATCTCGAAGCACAGATCAAGAGTTATCATGGTCTTCCGCAAGATACAGATTTGGCTAGGCTAGAATTAGAACGCCTTAGGGTTGAGCTTCGAGATTTGACACTTGAAAGAGATGCCATGTTCGAGGGTTTAGTGGAACGAGAAAGTCCGAAGAAAACTAGGACTTGAATGAAATTATTTACCAAACGTCCATGCATTATACTCCTGCTTGATTAACGTTTCGTGTACGCCATTACAGTCATCTCTTTGGTCGACCACCAGATACAGCTCCTCCTAGCCGTCCAAACTTCCCCAGGCTTGATTTCGACTTGTTTGCAGCTGGTTGACCACCTGAAGGATTTGCCGGTGTGTCCTTCACTGGTAGAGGTGGCCCTTGTAAACGTGCCAGATCCTTGAAAGCTCTCACATCCAGACCATCACCAACACGTACTTCGCTCAATCTATCATCAAAGTCACCTCCTGGTCTCTGTGCTCTCCTTGCTCTCTCTTGGACACTCCTAAATTTCTCGAGCAATTCATTCCATCGAATTCCAGCCTCATCCCTGCCTTTTAGTCGACTTGACCTGTCGAAGCTAGATGGACCAGCATTTGTTGGCGCGCTAAATGAGGATGTATGAGTCTCGGAGCTTTTTTGACGCTGATGGAAATGGAAAGTAGAGATAGAGTCGACCACACTGTTATTACGAGATTGAGGTACGTACGCTCGAGGTGCGATATGCAAATAGCCTATTGCGCTCACGCTATTGAGTCTATTCTTCAACGCTGCAAAAGCTGATGACTGAGGAAGCAACATGAGGAGACCATAAAGACACTTGTACAAGTGAGGATACTTTTCCGGCTCTAGAAGTTGCAATCGAAGATCTGTCAAAATATCAATAAACGATCTCAAGAGGTTCACCTATCACCTACATGTAAAAACGGGAGATTCTAAAAGCTGGACTAATTTATCGATCTGAATGAGCATGTTTACGGTCATCTCTAACTCTGCGCTGGTCGATATTAGTAGGATTTCTATTTAGAAAACTCATTCTTACAATATCTGTAAAAGGTTGTAAGCCTGTTCGTATGCTTGTGCAAGAAGACAAAGCGAGAAAGTAGCAACGGCATTGTAGCACCAGGATCTGAATAGTGCAACGAAGAAGGTCTGTCCGTCCTATAAAGTGTAAGCATGATTGGTCAGGAGCACAGATGGGGGGTTGGGACCTTAGTCTCCAAGTTTCGCAACCTCTTACGAAGCTCGGCAAGCTCTGGAGCTGTTATGAGATTGTTGTTTAGATTCTGTACCATGATGCTTGCGAACTCCACATCCTCTTCTTTTTCTATGCAATCAGCAAGAGTCCGGTAAATTCTCTCGGCACTCAGACTGATACAAAGCTGTCGAATAATCAAGTTCCCTCTCGTCTCAAGTAGCTTCCTATCCGTTGAGAAGAGTTGGAGAAGATTCTCCATGAAGGAAGAAAAATAATCATCGCCGCTATTTCGTGATATTTGAGATAATAGCTGCAAGTCTCGAGTGACCACTGCTTCAGCCGGATCTGACAACGTTTTGAGCAGGGCTGGAAATGTCCCATCATTGAATGCAAGCACCTTTCTCGGCGCTTTTCGGTGAAGCATGAGGAGCCACGTCAAGGCCGCAACCCTGGTAGCTTCGTGGTCATTCAAGAATAATAATGTCAGAGAAGCAACAGCCGCAGCATAGTCCAGCTCAACTTGTGGTTGAGAAGGTTGAGACGGCGAAGTTGGTGTTGGAGTCTTGTACGGTGGAGGTGGAGTCTGGACTTCTGACTCTCTTCTGTCTAGTTCCCGCGAATTCGAAATAGACCCACGGGTGTTGGTGGACGAGTCTCTCCGATCGTTGTTAGCGGAGTCCTTGACGATGGAAGTGGGAATCCTAGAAGGACCAGCTGAAGGGGCTGCCGAGGGTGCTCCTTCGTCCGCAAGGGATACCACGTAGTCCATTAAGGACGTGTTTACTCGTGAAGCCGCTTGGCGAATGGATTCCACGCCACTCGCCATAGCAGGGAGAAGATGGGCGAGGATTTTAGGCGCAAAAGGTAGAACTTCCTCGGGGCATATGTCAAGAAGGTCTACTATCCATCTCAACGATTCAAGCAGACTATCTTCTTCTATTACGGATTGTTTAGCTCATGCTCAAGATTGAAGCAGTGTAATACTTACCGAGAGGACTATCAAGATTGGCCGTCAAGATCTCTAAGATCTCCTTAAATCGTACTTGGACGTCCTGCCCTGGAACCCAATCATCTTCATCGGTGGTTTCCTCCTTGTCGGCGGCAGTGGTCGACTCATCATCATCCTCATCAGCTCCTCCTTCGGGCGCGACTGAATTCTCGCTGTCCATGGAGCCAGATCGTTTGCGTTTTCCGTCACTTCGAGATTTCCGACTCTCTTCGAGCCCTTTTTTGACCCGAGAGATACGCTTAATCTCGCTCAGAAATCTTTCCAACGCCCCTTGTGTCGCTACATGTACGTCACGATTCGGATCGCTGAGAAACCTGAATAGACCACCGAGGAATTCTGGAAGGTATGAGACAAGCTCAAGGTCTGGAATGGAATCAAGTAGGGTAATCCAGCCAACCAGAAAAGTTCTCGTAAATGGATTGATCACATAGATCCGCTCTTTTAGGAGTGGGATGAAACGTGCGAGTGAGAAAGCCGTGGGCGTGTCAACAGAAGCATCCGGGGTCTCTTTGTCAGTTTCAGTCGCTGATTCTTCAGAGGCGTGAAGGATAGAGACGTAATTTGCTGCAGATTCTGAAACAATATCCTTTATCAGTCGGTCCAGGAGCTCAGCACCGTTCTTGACGGAAAGCTCAGAGTCTGCGCCAAGCTATAATACTGTGAGCAAATACAAGAACTCGGAAAACTTCCAAACTTACTTTACATAGAGCATCAAAGATGTCATTGAAGTAGGGTAAGACCTCACCCTTTGCTACCTTGGCAATGTTGTACATGCTTTCACATGCATAGTAACGGACCCTTGCATCTTGGTCGGTGAAGCAAGCGAGTACTGGAGGAACAATAACGTCCAGATAACGTGCTAGATCCTGATACTTGATTAAACAGGTCACTTACTACTTGGTGAATCTAACATACTGGTCCTAGAGCAATGGCTGCAGCGGCAAGCCCAATAAGTCCTCCATTTCTGGCGTGAGGCTGGTGCACTGCATAGGCGTAATCGTTGCAAAGTTGCTCTATTATCTTCTTGATCCTCTCGAATTCTTTAGCAGCGGCAAGATCTCGAATAACACGTTCAAGGCTAGGATACGGTTAGTAGCTCATAAGTTCAATGTTAGGTAGCGTGACCTACTCGAGAGCGCCGACCTTCCGCTTGTCATAGAGCTTATCATTGAGAGCTCGTTGGATGCTTGGATCCATGCTGAGGCTTATCTACTTCCAAGTCTCATGGTATGCTGGAATGGAAGAAGGAGATTTGCAACTTTCTGGGGTTGTTGTTGGGTTGCGCTTCGAGTCCCAAAGCGGAGAAACAGGGAAAGAACAATGCACGCGAGGCTGCCTGAATGATTTGTCAAGAAGTTTAAATGGTTGTTGCAAAATAGAATCTTGGGCAAATAATCGTTGTCAAGTCAAGAACGACGTCATCGATCAGCCATGGTTGCGAACTCGCCCCATATCAAGAGGATGGGTCAGTACACAGCAAACGCATTTATGTTCTGGGTCACATCGATATCGATGTCTCACCGGGTTATCATCGGCCGGAACATTGTGGTGACGGTTCACGTGATGGACATTCCTGGTCCTCTTCAGTCTAGGGGCATGAGCAGGGGCATCTGTGAAAGACAGTCACCTTTTCTTGAATTCATTCATATCTACAGTCCAGAGTGGAATGCTCCGATGCGGATGGAGACGTCAGATCACTAATCCCCCGGCTTGCAGGAACCAGCCCTCTCGAAATTAATATCCCACTCTCCTGCACCTGGTCCGATCCCAATCTCGAATCTGAGCCCAAGAAACATCTACAGGGGCATGGCCATGGGTATAGTTACGGGATACGATCGGACCCAATTTCTTCTCCGCAATCTTGCTCCTGCGGTGTCGAAAGGAAAACCGAGATCCAAGCAGCAACTTGTTCCCCCTCGAATCGGCTCTCGAGCCTAGCAAAGCTCGCTCCAACAATTTGAGCCCCAAAAGCCTGCATCATCAACGGTATTGTCAGCCACGGCGGCATCGCATCACACAAGCAAAAGCAATATGAGATCTTCATTGTGTGTGTAGAAAAAGTACCAATCAACATAAGATTCGTGTTCGCAGCAACCCGGACAACAACTCCTCGAGCTCCCCTCTTCCGTTTATTCAAGGAATGAAATGCGACAAACTCCGATCTCGTTTTTGATGCCGACAAAAGAAACATTACTCCCCGGAAACAGAACCGGTTCTCTCGCATCTTCTCTTCTCCCCATGACGCCGAGTAGAGTACAACAAAATCATAAAATGTTTCCCAGCTCGCCTCAAAACCCTCCCCTGCCCAGTCCTGCCGTGCGCCCAACCCAAGGATCCACGCCCCCTTGTTCCGTGGCTCCGTCTCCGTCCCATCTCGCTACCCCTGTTCATGCACCAAGCTTCCCTTGTCGGGTCTGCGTCCAGACTCCATCTCACTTGGCTTCGGAAGCATGAGCATCGCAAACACTGTCTTGCGTGCAAGAGCACCTCTGCTTTCTGCTCTCTTTGGCTTTGTTCTCCTGTTCGTGCAGTTGTGCAGATTGAAGAGCTGCTCTGTACTCACGGCACTGATTCTCCCAAGATTAGCTTGTCACCCTCACGCATAAGAGCAGACTCACGTCTCCCTTTGCCCTAAAGATTCTTGCTGCCGACTCGTATGTATGATATTTGGGCATGCTGGAGTGCAGTGTACGTAAATAGGATCGAGGAAAGGTTCTCGAGGTGAAATTATGAAATGAGTTGGCGACGAGACGATTGACAAGAATGTAGCGATACTCGATGATTAAGTGTATTTGGCTTCAGAAGGTGGAATTTGCTTGTCCACAGGATGGCATTCTTCAACGGAAGCTGCAAGAACTTATATGTCAGTTGGGTGTGCCGTGGTGGAGATCGTTTTTGCTTTTTCGTGAGAGAACTCCTTGGCCATCTTTTTTCCCGGGAAAGGAAGCAGGGCCATCGACAAATCTTCATTTCTCAACCTCATCCTCTGTAGCCCGAATAACGTTGGTACCCGCAATGTGAGAAATGACCACTTTTTTCTTTTTCCGAGCTTTGATAGAAGTGCGGCAATCGCGGACGGACCTCTTTGGTTTCGATGCAGGTATCCTTCCTCTCGGGAAGATCCAACATGGCCACGATCTGATAAGGATCTTTAAATATCCACTTTCTTCACTAAAGGGCGGACGATCATCATACTTCAGACTCTCCACGACGGTCCGCCGCGCGACAGGACTAAGGATTCCTAAGGCAGTTCCCGTATGCTAGGAACGGGCCTGGTTAGCTCATTCTCAACTTCTCGGTGAGAAGGAGCGCTAGCTCAATCATTCCCCATGTCTCATTCATTAGGCAAGCCCTCGCTGGCTGAACGAGCGCCACCATATTCGACTAACCTGGGATACCCGTGGTCTGGGCTTTCTTCAATGCACATACAGGCGCTGATGCACGGGACTTGTGCCCCACGCCCACTGCAAAGCCAGTTCACTAGAGGCCTATGATCATCTGGAGCTTGTACTACGAAGGAGGCTGAACCTCAAAAGAAAATGCCAACTGACGAATACTCTGCCTATAGGAAAGTGTAAGGTTATCATGCTACTTGTCATGATACGTATTGATGGCCTGATGTCTCTTTCCTTCCTTTCGACGGCCAATGGTAGTTTGATTGCTGATTTGTGGCTGGATTGAACTTGAACCTGGGACTTAGCAAAAGAAAATGAATGGAAAGAACCAGAATAAAACCGGGTTGAGTATCGATGCTCTTGCCCGATGCCACCATATCGTCAACTCCCTCTTGCCCGCACACCTTACGACACCAAGCTGATGTGGGCTAGCGCTCCCGGCACCGACATATCCCAGGCGGGTTTCTCTCGCCTGTATGCATCAACGCGAAGGAACATTGCTGAAATTAAGTACGTCGATCTGAAGAAGCATGGAACCGGTGTTGAGGTAACAAGTATGATCTTATTGATGAAGTGTACACCGCGGCGAGCGGCTTCAAGCCCTGTATCAAACTGCGGGGTCAATAAGTGACAAGATATATTAGTGCCCATGGAATATCTCGTCATTTTCAGCGAGTGTCTTTTGACATTTTGCAAGTATAGCCGCCTGCCTCCCGACCTCCTCGAGTCTACCGATCACAGATCTGCTTCCATCCACAAATCCATACAACGCATATGGAATGCCTACATCCGTGCAAAACTCTTGCACGAGTTTTTGAGCCCTTCTGAGATTGTGTCTTGGCATCCTGGGAAACAGATGGTGAATGGCCTGGAACTGTAGGCCTCCATGAAAGAAATCGAGCCATTGTGGGCAGTCGATGTCCATTGTTGTCCGAAGCATTTTCTGGGGGAACGATTCGTGGGGCCCGAGCTCCGCAGTGCTCATCGAGAAGTGAGACAATGTGATCTGGGCGTGCAGGGGCATGGTGACCATGTGGCTGACCATGAGGAAAGCCCAACGCCCCGAAGCGGTCGGAATCGTCTTGTACATGATAACATACCCAAACCAATACCAGAAGAAAACCTGGCCCGTGATCTCTAGCCAGCGATGCCACCACGCAGGACCCTTCTTCGGACCAAGTCCGCGAATGAGATACTCCCATGAAAGGACATATAGATTGAAACGTCCAAAAGTGAGAATAGGGTAGTACAAATAATGCTGATACGGTAGAATCAATTTCGCAACCGCATCGAAGGCCATTACCCGTTCATAGAAGGAGGAAGTGAGAGACTCTAGGAACCTGTGTGAAATAACAAAAAATGGCATGTGCTCGATATCAGGATCATGCTCAGGAGAATTTGTGACAATGTGATGGACATTGTGATTGCGTTTCCACCATCCAACAGACAGACCGCCTATAAAGTCTGCGATGATGATTCCGATGGTTGTGTCGATAACAAAATTGTGAGTGATTCCCATGTGCCCTGCATCATGTACAGTGAACACGAGTTGATGCCATAGGCATCCGAGAAACATCCCACTGGTGGCGTACCATCCCCAACGTAGGAAAAGTAGCATCATGCAGAAGAGAAATGTGTATCTGCAGGCTTCAACGGCATATGCCGTATAGTTGCAGTCGTAAAGACCCTCCGCTCTCAGCCGCTGATCCAGAATTCGGTACTTCTGCACGACCTCATCCTGGGTGTCAAGGTCTAGCGGTGGATATTTGGCGATGTCTAAATCGATCTGTTCTTTGGTACGAGCATCCAGGTAAGACATACCATCGTCCGGTTCTGCAGCGGTCGAAACTGACGATGCAGAGGACGAATGCAATTCGGCTTTCCTAGCAAGGCGCTGCCGAATCTCTGCATCAAATATGGGCGAGGGTGTTCGTGATATATCGGAGTCCATGGAGTGATCTTCAATAACCTGCTCTTCGTCCTCGGAATCGGCCACACCTTCACAATATGACCTGAACTTTCCACCTTGAATAGGAGGTACAAAGTTTTTCCATCTGCCCTCAACACGGCCGATTCGATATCGTTCCATTTGTTTGCGAGCTTCGGGGGAGTGAAAACTGCATAGAGCCAGTTAGTTGGAGCGGTGCGACGTGCAGCTCTCGAGGCATACCCATTTACTTCGTCCGTGGCATCTCTACCAATCATGTGCATGATAGCCTTGTCGCCACCGGGATGATACTTCAACCAAGCATCGACCTTCAATACTCTCTGGTCGAGGATAATGATTGATCGTCCATCTGCAATGAGACCTTCGACTTGTCCTCGAGATAGGATGGTCTCTGTCCGAGTTGGGCTCTTTGTAAAAGACATCTTCAGTAGCACAGCAATAGAAAGGCAATGGGTGGTGAGGAGAATCGTTTATTCAGAATCGACGCATTGTTCTGGGAAAGTCTGGGGTGACAAAGTCTCGGTGAAGCTTTCAAAGTTCAGACCACAACTAGAAACGCTCGGGAGTGCCCCGCCCCGCGACAGAGCTATTGGCTCGCTAAAAAGTGGTACCTGAGCAGGGTTGCCACAAAGCTTAAGGACGACATCGACATTGACATCCATTCTCCAACAGAGTCTACGAGAGCTCTAACCATTAGATATGTCTGGACACTATTCGTGGACAAGTGTCTCAAGTGCCTGACTGTCCCTCTCTCGGGCTTTTAAAGTAGTATCGTGCTGATGAGGTTTATACCACTCAAGTTAGATAATTTCACAACCTGAACATTACCTACCTAGGTACCTACCACAAGGTGCCTCTAGTATGACTCGATCACGTTTCCGATGAATACTAAAAATGGGCTTCGTTGGCCCTGATTTCTAAGATCTCTGCGGAGTGTCTACTTCCTGGAAGAACCGTAGCAAGTGCTACCCACAGCTGCCATTATGTTTTGCTATATGCTTCTCTACAAGTTGCAGCCCTTGAGACATCATTATCATTCTGGATACTTGGAGCATGTTTAAATGAGCACACTTATCTATTTCGTCGTCGGACTGCCTTGTGATTTGCTGCATTAATCTCATCACGTGGATGGGTGTGTTTGTTCCCCTCCCAGACTTCATGGCTCCACTCTCAGACTCAAGGCTTAAGAAGAGTCATACTACATTGTATCACACACTTTCACTGATGCCTAATGGCTGTGTGATTGATGCTTGCCAACAGATACTGCCCAGGCAAGGCGAACAGATCTTCAACAGATTTCTGATCATTTGTCTAGTATCTACCCGCTGTGTTCTCTTTCGCCCAGCTAGATGAGAGCGCCCTGACAACCAGTTATGTGGGATCTTCTGATGAATACGAGGTATGTCGCCTCATCAATTTCGCCTGTGGGCTCACTTTCCCTTTCTCCACCAAGCCATCTTCCATGCTGGTTGATATTTTCTGCCACAAGAGCTTTGCGACAGTATGATGCTTGCCACATCCAGTTCTCACCGCATCTCTGCGCCCATTATCGTCGCACTCCATCGCTTTTGTTTGCTGTATCTCTGGCCAATGCGAGCCAGTCAATCTGTAGTTGTTTCTCACGAGGACCTCTTAGTTGTCTAGAGCGGTTGCACAATTTATCTAAAATGGCGATCTAATGCGGAAAGCACTCTAATTGGGCGGAAAAGATACTGTGTAGTTGACAATCTAGGCCCCTCAGCTTATAACTGTCCTCATTTTCACATTCTCGTCGAGTGTCTAGCCCCAATTGCTACGTTGTGCAAGCAATATGCTTAGCAAGACGCCAAGGCGATGGCAATCTCGCCGGGCAATGTTTTCTGTGAAACATCAGTACTAACTGCCTATATAGTGTTGGAGAATTCCCACTTTCCTGCTCCTCTTTTTCTGCTACAAGACACACTGAGGATTTTACAACTGAGCCCTACTACACAAACAAACACATAATACGAAAACAGCAACTATGATCGGCAATCGACGCAGTCAGCTCCGAGGAGGTGTCCTCGGCGGTCGAGGCTACGGACTTGGTCTAGGAAGCAACCTGAGCCCTCTGAGCCCTCTGGGCCTGGTGGGACAACGTCGTGGTTATGGGGGCCTCGGGAGTTATGGCTATGGCAACGCTGGCGCACTAGGTGCTCTGGGTGGACTTGGCCGACGCTCCCTCCTCGGCGGAGCTTTGCAAGCTGGAGGACTCGGTCTGCGAGCTGGAGGGCTTGGTGGGGGGCTTGGTGCAGGAGTACTTGCTAACAAAGTCGGTCTTGGTCTTGGTCTTGGTCTTGGAGGGCTTGGTGTAGGAGTGCTTGCCAACAGAGGGGTCCATGGTCTTGGTGGACCGTCGCTCGGTGCAGAACTTGCACTGTTGCGAGGACAGCGCGTAAGTAACCGCGCTCCCTGTGAGCTTATCGAATCTACGGGCGCCCACGTCTGTCAAAATTGCTCTCAGCGAGGTGATATCAATGATCCCTTCGGACAAGCACCATGTGTTTGCGGCCTCTGTGACTGGGGATCAGGGAATGAAGTTGACGTTGACGCGTGGTATGTCATATCCCCTTCATCTTGTAATCTACTCTGACTCGACAAAGTAGCAGTTTTGGTGGGCTCGGTGTTGGACTTTGTGATATGTATTACGATCCACTTTTTGAGCAAATTGGCATCCAAAATGCAGTTGGTGGGTTGGGTGGGCTCGGGGTTGGAGCGTACCGATTCGGATACCCGTAGTCTGCGATTCGCCGCAACCCACTATACATTCGCCTCTACGCCACGGCTTCAGCACCATGAACAGTTTTGTCTCTTCTGGTATCAGTCTTTTACATTTCTGTAAGTATTTTGGCCCGTTTCAAGATGCGTGGGCCCACTGACAACGGTTGTCCTAGATGCTTGACAATATTCACTATTTCAACACGCCTTTTCCTGGGTGCTCTCATGCTACCACTCCTTCAACGCTCCTTACCTTGTTTCTTTACGAAAACTCAAAATCCATGATTAAAGATGCAAGGAAATCAAAGGATACATTCCTTACTAGGTCTCAACGATACAGGTGGAATGATGATTATGGATAATGAATGGATTTTGACTAGATATCTACAATGCAGATTTTTGGATTTTTTGGAGTTGTTCATTCGTGCTCATCTTAAAGTTAGCAATTAAATAATCTTTCCGCTCAATCATGTTCATTTTATCTACCTATCTTACAAATGGGGTATGCTTAAAAGTGAATCGCCTTTCCGTAAGTGGCCATAGCAGCCTCCTTGAATGCCTCTGCAAGAGTCGGGTGTGCGTGACTCGTTCGTCCAATATCTTCTGTTGAAGCACCGTATTCGAGTGCCAACGTTCCCTCAGCAATCATTTCTCCGGCATTCGGGCCGATGATGTGAATACCAAGAATTCTATCCGTCTTAGCATCAGCAATCATCTTGACGAAACCCTCGGTGTCCAAGTTTGTCTTCGCTCTCGAGTTTGCTGAGAATGGGAATGTGCCGATCTTGTACTCCACTCCGGAAGCCTTGACTTCCTGCTCGTTCTGGCCAACCCACGCGACCTCGGGATGGGTGTACATGACGGATGGAATGGCACCATAGTTGACGTGTCCGTAGCCCTTCTTGATCCACTCGACAACAGCGACGGCTTCCTCCTCAGCCTTGTGGGCAAGCATGGGGCCGAAAGTGCAGTCACCGACCACGCGAATATGTGGAAGTTTGGTTCGGAACTCATGGTCAATGACCAATCTTCCCTTCTCATCGGTCTCAAGACCAACGTTTTCTAATCCGAGACCTGCCGTGTACGGTCGGCGACCAATTGCAACCAACACGACATCGGCGTCAAGCTGTGCTCGTGATTAGCAACTACACTGAGAGCAAACAGGTCCCACTTACGGTCTCCTTCTTGCCACCCTTGGCAGCCTCAACCTCAAGCTTGATCTTGTCACCTGTAGCATCGCCACCAAGGACCTTGGTGTTGAGCTTGAAATCAATGCCTTGCTTCTTCAAGATCTTTTGTGCGGCTTTCGAGATTTCGGCATCCATGCCGGGTCCACCGATTTGGCCGAGAAATTCGACGACAGTGACTTTTGATCCTAGTCTTGACCAGACTGAGCCCATCTCAAGGCCAATGATTCCTCCGCCAATGACAACCATGCTCTCGGGGACTTTATCAAGAGCAATGGCACCTGTGCTGGTGATGATTCTCTTCTCGTCGATTTCCAGCCCTGGGAAAGGTGTGGCTTCACTACCAGTGGCAATGAGAATGTTCTTTCCGATGATAGTCTTCTCCCCTCCCTCGGTGAGGTTGACCTTAATCTCATGTTCGCCTGCGAAAGATGCTGTGCCCTTGACATACTCGACGCCGTTCTTCTTGAACAAGAACTCGACACCCTTCGTTAAGCCAGAGACAGCGGTATCTTTTGACTTCATCATTTGTGCGAGGTTCAGTTTGACATCGCCGACGTCGATACCCCGAGCCTTCGTGTCGTGGAGAATCTGGTGGTAAAGATGCGAGTTGTTGAGGAGAGCTTTCGAGGGAATGCAGCCAACATTCAGACATGTTCCGCCCAATGTACCTCGTTTCTCAATACATGTGACCTATTCAGCATGTTAAATATGCGCCGAGAGGGTCCTCCGTGTCTGCGAAACATACCTTCATGCCCTCTTGGCCAGCTTTGATGGCAGCAACATATCCAGCAACACCACCCCCGATAATGACCAAATCCTTCTCCTCTACTGGAACATTAGCTCTAGATTCATGAATCTACTTTGTCCGCATAGCTCACCAGCTTCCGTCGCGTATCCTCTTCTCGACCATCTTGCAATTGATGAAGGGGCGATTACAGCGGGAAGACTTGAGAATGCTGTCAGCCTCTAGAACACTGAGGTATTGAACAATTGATGGGATACTTACGATGATGATTTCTTGAAAGCCGACCTGGCGGCCGCTCGAGGTACTAATAAGCTTCGAAGCATTGTGTCTGAGGAAGAAGGTTCGTTTTGCTTCAGGAATCTTTACAGTTGAGATTGTTTTTATCGCCGGAGCTGCACATCTCGCGAAACCGTCCGAGACACCTGACCGGACCTGCCGTTTTTAACCGACACGGGGCGATTTTTGACAAAGCCAATTTCTGGGACTTTAGTGATATGATCTTGCAACTACCATAAAAATTCACCAGTAGCATATAAGATAATAATGTTCCAGACTTTGTGGGATATAAGTGAGAAAAGCAGCCTTTTCGAAATAGGAGAGTCTACAAAGAGGATACACGTCACTCTTAGACCACTTCATCCCTTCAAATCCCGTGTCACACTTAGGAGCTTAGCCCACGCATATAGTCCAGCAAACTCTGGAACATTAATATTTTATATTCCAATTCTGAGGGCACGAAGAATCAATTATCTTGTGGTGAATAGTATTATGGATCTGCTTCTTGTACTGTTTAATGTTATCTGAGCATATTCCAGAGGCAGCGGAAGTGCAGTACAGAGGACCTCAGAACATTGATGGATTGATTCATTTCCCGTTCAATCCGCTACAGAATCAACGACCGCTAACGACTCAAGGGTATCTCCTGCTACTTTACAAGCCCATTTCACAGTAGCCTTCTCTTCTTTGCTACCTGCAATATCCGTCTTGCTTACAACCTTCTTCATGAAATATTGTAAACCTCTGATCAATTGCGGAGTATCTTTCGCCTTCGCAAAGATGCTCACAACAGCTTGTTCATCTTTCTTCAACTTTGCCTGCCTTTGAGATTGGAGGAGCATACTGATAAATAGTACCTCCAGAAAAGTCTTCGTCTTTGTTTGAAGGTAGCTGAGGTTCAGATTCTTGAAAACACTGAGACCAAGGCCTCCTTCGAGGATAAGGGTACCGAACATCTTTGCAAGATTGACGATTTGTCTGCTATCCAGACTATCCTCTTCCTCCTCGGATGCATCGTCTTCCTCGTCAAACTCTCCCATCTTCTTGAACAGGTCCCAGAGGCAGAACTGAAAAGCTGTTCTCAACCTTCTGTCCCCACATACTTTCTTTGCAATCAAAGTGTAGTAAGGATTGTAGCTTTTCTCGCCTCCTGCGCAGTGGACCAGAACCTTCGGAATCTCGTACTCTTGTACCCTCTTCAATTTCAGCTTCATCAAGCGCATATACGCATCCTGGTAGTCCTCCGCAGACATGATTGAAATGAAAATTGCTCGACGAATATCAGTATTCATACGTTGCTCTCTGGCAAGCTGAAGCAAGTCTGAAGTTCCAGTATCTTCGGTCGCAGCTGTGTTCCGTTTGTCGCCATTCAACACCGCCTCGTCATCTTCTTTGTGCCCATTGCCAGCCCAACTAGCACCAACAAGCCACCACTTCCCCTTCTTGTCGGATTCATTGATATCTTTGAGTCCTATACGTAGTGGTTCGCTTGCTTTGATATTTCTAGTGTTCAATGTGCCAAGGATCTTCTTCATCTGGATAGTATGCTCCGACGTGACAGCAGAGGCCACCGCGCCGGTCTTCATTCGGTTGTTCTTGAGGTTGTTGATCGTCTCGATCATAAATTTGGTCCTGACAGAGATGTTGTCTTCGCCGACACTCTCCACAGCTGGCCGAAGCATGGCAACGATATCCTTCAGAGAAGAAGGGTCATCCTGACGTAATTGTGGACCAGATGTTCGGATGATCTTCAACAAGAGCTCTGCATTCAACTCTGAAAGCTTGCTCAGAAATAGTCTTATATAGTCAAACATAAGATTGCTTCCGACAACTTGAAAATTGTACATTTCTGACAGAAGCATGATAAGATTTGATGTCTCCTTGCTGGTCTCGGCACTAGCAGCCACTGGACTGTCCTGCAAAAACATTGCACGATTGTAATGCTCATCGAAAAGCTCTGCAACTCTTTGGATGACCTGTGCTCCGAAGTCTGTCCCAATGACCTTGTAGACAGCTGCGATAAATCCGGCTGGAAGTATGATGAGAGTATCTGGTAAGCTCGTAGGCTCACAGACTGATGTCAAGAGGACATCGACAAGGGTCGAAGTTACGTGTTGACGTGGGTTCTCCCGGTATAACTTTTCAATGTCTCCCAGAATTGATATCAGATTGGCATCCGTAAGCCTATTGATCAAACCTTGTGTCCTTCTTCGTAGACGAACCAATTCTTCTGGGTCGGAAAATGCAGCTTTCCGTAAAGATGGTGGGATATATTTTCCAGCTGAGGACGCTGGCACAGGTGCAACGTATGGATTCTCACGAATTCGTGGAGTTGGCTGGGATATCTCTGTATCCTCGTCCATATCGTCATCATCGCTATCAGAGTCAAATCCGTCGAAATCGTTGTCCACGTCAAGCTCATTACCGTCTGCGCTGAGTTGACTCACGTCAGAGACTTCCGATTCATCATCTGGGAATTCGTGTCCATCCAAGGACATATCTGAGGCACCATCATCGTCTGAGCTTGTTTCAAGGACTTCCTCGTTGCCTTCGCTCTCTTCTACCTCTCTTGTCTTGACAGATGCAGGGTTTGAGGTCTGTCGAGCTTGCTTGCGCTTCTGCTCCAGCCACTCGTCACCTTCTGCCTTTCTCTTCTTGCTATCGGGGGCGTCTGAGTCCTCTTCATCTAGGCCCTCTAGAAGTTCATCCAACCCGTCGTCCTTGAAAGACTGGGGCAGCTTTTTCTTCCCTTTGAGACCTAGCTTCTTCTCCAAAGCAGCAATCTCCTCGTCGTCCTCTGCAAACTTGTTCTTGACAGTTCTTGATACCCTGGCAGGAGGCGATATCGACCGCTCGTCTTGGCCGACCTCGGGTAATGGGTCTCTTTTCTTCGTGCGCTTCAAAATAGACTTTGGTGGTGGTGCACTGGGTTCATCTTGTGTAGGCTTCTTGGGATACGGACGCTCAATTGCTGCTCGGCTATCGCCCAGGCTTCGGCTCTCCGTATGATGTATTTTAGTCCTCTTCGCAGGAGGTGGCACAGTCCTCACAGTTTTTCTTTCTGCTCGTGCAGCTTTTCGAAGGTCTTTCCTTGATCCAGGTCGAGAGCGAGATTTGTGACCTCCGGAATATGTATCTGAGCGATACACATTAGCTTCTTTCTCCCAAGATTGATATTGACATAATCACCTTGGGCTCCTATCTGGTCAAGAATCGCTTTTGGCAGCTTCAAGAGATTTGGTGGTGCCATCTTGTGCCATAATAAATTTGCGAAAGAAAGTTCCTGGAATTTATTTTTTATCGGAGCTGCAATCGCCGATCTTGACCCCACACAAAACCAAATTATCCCAGAACTGAGCTGTTCCAGCCCTCGATTGTACACCTTTGATCACATCACCGCAGACATGTCAAAGAGTCACCTGAGTAATGATGATGTACGTCATTATGCGCTCATTTGTGGAAGGAAGGTCACTGACAGCAAACAGTTCTTCCTGCGACTCTCAGAGCTCTTTGATGAGCGACGACAGAAGAATCATGGCAGTATACACTTGACTCAAAAGCGCAGTAAGAGCCGGTTCACCCAGCATCAATTCACAGGGTATCTGACGATCACAGTGTCATATGGAGCAGATGGCGATGTAGAGTCTCCTGAACCGTCCACAGCGCAACCGTTCCCCGATCTGACTCCTTCGAAACCATTACCAATTATAATCCGGGCGACGAATGGAAAATCGAAAGAGAAGCGGGACAAGAAGGTCAAATTGTCGACTATTGTAGATGTAGATGCGTTGGAGGGCTTCTACAGCAAATATGCGGAGGTATGCAAGCTAGGCATGTCAGGTCTGAAGAAGAGAGACAGGAGTAAGGCGAAGGAGAAGTTAAAGGCGAAGAAGAAGAAACAGGGTGGCGCTGCTGCTGGAGGCACGGAAGTCAAAAAGGAGAAGCCTTGATTGGAAGTCTCGGTGTTACTAGGATTTTATCTTGCTACTTTGGCATGGAACAATTTGAAGCTATACCCAAGCCAAGAGACCTTGGCAGCAAGACAAGAACTATTTCTCAAAGGGCCCAAGAGTGTGTGGAGATGGTTAAGAATGTCGAAGACCTAAAAACATGCTAATATCTGACCGCCAATTCCAATGCTTCATCACGAACCACATACCCTCCATTATCCTCAAAATGACTGATTGATCAACATACCAATCAAATCATCTCAGCAATCCATGAACATCTGCGATTAAAGATCATGCTTCCAGAGAACCCAACGAACCTAGCAGGTACAATATCCTACAAACGGTTATGAGAAGTCCCAAAATGGACCCTACCAAGCCCCTATACCCACATTTCGTTCCATTACAACAGCTTTCACAATCACACAGCGCACCAGGCGGCTCAGAATGTGGAGAAGCGAGTGCCTGTCATCTTGAGAGTAGGTTGGGATCAACGTAGCCGGATTGCTGGGCACTATCCTGAGCCATTTGTTGTTCTCTGTCGTTCTGCTCTTTGTTGTAGGCCTCCATAATCTGAGCTAGTGTAGCATCGTCAATCTCCTCGTAGTCGGCCTGACTAAGGTCAATACTGTTGCAGAACTGAACGTTTGTTAGTACTTACCAGCAATGGGAAGTTATCATTGATTGGTTCTTGTGTATAGGAGTTTGGGCCAGGAATAGGAATTGTTTCTGGCTTGGTGTTGGGATGTAGTAGACTGGGATCTATGATTGCTTGCATGGTTCCACTTGGCTGCTCCCTTGATAGTCCGGCACCGGTGTTGTATGACATATGACCACTTGGCGCTTGTCCCGTAAATGCGTTGTAAGGCATGTTACCAGCTAGTTGTTGTCCTGAGAATGCATCATAGGATAAGGCAGACCAATTCTGAGAAGTTGGGCCAGCATGCAAAGGACCTGGAGCAGGCATATTGAAGTTAGCTTGTTGGCGAAGAGGTGAGTGATAGTTCTGTGGTGGACATCCTCGGAGAGAGGAGCTTGCACCGAATTTGGAGTCTAGCCCATAGGGACTATCGGGATACTTGTGAGGATTCCAATTCAAAGAATTTGTAGGGTCTGGATACGCGAGGGCGCGTGTTGAGGGCGCAGAAGGTGAATAACCAAGGTTTGACATGGGTGCTCTAGGGGTCGAATACATGGAATTTGGTGTCGATGGTTGACCTTCTGATCTTTCTGCCTTGACTCTCTTATAGCTTGGTCGGTCTTTCTCTGGTCGTAGCTCGCGATTCCTCTTCTTGCTCGGTGTCTCTTCTCGATGTGGGCGATTTGATTGTTCTTCCTCAGGCTTTATCTCCTGTGCACCACACTCCCCACAACCTCCCCTGGCATTACAGAACCAGCAATGACCACCCTCTTCCACCGCTCGTCTCCTTCCGACAATTCCAAGTTCTTCAAGGCCGAGAACGATATATGCCTTGTCGATACCTGGTCTCATCATATCTTTCTCGAATCCAGACTTTCCGATAGCTGCTGCTTTACATCTCCAGCATGTTCCAGTGGGTCGTTCTTCAGGCTCGATTCCACGCACTTGTATGCAAAGCTCCGGTGGGCACTTGCTCTTCGGCCATGATGCCGGGCAGCTAGGAAGTCTGGAGACAGAGACGTAGACTCTGCGGCAACAAGGTAACGTGAAGGGGATGACTTGGCACATCGATCTCTGGATATGAATATCTTTGGATGTGTTACGCTCCTTTGACTGTAGCTCTTCGTACCGTGAATCTTCGGTCTGTGATGGCTCGTCGTTCTGTAGCTTTCTGTACCGTGGTGGCTATTTCGTTCTGTAATTCGTCGTATTATGTTTCTTGAATATGATCTTTGCTGAGGTAATGACAGTGGTATTGTGGATGGATGGTGCGCAAACTTACAGGTTGAGTTGTTTGGGAATGAATAACAGGTTGGAAGGTTGTTTTGTATAGGAAGGCCACTAGTGAATTATAATGACTGGACACTAGGAGTTTTGGCAACAGGTGAATACCAATTCTGTGATTCACAACATCTTGATCGCATTCGTTTGGAGAACAGAGCGTCATCTCGAAGTCTATGATTGTTAGCAGGTATTCAAGTGAGAGTATGCTTTGAAGTAATGAACAAAGAAACTGTGTGCCGTAGACTATGAGATAGTTTTACTTTGCATTATTGTCAACTCGAGGAGGCTCTACGTCACCCAATTCTAAGTTCTGAGCCTGTCACACAGCACAATTTGTACTTTCACAGCTCATTCACCCCTTCACCCTGCAAATAGGTTCCAAATCATCGATTGTCTGCATTAACCGCATCTAAGCAAATATTCCAGGTTTGACCGGGATGGAAAACTTTTGTGAGACTGTAGAAACAAGCACATATCCTCCCTCTCCATAGCCCCAATGTGCATTTTCAAGTCCGTAGGAGTCAGTGGGCGAACTAGGAAAGCAATTTGAAGTAAAGACCACGTCTCCATTCCGACTGCTATGCTCCCCTAGATTTCTGGGCGAAAGTTGAGTTACAAGTAAAGAAAGTGGGCCATCGTGCGAAAGAAAGAGTGGTGTAACATGAGTTGCCGACCCGTACCATGATGACCATGATGTTTGGCATCCCTGAGGAGAATCTCTACATGATCTGGTCTTGAGTCAAGCTAGTGGCTTCCGTCTCCATAGCATCACCGCCGCCAGGAGTTTGGTACTTGACGAAGGTTAGACCCAGAGGGCGGCCGCCATATTGATAGCCAGAGAACTTTTCGATAGCAGTGTCGGCGTTCTCAGCAGTATCGAATCGTACAACACCAGTTCCTCGGGATCGACCATTTGGTTCATACTGAATTTCGGCCTGTTCGACTTTTCCGATGGTGGTGAAAAGCTCGACAAGATCCTCATTGCTGGTGGACCAAGGGAGCTAGAGAACATCAGTATGAGGAATCATATTTCAAGGAATTCAGTACTTACGTTGCGAACATAGATTGTCTCGCTTCGCTCGGTGCCAGAGGTTGCATAGTCGGTGAACGGATTAGGTGGTGCTGCAGAGGCCACAGCTCCTCCATCGAAACCGCTAGGTGCTCCACCTCCACCATAGCCACCTCCAAATCCACCACGGCCTCCGCCAAATCCACCTCCAAATCCTCCACGGCCACCAAATCCACCACGACCTCCAAATCCACCGCCAAAACCTCCACGTCCTCCACCAAAGCCTCCTCGTCCACCAAAGCCGGGGCCGGAGCTAGCGAATCGGTCCTCACGGACTTCAAGAGGGCGACCTTGCCAATCGTAACCGTTGAACTGTTGAATTGCGTTACGAGCATCATCAGGAGACTCGAAGGCTACAATACCGGAACCTTTGGGACGACCATCTGGGCCAACGTGGACATCGGCACGAATGACTGCACCATTGCGAGCTGTAAGACAAAATGTTAATCTCAACGTCTATTTTCCTGTTAGCTGCAAAGACGAGACTCACCAGCTTGACGGAAGAGATCCTTCAGATCTTGCCATCCGACTGTATAAGGAAGCTAGGTTTCTGAGTCAATTTCCTGGCCCCAATAGGGATACAACGGAGAAGGAAAGGGATTCAACAAACGTTGGCCACGTAGATTTGACGGCCGCCACCACCAGCACCTCCCGCTGCCATGGCACCACCGCCATATCCACCTGCTCCAAAGCCACCACGGCCCGTACCGCCTTCGTAACCGCCGCGTCCGGCTGCTGGGGGACCAGTAAATCGAGGTTCGGCCTCACGATCCTGATGAAGATGTTAGAACCAATGAAAAAAGTTGTCGAGAGGCGTAGCATACTTCTCGAACATAGACGAGTCGACCCATGAGGTTTTGATTGCTGAGAGTGTTGACGGCCTGTTGAGCTTGCTCCCTCGTGGCATATTCTACAATGCTATTGAGGATTAGCTTGCGTTCTAAAGGCAACATGATGGTGATCGACTTACCCGCATCCCTACATAACCCGCGGAACAACGTCCCAATCCGTCAATCCAACATTCCTTCAATGACCAGAAAAGAAAAACTCAAAGTGCCAGCTACGTATAGGCGCCCACCTTCGACATTCCATTCGGAAGCAACAACACATCTGCAAATAAGACCTCCCCAGCTAGAGCGGCCCATTAGTTCTTGAACTTCCCATCAAAGATGATTTACTAACCAGATCTCATAAAATCTTTGAGATGGTGCCATTTGACATCATAACTAAGGTTGCCAACGTAGACCCTTTAGTTCATCAGCAAAACGCCTTACGAAGACGATGATCCGACACTAACCGACGGTCTTGTTGGGAAGACTCTCGAAGACTCGATAACATCTGCTCTCTAGCTTGAGCTCTCTCCTCAAACGACCGATGGGGAACACCTCCGCCTGCTGACATCCCGCCGCTGATTGGGCTTCTAGATCGTCTGTCGCTGCGATGACGGTCCTCACGGCTACGGCTGCGAGAGCGTGGGCTGTAAGAGCGACGTCTGGAAGAACGTGGTGATCGAGACCGACGTCTTGGGGATCTTTCGCGCTGCGACACGTAAGTCTCTGCTTCAATCATCAAGTCAAGTAGGCTTGATAATAAGGCCAAAAGGGGTGGAATTTGAGATGTTGTTGAAGTTTGGTTGCATAGTGCGTTGGTGGTTGATGATTAGCCCACGTCCCATCAAGGTGCGTGTAGCTAGTCTCCGCAACTAGGCCTGACTGGACCTCATTTACGATGGGAAGCCACCTGTCAGAGACGGACGAGGACGGGCATGGGGCTGCAGCCTTACCGGGCCAAACTCGCCCGGCTTGGATGTAAAAGAGAACCAACAGGTGGAGGGGAGGAATTAGAACTTACTCCCGGGCGGTACGAATCGTCTGCTTTGGTAGGAATAGAATTAGTATTGTTGAAGAAAGTTATGATCTTGAAGAAGGATGTAAATTTGTGCGGAGAAGAAAGAAACGACGAATAGACGACAAGCGGCTACCGATTCGAGGCCAAAAGTGAATGAACGATTGAATGAAACAAGAAGGAGCGAGGGTTGGGGGACAAACTAACCTGCACCTGACATGGCTCTGGCTAAGATGACGAGCGTTCTGTGGGTAATCGGTGTCTCTGGAGACTTTCGAGGTGCCGGGCTGGGCTGGAATGGAAATCCTGATAGAGGCAAGGATGAAAGTTAGTGGGACTGCTGTGTCGAGTTGCGGGTGAGATGGGGGGTGAAGGGGAGCTCCAATCATGGACGGAGAACACACATACGGCGTGAAAGGCCTTGGTACGTGTTCGGCCACAGAACGGGAGCTGCCTGCGGAAGCTGGTGTATCTGCACTCAACCCAGACAATGCCATCAGCATCAGCAGCAGCATGAGCAGCAGGAGCAGCAGACTATGCCTCCATGCCGCGGCAGACACGCAGACAGGCAGACCCGCGAGGGCAGAGAGAACGAGGGCAACGGGGAGCAGCAAGCTTACCTGGTCCTGAAGAACTGCACGGCGCTGGAAAGACTTGCAGAAGGGGGGCGAGTGCAGAAGAGGAGAAAGATCCAATGAGTCCTGGGGCGCGACTACCGGCGCTCTGGTTGACAGTCTGAATCCCCGGTCTTGTCTGCGCACACGTCCCGATCAAATACAGCGGTTGTACGGAGACAGTGGGCTGGCGACAACTGGACTGCCTGGTCTGACGGCGTGTGGTGTGGTACTGTACTGCGTTGGGGAAGGGGAAGAAGGGAAAATGAGGGGAGCTGGTGCAGGTGGAAAACGCGACTGTCAATCGCAAGCAGGTTGGAATTAATTTTTGGCGTTGCGTTATGCTGTGCCTTACTGCCTTACTGCCTTATTATGTAAGCGACAGCTACCTGTGCAATTGCACAAAGTGCGCACAAATGGTTGGCTAGCCTTACTTAGGTAGTAGTATGCAATGGCGGTTAGACCCGGTTCGGCCATTTGGCTGGCCCATGCGTCTCCGTACTCTAATGCAGCAAGCAAAGCAAGCTCGAACCGCTCTTGGTGTGCAGATTGGCTGGCTAGCTAATCGGCTTCCTACAGCAACTCACTGCAGACCAGAATATCCACATCCACACATCCACATCCACATCCAACCCCAATCCGAATCCGCTCGCACTCCTTCCGAACGAACTTCTTTTTATCCGGCCACTGTTGCTGCTGCTGCGACTGCTACTACCACTGCCACCTGCCCCTTCTTGAATGGTAGCTCCCGACATGTTATGCACGCCGGATGTGCTGCGATCCCGGACTACTTACATACGTGCTGCACCGTTCCACGCTTCCCCTTCGGGCTGTGTTGCGGAGTGCACTACAGTAGAGCTTTCATCATTGAGACGAAAACGAGGACGGGGACGAGGACAGGGAGCCAGGCAACGGACCGAGGTGTCAACGAAGAAACATTTAAAACGTCCATCTGCATCTGGAGAAATGCAGAACTGATTGCGGATACAAACTGTGAAAGTCCCAGATAGCGAACGAGTGGAGACACGCCAAAAGAGTGAAGCTCTCTGAGGATACGGCTTACTTGAAGCCGGCGATGAGGTCGATTGCAGCAGGTACATACACTACGTGCCTTCAATCGGACGGGTGTGCATGCTGGAGCAACCTGCTGCAACCTGAGATGCATGGCCGAAGAAGGGGGTGCCAAATTCGCCACAGGGCGCAAATGTCTCCCACACCCAAGAGGAAACCTTCTCATTCTGCAGTCACAGCATTGGACTGCCTGCTTGCATCCCCAGTTTCTTTCTTCTTCTTGATCGTCATATTAACAGCGATGTCAGTCCCAACCTCAGTTCCCAGACCAATATGCCCTCCTCAATCCTCGGCTATGACTCCGCAGAATTATTTTCCACCCGCCGAAGACTCGTGCTGTCTCTGTGCCTGCCATGCTTCCGGCACAGCATTGCATTGCAATGCATGCTGAAAAGTCAGGTACTCTTGCGGGCATCGGAGAGACGAGCTAGCCAATGATGACCCGACTTCGTGCCTGGCCTTCTCTTAGCCTATCACTGGAAGCTCATCTGCGTCAGGGCGCGTCCAGTGACAGTCGAGAGGATGACCTTAGAGTGATATGGGGCGTTGATCTCTCCACCTCGGCTTCCCGACGTCTTCAACAATTCTCCAACGCTATTTGCAGGATCTCGAGCACCACATGAGCAAGCTGAAAATGGGATCCTTGTGCTGCTGTGGGTGCCTCTCACCAATGCGAGGTACTGAGACATACATCCTCTTTGGATACCGATTGCAGAAGCGCCGTATAATGGCCTTCAAATCTGATTTACAATGGATCCATCTTTGAAGGTTGGAGTGCTAAGCGCCCAATCAAATTACCTAGAAGTCTGGGAGCATGGGAGATTGCAAGGAGAGTCATTTGAGAAGACGAGACGCATGGGATGGCACCCAGAAGTGAGCACACCGACGGGAGATCGATCTCACACTGTTCGCGTGCTGCAGCGTGCATAGCAATCCCAACACTAGGGCCCGCGAGGCTTGATGTCTATTTGGAAGTCACCCATTACTTCGGAATCTTACTTTTCTTCTCATGACTATTACATTTTCACGATTCCATACTCAATTTTCGATCTTTTTCGTCCCCCACACCCCCTCCGGAGAAGACGTCCAATCCTAGCCGGCTGTATGCGGCCTTCATGCAGAACGAGGGTTTTTTCCCATGTATGCAGGGGGCTACTCACGCACGAGATATGGTACACCGAACTAGGCGCGCCGCTACACCTGACAAAGCTGACTAAATGGCTGTGCTTTTTCTCGTTTCGCTCTAATGCACACACTCTTATCTTAACCTGCAGTCGACGACTTTGTTCGTATCCAACAGTTCTCTTCCCTCCAAGTGGCATGCCCCCACTGCATTAAGTCGATGCAGCTGCGGGATCAACGGCCCGCAGAGTATGCCTGACACTGTAAGATTTATTTAGAGGATGTCTGGGAATAAAATTCTGTTCTTGATCTCTTTTTGGGCTATTCAAAGAGGCTCTGCGGGTGCTGCTTGTCAAAACAGCATAGCCGTCTTGGCGTCGTCTTGTGGCCCCTGCGTCGGTCATTTTGAGGTCTGAACTCTCTGCTTCCTGCACGCCCAGGACATATACATTATACGGAGCACTATACGTACTGCAGATGGCACGTATGGTATGGAAATCCTTGGACTTAGGTCGAGATAACCTGCAGAAGTGGCGCTTATTTAACACTATCATACTAATGTACTATGAAATCGAGAGGGGTCGGGCCGAGGGAACTTCCTTCGCAGAAACTTTTGCTTCAGAACGGCTGAGGAATTTTCCTAGTATGCCTAATCTTCGAGTGCCTTGGAATTGAGAACGCCAGCCGCAAGCCTGCCGAATCAAGAGTGTGTGGTGGCTTTGAAGCAAGGAGCAATGCGCTACCCCAGTCCTGAAGATATCCAACCATGCTTCGAATGGTCATACCACCTCCATTTGGGCGTTTCTAGCGGCTCGGCCCCCATTCGAAATCCCTAGGGTGTACACGAATCGGACACCATTTCAAGGTGCAGGAGCTGAGGAAACTTTTCGATGTTTTGGAGAAAACCACCGACCCTCTACCGGCAGATTGCTGAACGCGAAGTATCTCGAGTGTGGCCTCGAAAAACCATGTTCATGGTTGGCTCGAGAGCTTGTTAGTAGTCTTCTCGGACCTTGATTTCTCTTGTGGGGTGCGTGGCTGGTCTAGGAACACGAGGGAACATTCTCGGCACGTAGGGTTGATCAACGGGATAAGATTGTGGTAGTGGCTTTCAGTCTCAACTGGTGACTCACGATCCTGCAACCTTGAAAGGCTCCTTAAACCAGTAGAATCTGCAGACCTGATGTGCGTTAGTTCGGTGACAAGAAAACGATTATCGAAGTCAAGCCTTGTGGCCTGGTGCTTCTTGCTTTGGTGCCGAAGCATTGTTGATTCTCTCAGGCCCAGGGTGCGACAAAGCCCTATCTACCGAACCCCTATCTGCCTTACTCCGTAGAGTACCTGCCACTTCACTGCAACACATCTGCCAGATAATTTACATCACAAAGAGATAATCCAGATTATAGAGTAATTGCCGATACCTCTACAGCTCGCCCTTCAACATCGTCCGCAATATGAGGACAACACCAGCTTCAAAGAGGCTTCCTAAAGGAACCATATCAAAGGAGCCATTATAATTATTCTAGACTTGACGACCACGAGACTTTAAAGTAACTATACACCACGGTCTATCAGACCTCGTCTTTTTGGACATCTGAGCGCAATATAGCATAATCTGCAGGACTGCCGTCCATCAGTCGATAGCCTGTTAGCTCAGTATACTTTGATTCACCTTGCCAAGGAAATCGAACAATATTCCAGCCATCACCATCCCAACGAGCACCGGACATCGTCAATAGCAATGGCAGAGCATACGACTAGACTGTCTGTATTCTGTGGACCTGTCAACCACCAATTTCGAGCTTGGAATTGGTCAAAGTGGTACTCTGGATCGGCCAGCGGTGGACGATTCGAGTTATCAAAAACAAACTGATCTGCTTGAAGCACCTGCATCATGTACGCCCGGCATGAGGCTGAATCAAGACCTGCAATGGCTTTTCCTTCCGGCTTCCGGTCCATTCATACCCCTTGAGCTTCCATCAACTTCTTCCACACCACCTTTTGCGGTTGTGTAACCCCCACGTCTCTGCAAGCTTCCCCGGGGTTATGAAGATAGAGATCAGAGAATGTGTTGGGCTCACCCGCTCTGGCATCGAACAATTGGCATACACGAGATCCACGCTTCTAAAGCGATGAAGGTAGTGTGACAGAGCAGAGCCCAGAACGCTCTTAGCAGGCTGCAGCTTGCTCGTTGCGGATGCATAAGAAGAGGACAATAATGGGTCTGGAACATCTGCCGGCTGGAAGAGGGCCTGGCCGTTCAACGATAGAGTCTCCCAGGCCAACAGTTCTCTATTCTCGATTTCCGTGGCACGCTGAGACAGCGACTCAAGTTGAGACACTTGGATGTTGGGTCGCGGAGCGAACATCCGCACCTGCCATCAACATTGCGAGAATTTTCGCGCTCCGAAAGGATCTAGATCTCGCCCGGGGCGTTTGCATGCTGAGCTTATGCTCCTGCAAGTGCTAACCGTTGAGGATTCATGGAACCTCCTCGACTTGTTGTGGCCTTCCTCTCAAAAGACGGTAGGTGTGGTTTTCTGGCATTCACAATCCACTACCGCCAAAGACGTGTACGATCAAATCAAGCCTTGGTCGATGGCTGTATTTTAACTGCCAATGAAGGTTTGCTAGTACTTTCTCTCATTCATAGTCAAGATGCTTAATAAGTTACAAACTATACAGAACTAAGATCTATATTGACACACGAGAGATTTTAGCTGTCAAAGAATGACTATCTGCATCTACCATCACTATTTAATTCAACCAAGTACACTCATCTACGGCTCTGTAGATCCAACGTATAAACTGGTTGTGCGGTTACTAGGGATTTATTGGGCAGGGACATTTTGGATTTGATAGATAGGCAAGTCATATCCATCTCTCTTTGTCTAGGGCCTGCGTTTTTAATACATTGTAACAAGTGGCACCAGGCATACTTCAATACTCAAAACTCATCGCCCGAATATGACCGTAGGAATACCTCCGAATTCTCTATTGCTCCAGTCCGAATTTCTATCATCGAGCTTGACGCTTAAACAAGCCCAACCAACCTATACACAACTTCACACCGTTACCAATGCTCTTTAGCTTCGACCTCAACCCTCTCGGCGACCCTACCAATCAAGCCACATTCATTGCCTCATGGAAGAGGGGAGATTAAGAGACTTCTGGCACTAAAGACTTCTTATGCCGTACGAAGAGTCGAGAGATGCAACGAAGACACGCGAACGATGAAGATTACCTTACCATTGTCAAGAGTATGGCATAAACTCTATTCTGACCACAAAAAGGACTCTGCAGGACCTTGACAGTATCGGCATGGCTTGAATATTGCTCATACTGGAGCCTATGATGCTAAAGCTTAGACCAAAGGATGACGTTCAGGAAGTTCGGCATTTCGCAGTAGCTGGAAGTTTATAATCCTTCAATCCTGCTAAAGGGTAAGCTGCTCGATCCTCTTAGCCTCCGGCTTACTTTACTCAACTTGGATCAAGACTCTTCTTCACAACTTTTAACACCAGCGAAGTATTCAATGCACATATGAGACGCTCAAGTGATCAACTAAGTACCGCTACTCATGATTGGAAGAAGCTAACAACCTCCTCAACCTTTAGACTCCCAAGCCGTCACAATTGTTTACTCGAATTGACCACGGCTTTCTAACCTGCCGTGAAATGAGACAATCCTTCATCTAAGTAACGAGCCGCTGAACTGCCTGTGCTTCGACCAACACCGAAATCGAAAACTTTTAATCGATATATCCGACGAGCCTCGCAACCATGTACGTTCGAAAGAGGACAGGTTAGGGAAAACGTCAAACCCAATGTGCATTAGATGGATATTTTATCCTGAGGTGCCGAATCCATTCGCCACGAACTTGAATCCTGCATTGCTGGGTAGATCTTTGGCGGAATTACACACTCTTGCCAAAATTTACTTTGAAATCGTTTGGCATTTCCCGCAGGACTCAACCAGTTTGGGAAGCAAACTAAAATTGGGTTGCCTTGGATACGAAAGTAACCAAGGTTAGACCAACGCTCGAAGCAAGTCCCAACTTCCTAAGACTCGAGGCATGGGAAATGGGAAGAATCTCATACTGATAAGATGCTATCCACTTTCACACTCTTATTTGAGGTTCTCCATCAACTCGGGCTTGTAACAATGTATGCCATGCTGTTTATTTGGAGACAGGCAAGCTCATATCTCACTATCCAAGTAATCAACTCAAAGGAGTATTCCTAGTGCCAATCTTAGAGATGTCCCTATTGGGTCTGGTCTCATGGCCAAAGAATTTTCGGCTGCCATTGAACGTATGTTATTTGATACTTGCTTTCCTATCTCTCGATGTTTTCCATGTTTTCAACTGGGATGTTCTTTATGGAAGTTATATGTCAATTATAAACATAGTCGGCTATAACGTTACTCATTTATGCAACATGGGTAAGCACGACTGTAGAAACCCACGACATTTTTGAATTGAATCCTAGGCGAAGAATAATTTACGCAACGATCGCTTGTCTAATCCCCGCGAGCTAAGTCTGTATTTGCGTCTATAATGGTACCTTGATCCAGACAAAGCTGTCTGGGATGCAGAGCTCACTTACATATCCGATACAGTCATCACGAGAGGTTTCAACGTCAGTGGGCGCCAATCATACCAGGCAAAGATTACCATGAGAGAATTTGTTCAAGTTAAGCTATCGAATCGGACACACATGTGCAAGAACTAATGTGCATGCGATGTAGAAGCGGGCGTAGATTGTGGTGGAAAGAATGATCAAGATAAGCAACACAGCTGGATGAAGTGGGATGGTGATGTTTTCACCGAAATGTCGTTATTATTGGTGGATGAATGTTCTTTCTCGCTCGTATGGGTTCATCGGGAGGCAAAAGTACTTCGGGAAGCAGACAGAAAAGAAAAGTATTTCATATTACAGCTAATATTACATGGTGATAACGCACCTACGGGTCTAGAGACCACAAGACACTTGGATATGCAGGAACTTCATGGCTCAAGGAGAAACAAAGTCCACGACGAGTCTCGAGAAACGTACGTTTGTTTCTGTCGATGTGCCGCTTGACGATATAGAGTCATGAGATACCGTAAATGTTAGAATATACGAAAACATTGTTCTAGAGTCTATGGGACAATATGGACCGCTTGGGTCCCAAGTGTGAACCAAGATCCCAAGAATACAGTGGTATAAGAACAAGGTGATTCCTTTTTACCCGGAAGGATTCGCTTTTCCTACTTATATTGTCGCGCAAGTCTTGGGACAATGTACTCTTATATCCCAGAATGCATGGTATGTTGTCCATACAAAAAGCAAAGAATGATCGATCCTTCATCGGATGTTGATTGTGTTCTCGGCTCAGCCTCAGCCTTGCACTGAAACCCTGATGAAGTGGGACGCGCTAGCCCGCCTCCCGACCCACCAAGGGCTGGGCTTCCGGCCATGGAGCAGACAGACAGACATGCACGAGACGAGGAGCAAGTGAAGTGAAGCTTGACTGACACATCCCATCGAGAGCCTCACATTCACGCACTCAAACACAGGCACCGACAGTCATCTTGCTCTGGTCCGCCACCTCTCGTTATGCTTCTGCGATAGCAAAACAACCCCACTATTGGCGAACTGAACCATGGAGGAATTCGAGTACACACTCGAGAATAGCCAGCAGTTCTGGGATGGTATTTGCGCCACCTGCTCCGGTCATAGGAACATATACTAATGACGCTCCTGATCTACAGAGCTCGAAGACATTGTATCTGCGAATTGTCCCTCACATCAATTGATCGATAATGCCCTGCGATCATACCTCTACTTCACTACGAGATTCAAGGACGAGTACCTTGCTTCTGACTATGACTTTGCGCAGTGTTTGCGAAAGCTCTTTCAGAGTTCGCTGTTCGACAAGAACAAGGAGTATGTGAGGACTCAGATTGTGTACAGTCTACTGCAAGAGGACGAGCCCGCATCTCTCCACGTCATCGCAAGCTTCCTCCTCTTCGACGGCAGGCAGAACGAGGCTACATTTGAAATGATGAACAATGAAGGCTGCTTCCCAAGGCTGGTGGACTTGATCAAGAAAGGAAAGAGAGACGATGCCAGACTGCATCGAATGCTATTAGAACTACTTTACGAGATGTCCAGAGTTCAGAAAATCAGTTCTGAAGACCTCGGCGTTGTGGATGACGACTTCTGCCAATATCTGTTCCAGATTATTGAAGAGTTGTCCGACGATGTAGATGATCCATATCATTATCCGGTTATCAGGGTCCTGGTATGCCTCATTCAGTATGCGACTGCTGAACTCCACTGACTTGCTTCATAGCTAGTGTTGAACGAACAATGGATGGTAGCGTCCACGAGATCTCCAGTCGAATCACATCCTCCTTCCACACCATTAACGAACCGGGTGATCAAGCTATTATCACTTCATGGCTCGTCCTGTATGACATTCGGGGAGAACATTATCCTCCTTCTGAACCGCGAGACAGAAACCTCCCTACAACTCCTCATTCTGAAGCTCCTTTACCTTCTCTTTACCACCAAAGCAACCTATGAATATTTCTATACAAACGACCTGCACGTCCTCTTGGATGTGATCATTCGCAACCTACTCGACCTCCCTAATGAACTGATCTCCTTGCGACACACATACCTTCGAGTCCTATACCCACTATTAGCACACACCCAGCTCAACCAGCCACCACACTATAAGCAAGATGAGATAATTAAGGTGTTGAGTATCCTCGGTGGATCAGCAAATACCCACTGGGAGCCCGCGGATGAGACCACTGTTCGTCTCGTTGAGCGTGTTGCCAAAGTCCCATGGCTCCGCGACGAAGACGTTAGTGAAGGCGAAGTCGCAAGGAAGCTCTTGGGTATCTCGCTATCTCCCACACAGACCGCGAGCATGGTCAGCGTAGTCGATGTTGCGGCCGTGATGGAGAAGCCTGGTGTCAAAACACCGAGCAGGAAAACCGAATTCGAAGAAGAAATTCATAATTTCGATGGTGCAGCAGACAGGAAAGAGAGTCATGAATTAGAGGTTCATATGCCTGTGAAGAAGAAGCCGCCTCCGCCAGCGAGAAGGACAAAGCATGCTCCACCTCCTATCCCGCCAGTGCTGCAGGTCAATGGAGGGAAGATCCCACCGAAAGCCCCGCCGAGGAGGCGGACGAGATTGAAACCCATGGCTTCTACTGGGGATTTAGAGAGCAAGGCTCGAGAGAGTTGATACTTCTTTCTTGCTTGATTTGTTATTGTGGTCTGCATTTGCGAGAGCGATGGCGTTGCAAGGGCTAGGATTGGGAAATTGATGCTTTTGCATGGAATCGGCGTTGTGGGATAGTATCACAAACATGCCAACTAAAGTAATCAGACAAAGATAATTCGTTCACGCTCAATTGCCCCACCCATTATATATTGATTTATGTTGCGTGCGAGAGCCCTGGGCAGCGAGCCTGCAGAGTAGTGAAAGTTCACTTCAGTGCCTCAATGTGACTTACGATTCAAGGCTGGTTTAATCTGCTCCAGCGGACACGGGGTACTTCTTAGAGCAACCTCGTCTAGCGAGTACCCATGTCTATCTCGCTTACATCCCCCTTTTCAGGCCTGCATCTCTTGTGGGCGATTACGTACAGCAGTGAAAACATTAGCGGCATGTTGCGAGAACTCTTCTGCCAATAGACTTGAGCAAATAACGCCTATGGACAGTTTGTGGTGTATGCACAAAAGACAATCGAAAGGGTTTGTAGTTGACTGATGCCAATGGCTGTGACAGCTGTTTACCGATGGCTATAGGTCGTGACTGCAACCTCGCCAACGTCAGTGCTCGGTGACAAAGAAGAAAGGGGAAGTCTCGTAACTTGTCAGAGGGCTTGTACTAAGTCAACAAGTGACAAGTCGGCAAAGGCAGGAGGACTTGAAAGACTGAATCGCTTACGTCGAGACCAGATACTCATTGCGATAAAATTCCTACGGAGTTTTAAATCCTCTGGAGTTTGACAGAGCTATTGACTCGTATGGAAGAACGAATTGCTGGCCTCCAATATCTCTCAACACTCTTTTCGTCTTGGACGTTGAGTTCTACATGGGGTATTATTTGGCATAGGCAAGAAATGCAAGGAACTACAGTAACACGTCTTTGACTTAAGAAATGTAATTCATCATTTCTATGTGCGGAAGACCCCAACCCTTTCACTCAAATCCACCCTCGTTCCTTCCCAAGCTTCCCCCTTCCAAGCCACCAAACTTGAAGAAGATCCCCCTTGATACTTTTACATATACATACATGAATGAAGCTCGCTGCAAATTTAGACTGGCATACTAGGCCCCAAGGTATCTCTTCGTACGACATCTTTCGGATACTCCCCTGGCACGTGCAATTGGCTGATAGTCTTAACACTGGTATGGCTCTGCCCAGCAGGCAAGAAAGGCCTCGAGTCCTGAGTCAATGGTTGAAGAGCAGTCTCGATTGGATTGGTTCCATTCTCGACGAGATCTCCCTGACTACGGCCACCAGACATGACATGAGCATCCAAGTGGTTCGTGGGTAGGACATCGGGAGAAGCAATGATGGCCGCTTCGGCGGCAGCTTGTTGTGCGTATTGATCTTGAGCCGCATCAGGTGATGACATGGTGGCAGCTTCCCGAGCAGCCTGCTCAGCATATTGATGTTTCATGGTATCAGGTGCAGCCACTGTAGCAGCCTCGCGTGCTGCCTGCTCTTCCTGCTGTTGGCGATAGTTTGCATCTTGGTCTTCTTCATAATGGTGATAAGCCGCAGTACCAGCTGCTCCCAAAGCAGCCCCTCCTAACCCGGCTGCTGCCAGGCCTCCAGCTGCCTCTCCGTTTGTGGTATGATCATGGTGATGAATAGGTTGGCTAGTGTAGGGGTTGATCCCATCCTTTTCTGCTTGCTGGTTGACTAGAGCAGCATGAGTAGGAGATGATGGATCTGCATAGTTATTGCCAACACCGGAGCCTGGGAGAGCACTTGCAGCCGCTACATTTCGATCTTGGACATCGCCGAAACCGGAGCTTCCACTAGATGGCGAAAGAGGAGCCTGTAAGCCACGGGTAGACAACGAATCGACAGCGATGTCGGAGGGGAATCGCCCACCTGGTTGGGGACGTCTCGGCAACACGTCTTGCTTCGGTCCCGGATTCACAATGCCTGAGTTCGCACCGGAAAATGGCTCATCGTCTTCTTCGTCTACGATACCGTCGCTACTGATAGACCCGGCTCTCTGCGAATTTCCACTCACACTACGGGCATGCTGGCGAACGAACGCGGTGCGTTCTTGAGGAGAGGTTTCTGTTAGAGTCTTGATGTCCTCGTACTAATAGAAGTCAGCGGCCGAAACCTCACATATGGGATTCGAAAGTGCAAACAAAGCTGTTCTTGGGTCTATATGTTATATAGCTTGCCGCCCAGCTTCGTCACTTGTCAGAACAATGTAGTTCACGTGATGTCTCGCTTGAGATATACCCCCTTGGCTGGAAATCCGCGTTCACTGAGAAAGGATTCGTTAGTACACTGAATGAGAATATTGCTTACCCATGCCAACATGGTCTCATAACTTTCAGCTCTGAAGACCCATGAATGCCCACGGTGCATAGTCCCAGTTTGGCGTCCCTTGAGCATGAACTTGTTCGAAGAAGCACCTCCAGTAGAGTGAGAGCCCAACTTTTGCTCGGGAAGGTACAGTGACATAATAGGAGCTTGATTCTTGTCTGCAGACTTGAATTCGTGCAGGTGAGTAGGCGACAGTACATACCTAAGAAAAATTAGTTTCATATCACAAGACCCCACCGTCCGTATTGCAGCAAAGAGAATGAAGGGAATAAGGCTAGAATGTAGGGAACGTTGAACATACCATCCTGCTGTATAGCTTTTGAGGTACTTCGACTTCCTCTCCAGAAGGCCTGCTCGGACTTCCTGGGCCAACTCGTTGTTCTTGCCAGGATAGTGAATGAAGTCTGCCTCCCTGACTGGAAGCTCCGGATCGACAAAATGCTCGTCATTCTTGATGAAGTTAAACCATTCATGATCCTTTGGCATGGCGATTGGACCTGTGCGTAATTCCTCGACGGTGTTGTAGGCCGCATCCGCCTCGCGCTTCAAAATGCCAGCGAATGCATTGTACGATTTCTGGATTTCTCCAACGACAATGGCCTCGAGTTCTCGTCCAGATGCTTCAAGATTGAGGTAAGCCTAGCACAGTGTTAGAAATAGCACTAAAAGTTTGAGCTAGAAATATCCTCACCTGATGAAGGTAATTCTCCTCATCAATCTGCTTCTCGACCTGGCGGTCTACCGCAAGCTTAAGTAGGTAGGGGTCTTTTCTGCCAGTGTTCTGGGCAGGATCGATATCAGATTGCCCCAGTCCGTCTTGCAAATCATTCACAGCACGGCGTGTAGCTTCCATCTCCTTGTCCACGGAGTTCTTGAAATCACCAGAGAGATTCTTGATTTCTTTAATCTTCTGCTGAAGATCTTGTCGAAGCCCACCAAGAGCTGCAATGACATCGTTCTCAATCTCACGAGATTTGTTTGCCTCTGCGATTGAGGACTTATGGAAAGTACGAAGTACTTGGGCTGCATCATCGATGCCACCGGACTCAAGAAAACCGGCTGGTGCGCTGGTATTATTGATGATATTTGCAACTTTGAGTAGACTCTTCCCTCTGTGCTCGTAGCTTGCCTGTATTTCTCGAAAGTATGTAATGAGGTCTTTGAGGATTTTGCGCCAAGCTACATTCCGAATGTACGTCAGTGGAGGATCACCGAAGATAGGGATCGTAGGTGCATACCTTGAAATCTGTTTGCTAGAATTTCTGTCGGATTACCTGTTGTAGGTACTGGTGAGAAGAAGGCACTGTGCATCTCGTCGACATCTTGTCCTGGCTGCAGGGCTAGACTGCGTACGCTGCCAGCTCTCGAGCTTCGACGACTGGAGCTTCTCTTCAAGGAACCTGTCCTTCGCATGGATGCCTTCTTCTTTAGAGTTCCTCCCCGCGAAGGAATCAGGGTATCGCCTTGCGACATGACCGAATTAGATCGCTGCATATTATTGCCGTCGATTATCGAGCTTCCACGTTGGCTCGCATCCCATTCCTCATTAAATTTACCAAAGTTTTGCTGAGCAGCTGACTGCGACAGAGGTGAGAATTCCTGTGGGTTGCCAGGAGTTGCTCCGAAGTCTGTTGCAACACTGTTCGAAACTAGATTTGATCGAGATGCGGTGGTAGGGCCGTATCCTTTGTCGAGATGTGCTTGGGACGGAGGAGGAACAGCAGTGTTTGGGTTGAGAGCGGTCATGGTGAAGGATGCTCTGACGTAGTACTACCCTTGAGTCAAGGTGCCGGTCGAACTAAGGGGATTCATGCGTTAGAGAGAAGACTTAGACAGGAACAAGAACAGTAACAGAGCGCTCATCTCGTGCTGGCAGCAGCAGCAACAGGAGCACTCTAGCAGCACAGGACTATCACTCTCATAACCCAATTGGAAGCAGAGAAACTCACCTCAACAGGACTGTGGAGCTCCGGCCGATTGGCGCAGCTTCGAGATTAGGTTGACGATCCCAGACTGTTGGTCGTCGTTGGACCGAGTGCCAAGAAGTGGATGGTAATAGCAGTTCAGTTAATGCAGAGTAGATGGGTATCGGTATGTGAAGAGTATGTGTGAAAACGAAGTCTGCGACGTCAAGATAAGTAGAGGAAAGAAAGTCTTGTTCGTCGATCGCAGAGTTGTGTTGACTGTTGGAATCATTGGCGGAGTTGTGCAACTGCGTCATCGAAGCCACTTCGGCAAATTGTGCGCTACCGTATTTCACGTTCAACAATCCAGCCAGAGATCAAGTTTTGACGACGCCTAATCACTCTGCATGCCACTATCACTTACGCTTTCAACTATCGGTCGCTGAAAATACCGGAATACCTTCACATGCTGCATCCCCAGAGACAAATATCTCTTGGTCTCTCAAACGTCCGGATATTCTGGGGATTTCCCATCTGGTGTGCTGCTGTCCAAGAATTGGGAGAACAAACAACAGCTGAGGATTTGCACAAGATCGTCCCATGTCAGGAATCATCATACCCACCATTTCCCTCACCCAGGCCTCATATGATGGTTGATCCGCACATCCGTTCTCCTCTTGGCTGCTGCTGAGGTGCATCTTCATTTCACTTCTCTTGCTGCGGTGGTTCCGAGGGTCTAAAGACAGACTACGTCTTGATGCCGGTTAGCATCTTGCACCAACCCCACAGTCGGAGTTCTTGGCAGAGCCTGAGAACCAAATCGGATAGCGGATGGTTCATTACATCAGCTCAATCAGGGCTATTCCGCTGATCTCCCGGATTTGGATGCTTTCTATTTTCAAGCCACAAAGCATCTCCCATGTGATTACTGATCTGCTACTGTACACTCTCGCTTTGTGCTGTAGACAGGCTGGTATTCTTCTTTGTCTTCATTTATGTCTTAGCTATTGGTAGAGTCAACCAATATGGACGATTTTTCTCTTCTTCTCCCCATACAAGTCTGGTGTCTCAACTTTTGAATTTGGAAGTCCTACAGATCCCATACAAGATTGTAAGACGTGATTAGCTCTTTAGCACTCCGCCGTTCCCTCACCTCAAGCTTTCGACTGTGTCTCGACCTTCGCTTCTCCTGGGAATGGGTTATCCGATCTTCGCTCGTCACGCAATGCCTTCAACTTGGTGATAGCCTCCGTGAGTGGCACCGGCTTGCCTCGATCTTGACTGGAAGTATCGTCACGATTTCGGACGTTGACTTCTCTGCCTTTCATCTCTTGATCTCCAACCACTGTTCCGTGTTATTAATACGATGAATCATGAGGTTAATGAGCGTGTTTGCTTACCAAAAATAAAGTTGTATTGTGCCAACTGACCCGTGCGAATCTTCTTTTGCAGGGTGTTTGGGCCAACATCGACATCAATGTACATATGCTCTGCCTTGAAGATGCTCTGAACTTCCTTGGCGTAATCATAGAAACCGACACCGACGGGGATAACAAGGATTTGTCGAGGGCTCAGCCAGAAGGGCCACTTTCCAGCAAAGTGCTCAGTCAAGATGGCCGTGAACCGCTCGATACTGCCTGCAATGGCTCGGTGAATCATGACGGGTCGTGCGCAGCCAGGAGTGAGAGGCTTGATGACTCTCTCTTTCTTTGCATTGGGATCGATAGGCTCGGCCTTCTTTTTTCCATCTTCGGCCTTTCTCTTCGCCTCTTCTGCCTTCTTCTTCGCCTCTTCCTCTTTGGCTTTTGCCGCTTCCTCACTCTCCTTAGGGGGTTGCTCAGATGTCATATACTCAAGACCAAAGTTCTGGGGAAGCTGGAAATCGAGTTGGATTGTGGCACATTGCCAGTCTCGCTTCAAGCAATCGGAGATGGTGATATCAATCTTTGGGCCGTAGAAAGCACCATCACCCTCGTTGAGCTCCCAACCTCCAGGAATAAACTCATCCAGTGCGGCACTTAGCTTGGCCTCGGCCATATCCCATGTCTCCTTCGCACCCATGAACTTCTCTGGTCTCGTAGAGAGCTTCATCTTGAATGTAAACCCGAGCAAGCCGTACACTGTGTTGAGAAAGTCGAACAAATCTGTAATCTCATCCTTAATTTGATCCTCACGAACGAAGATATGAGCATCATCTTGCTGGAATCTTCGTACACGGGTCAATCCTGAAAGAGCCCCAGAAGCTTCATTCCGATGCAGAACACCAAAATCAGCAACTCTCCATGGCAATTCCCTGTGACTTCTCTCACGATGAGCGAACATGAGACAATGGCCCGGGCAATTCATTGGCTTCAATGCGAAAGTATCCTTCTCAACACCAAAGGTGAACATATCATCCTTGTAATAGTCCCAGTGACCGGAGGTCTTCCATAGCTCTGCGTTGTACATATTGGGTGAGATAACCTCGCTATATCCACGCTTCCAATACTCTTCCCGTAGGAATGCCTGGATGGTATTGTAGATTCGGGTACCATGGGGAAGCCACATAGCGGATCCTGGCGAAAGGTCATGGAAGAAGAAAAGTTCTTGGTCTCGGCCAATCTTTCTATGATCTCGCTTCGCAGCCTCCTCCAAGAACTTCTTGTGCTCGGCCATTTGCTTCTTGTCTGGGAAAGAGACACCATAGATGCGCTGAAGAGAGTCATTGTCCTTGTTTCCCAGGAAGTAAGACGCAGAGTTCTTCATGATAGCAAAGGTCTCAATTCTGCCAGTGTTTGGTACGTGTGGACCACGGCACAAATCAATGAGAGGACCGTTTCGGTAGACCGTAGTAGACGTGCCATCGGGAATCTTGTCCTTGATGATGTGCTGCTTGTACTTGTTGTACGAGAACATCTCCAAGAGGTCCTCCTTCGACAAGACCAGTCGCTCGAAAGGTTGCTTTTCCTTGACGATCTTCGAGACCAAAGTTTCCAGAGGTTGCCAATCCGCTTGCTGAACAGGTGCACCGTCTGGCAGCGCCATCTCGTAGTAGAAACCATTCTCAATTGGTGGTCCTATGCAGAGACTGCATCCGAATCTTCTCTCGGAAGCTTCACCAAGTATGTGCGCACTCGAGTGCCAGAACACCTTCTTCCCCTCCTCATCGTCGAACGAAAGTAGTTCCAGCTTGCAGCTTGCCTCCAAAGGTCGCTCCAAATCCCAGAGTTGTTCGTTGTCACCATTGAGTCTCGCAACGACCGTACGTTTGAGCAGACTGTTGGAGATACCCTTTGCAATTTCTGCAGGTGTGGTCTCCCACGATGTACCTGACTTAATGCTGCCATCTGCGAGGGTAATGGTGATCTGTTCACGAGGTTTGGCAGCTATTTCGGCATCGAATTTCACCTTCAGCTTCTGGAATAATTTCAGACGTTCTTCCAAGAATTGTGGAGCCGGGTTCATCTCCAGAGGCTTGTCCATATATCAATTCTGTGGTCTCAGATTTGGAAAGTGCCTTAACTCACAGTATTATCTGCCCCACCATCCCCTCCTTTTTCCTTCTTTGCTTTTGGTTTCTTTTCGTCCGTGGTCAATTTCTTCACGCCATCGGCGACAACATCTACTGCCTGTTTGGCCTTATCCATGATTGCGTTGTTGTTGTGCCCTCTGTCAGAGTGAGCACGAGTCCGTGTGTTGAAACAAATCAATTCAGTCAGTTCTGAGTCAAAACGGTGAGTCTTTGGCGGGGTGTGTTTTGATAACGCGCTAATCTAAAGTAGGAATAGCCCCGACCGAGCTCACGAACTCACTTAATTCTTTTTCAGTCTCGCGAAAACTCCACTAAAAATTTACAGCAGCACACAACAATGTCATTCCGAGGAGCACCAAGAGGTCGCGGCACAGGCGCAAACTTTGGAGGCGGTGGAGGTCGAGGAGGCGGTGGTTTCGGTGGTCGTGGAGGTCAGTAATTGTCAGAATTGCTCGTGGTGCAGCACAAATACTGATTGATTTTGTAGGCCGTGGTGGTTTCCAGCAACGAGATAATGGCCCGCCTTCAGATGTCTTTGGTAAGGAATCTAAAGCGCGAAACAAATCATCTTAAATGCTAATTTTGTCGATAGAAATGGGCACGTTCATGCACGCATGCGAGGGAGAAATCATCTGCGAATCCATCAACTCCAAAATCCCATATTTCAATGCCCCAATATATCTCCAGAACAAGACCGCAATCGGAAAGGTCGACGAGATTCTCGGTCCAATCAACCAAGTGTTCTTCAGCGTGAAGCCATCCGAAGGAATCCAGGCAGGTTCTTTCAAATCCGGCGACAAATTCTACATTGGCGGCGACAAACTTCTTCCATTAGAGAAATTCTTGCCTAAACCGAAGCCTCCACCAGGAGCGCCAAAGCCAAAGCGAGCTGGCGGTGTACGAGGTGGAAAAGGAGGTCCAATGCGGGGTGGAAGAGGTGGTGCCAGAGGCGCGCCGCGAGGGAGAGGAGGCTTCAGTGCCGGTGGTAGAGGCGGACGTGGTGGCGGTGGTTTCTCCAGAGGAGGCAGTGGTGGCTTCACACCAAGAGGAAGAGGCGGAGCTAGAGGCGGCTTCTCGCGAGGCCGTGGTTAGATTCTTCTTATTCTTGTTTGTGTAGATATCTCGGCGTTCTTTGGGTGGGGGGTTTGAAGTAGTCAGGTTGCTACTGGAATAAAACGGCCAAGGAGCTTCTTGTATCGAGCTTCTCTGTTTTTTCAATCTTTTGGTTACTTTGCATTTCAAATTGACATGTTTCGAAGCTGGTGGGCGGATGCACATAGACTGAGTGAGAGGCATTTTAGTGGCAATAGTTCACTATGAACTATTGTCGTGATTGACCAATATCCCACCTTGATCGCAATCCTTCCAACTTTTCACTGTTTTACCTTACCTGGTAGGGAACATATATAGTTGCAACCGTGCTTGGTGTTGGTCATTGGGTAGGGATGGTATTCAGCTGCTAGACTCGAATGCTTATGGATTTTGTTAGAATCTTAGAATCCCCTCATAGGCACTCATTGTAGTTCAGATTGTCGGGTAGGTTTTCAACTGGATATAGCAACCACTTGACCATGGCTTAAACATGAGAAATACGGTAGCTCACTTGCAATGCAACGCTTCCGTGACGCATGAATACCTAGGTAGTGAATTGCTTTTATTCAGGCCGTGCCCAAAACTCGTTTACTGAGAGGTATCATAATTGCACAAAACATCCTATATCATACTTTTTCTCGCTCAAGCTCATGCTCTGTTTCCTATTGGCATGCTTCACTCTCTCAACTCCAACACTCTCTGTTTCCTGTTCTAAGACGACCGGTCTATGGCTTCGGGACATGTAAAGTCTTGCTCGTCATCAGACAGCCACTCAGGATGAACAAGCCAACGACAGGATGGAACTCGAATACAGTGCCCGTAGCCCAAGTTCCCATTGGTAGGTCATCCAGGATCCATCCTTGACCAACCCAATATGCCATCAGGGCAGCAATCGATAATGAAGTTGGAATTGGAGTACCTTCAAAGTACTTGCTCTTTCCGGTGTCGTCTTTTGGGACATTAGCAACTGTGATATTAAAGCGAGCAAGGCGAGTCAAGCCGCAAAGGACGAAAAATGTGAGGAAGACGTGATCCATGGGTGTGCGAAGACCAATCGCGAATGCCGCCGCTGCTGGAGAAAGTCCAAAGGAGACCTGGGAGCACATATCAGCTATATTCTCAAAGTGCTACGTGAAGATGTTGACATACCAAGTCTGCCAAGGAATCAAGTTCCTGTCCCATCAAACTGCTCTTCTTCCTCCATCTCGCGACCTTTCCATCCATAAAGTCGAAGAATAAACCAAATGGCATGAAAGCCAACGCATACCAGAGGTTCGCATGTGCGGAAGGTGGACCAAGGCAGTACCGCATCGAGGAGAAGATAGACATGACTCCACAGAAACCTGCAAGTCTCCGTTAATCCAAGTACAACACCGTACGAGGCAAGAGAGGTAATACCATTCAGTTCGGTGATGAGATCGGCGAGATGAAGCATCTTAATCATCGTAAAGTGACTGTTATCCTCCGAGAGAAGCTTCTTTTGTTTGTCCATAGCTATACACCATCAGCGACATCGACAAGTGTTGGAAAATTGAGTTGTACCAGGCTCACCGACCTTCGTCGAGCCATTTGTGGCACTGGTGCTGATTCTTTTCGACATGCTGTTCGGAATACAAGTATTGTAGGTGACGAAGATAGGTTCGGCGGGTGGACAAAGTTGGAAAGTATCGTGAGGTCGGTCAAGAGGAGGGGCGTCAACATAGGTAAGTAGCAATTGCTTTTCACGAGCCTTGGTTTGGCCCATGACGTTTTTCGGTTCCGCACGGCCACAGCCACTAAGTTGTGGCTGTGCAACAGTGAAAGCTACACATGACAGGGGGACAAGCATAGGGTTTGACGGCGACATTAAGGGGTGAATTACTCGGAAATTTAACAATTCCTTCAATGAATCGAACGGGTAAATGCAACATGAAAACACGAAAAGCATCTCAAGAACTCATATCTACAGGGGTTTCATTTTTTTTCTGCACTAACTGCTCCAGATGGAGCGAGACTTTGGATGCCTATGTACTTCTTCTGGCTCCACGTCCCAATGCTGCGCATATTCGCAAGTAGCAAGAAATGCTGCTCGTGGCGTTATTTTGCTGGAAGAGGTGCAGATCCTCCCAATTATGCTAGCCCAACAGTACTTACAATTATACAATACTTGTAATTATTAACTCCAATCATTATGTCGTTCGAAGTCCAAAGCTGGTACTTCATCGAGTGATAAGAACACCAAACCCATCTACCCAAGCCGCGCTCGATCCAGTAACGCCAGCAAGACTATAGCCAATCGGTGGGATCAGATATGACCTGAAGCAATCGGTCAGTATCGATTACTCGGAAACAATCAAACAACTTACTCAGAGCCATTTGGTTGCCCGTAAAGAGGGGACTTCCTGCCCAAACTGGTGATGATAGCAATACCATCAATCCAATGACCACTCCTAACATAAAAACCACTGATAACCTCCCCTCGTCGGGTATCTATGAATTGTCAGTGCTGTTTCTCAAGTATCAAGCGATTTGCGGTCTCGTACCAAGGTTGAATTCGCTGCCACCCGGTGTTCCCCCCCTCTTTCCGAACAATTGTGTTGTAGAGTCCTCGTAGATAAATTCCATCCCATCGACGAAATTTCCGTGGTAAACACGAACCTGGGTGAGCAGCTTCGTCTTCTGAACGGTGCTATGGAAGACGATCTCCTCAGGCGTCGAACCATCCAGTTGCGAGAGACCGAGACTGCGACTTCGAAAAGCCAGCCGTCCATTTGAGAGCTTGACCTTGGAGGCTTTTGAGGCCAATGTGGCAAAATTGTCTATGTCAAGGCTGCCACCGAACTTTGATTTGATGCAAATCTTCTGGAACTTGGCCGTCTTTCGATTCTCGGGTACGCTGTTTTTTAGAATCGCTTCCGTCAAGATAATTTGCTTTGGGTGAGAACCGTAGTTTGGGCCCTCTACATATCCATACTCTTCCCAGTAGTGGCATTCGATGTCGCCTTCAAGGAAGACCTCATAAAACGCAACGCCAGACGCAGCAGTCACAATGACTTTTTCGTTTTCTACAGGCCAGACTTGGATCGAGTCGTCGCCCTGTCGAGGGGGATCGTTCGGAAGAGCAAAGCTAAGATGGCTTCTGAAGCGTAGAGTATCCAAACGGTGCCATGCACACTCATCTTCACGCAGCACGAGACCAGCTTTGAATTTGGTCCGAGTCGAGTACGGCTCATTGGTTATGAACGAACGACTGAAAGTCACATAATCGCGAAGCATGATTCCGCGCTCTTCATGAGGACAGCCAAACAAGTGTCCAAGCTCGTGCAAATGTGCGCCTATGCCGATATTCGCTGCCTCCCAACTACTTCCCGACTCGTTGCAGTCATTCGCGACATGATTGGTATCGGTTGGCGTGCAATCCGTGAATGCAGGGACAATCTCTTCGAAGCAAGAAGGATAGCTGTGGAGCGCGTGTGATCCGAAGAGAGCCACGTTGACGCCATGGGCAGAGCCAGTCACAGCGGCATGACCACGAATAAGATTTCGTTCCTTGTCCCAATGGGAGTCCAGCAATAATACAGCACACAATTGTGTCTGGTTTGGCAATGGCTGGAAATAGTTTTTCATAGCCTCAGCCGCAATCGTCAGTAGATCTCCAGTTTTTGTTCCATTCGGGTTTTGCTGCGCTCGTTCGATATCCTGAATCTCTTTGACCGTTTTGTCGCAACGAACAATGTGAACTTTTGCTTCGGAACGCATCGTCTTATTCTGCCGGTCTCGATAGTTCGAGGTCCCAGTCACCCATTCCTCTTCCATTCTGAAGGTTCTTCGTTGTAGCTTGTTGCGACTCATATTCTCTGCCTAGTCGATTGTCAGTGTGCCGATTTCGTACCTGACCAAGCTCTGTAAGACGTGGTCGAACAGTGAGGTCTCAATAGTGTCCTGAGGACAGGACTGAAAATCCACTTACTGTGAAGGCTTGCCAAAGATATCCCGTCATCCTGAACTTCTGAATAGCAACGTCAAGACCATTACCTTCCTTCTCTATGCGCCCTGGGGGAGCATCAAACGTAGCAGGGGAATCACTAGCAAGAAGGATGACCAATTGAACAGGCGGGCCACTCTGTGGTGGTATCATATGCAACGTAATGGTTGTAGAGTGTATCGGGTTCGACGTGCTGTTGTTGGACAGTTTCGGTGATGTGAAGTCAAAACGTAGTACGTTCTTGCCTGGCATAAGAGGGAGACAGGTCTTGAAGTGTGACCCGTGAACCTTGAATGTCAACGGAGGAAAGGCATCGTCGTATCTGGTTACGATGATATTGCCGTCTAGTGCCAGAGTCGATGGATCTCCAATGATTCCAGATATTAAGATTGTCTTTTGATAGACCTGAACTATGTTAGCGATTGGCCAATGACTGAGTTGTTACATGTCATTTTTGGACTCACCCATTGCTTATCATTGATGGATGTAATCCTAGGCGCATATGGCGAAGAAGGGAGAGAGGAGGGAGGCGATTGAGGCGATTGCATGCCCAGTCCAGACATGCCCGATACACTTTGTCTCTTGCTGCTTGAAGCTGTCGAGAGAGTTGGTCGTGTTGGAGGTGGAAGAGTGCCCAAGTTGTGCAGGTCGGAGCTCGAGGTGGAATTGGTGAGCAGAGGCGGGGTAGCTCCCCCACTGGCCGAATTGACAGTTGAAGAGGATTGTGTAGCTATTCCCGATCCATCAGTGCTCGAGTCGGTGCTTTGGTCACTATTTTTATTGAAGCTCGCCTTGGAGCGCCGGCGCAGCTTCTCCAAGATCGTGTGCGCCATGCTTCATCTGCTCCCGCCGTTAGATACTCAACCGACCAGCGGAGATTATTCAGAGACATGAATCACAGGAACTCACCAAGTCAGAAAAACGAATGTAGATAGGAAGCTCTCTGGACGAGGATGAGGATGGTACCTGACCGAGACCGAGCTCCCGCGAGTGTCAGTTATTTTAGGCGATGACGGCTTGCCCTGATTTGATTTCGATAAGAGAAAATATGGGAATGCGAGTTGGTTCAGGGATGCTACCAAGGCAGAGCGAGTGTGTTCTGAGTGCGAATGCGAGATCGAGGAGCAACTGGAGTTGCGCGCTCTCAGCAGCGTCCTCAATTGAAAAGGAAGAGCATGTATGAACGTGGAGATTGATGACTTGAACTCTCTCTCTCTTTTCCACCTCGTAGTCCGTGGTAAATTATTGGAGTGAGCGCTGTCGAGGCGTTCTGGTATCCCGGCAGTAAACCCTGCTGGGACAAGTCCACGACGCAAGTGGCCCGAAGTGGCTTCGTATTCGTGGGGCAGCAGCCTGTAGCAGCCAACCAGAGGACGCTCGTGTTTGGTTTCAGGTTATCAATGAGAGAATTCGGCGGTCGTTACAGTAGTGGGATTGTGTGTTCTGCAGGTGCAAATCGCATGTTAGATAGACGAACTCTGCAGCCAGTGCCAGCCACCACCACCACACCATGAGGATCTACAACACGTGCAGAAGTCGCAGAACCGTTCAAGAGTAACTTACCAACGATTGGCAACGATGGGGATCTCGAAGCAAAGCAACGAACACGCTGTAGTCGGGAGTGAGTCCAAGAATAGGTCAGTTGTGTAAGCGATCAAGATAGAACGTGATGACTTTCGTGTTGTGGACGTGTAAGGCGACGGACGAAGCTCAGCGCAAGAGAGAAAGACCAGAAGAAGAATATGCGAAATATACTTTAAGCTTGGTCTAGTCTGGTCCGGGGTGTGCTTTCTCCAAGTAGTGAGTGCAATGACAAAGCGAGCGAACCTTCAGTCTCATTACACCTTGTCAGAGATTGTCTTTTGGCAAACGGGACGGGGCCATATTCTATTCTGACTCCCTAGGTAGATATTCGAACTTCAACGGCTGCAGTGCGGGAGACAGCATGCGCACGAGCATGGTCGAACCGAAATCCCTTGTTACCTCCAGTCGGACTCTAGTGTTAGACTTCTATCATGCTTGCTTGCTTGCTTGCTTGCTTCCTTCCTCCCTCCCTTCCTTCCTTCCTCTCTCATCCCACATAACCTGATCGACGACGACGACGGGCCTGCGAATGCAGTTTCGCAGATATAGCCGTCGAACCTTATACAGTATAGATCTCCTCCACACTTGGCAAGATACAAATACCAGCAGATACTGGCTGTAAAATCATTGAGTAGTAGTACAAAGAATTAAGGTAGTAGTAGTAGACCAGGAGGTTCCAGTTATTCTCTCTCTCCATAATTATTAGTTGTTAGCATGGGCTGTGGTTCCTATAGAGATGACAGACGATTATATATAGTCTGCGGGTTTTATAGAGTAGATGTGACAGGAGTGCAGCAACTCCTTTTCAAATTATCTTCCGACTTTTGCCAGCCCAGCCCTACCTACCTTGTAAAACAGCTTGCAAACAGCTTGCGCACGGCCGCTGATGAACTGATAGAAGAGATCTTATATCACGATAGGTGACTGGTCATTGGCTGGCTGTTTGCTCCCCTGAGTGGTGGACGGCTACAGGCCTATTTGCTTGGTTGGTACGGTACTGGGCGGCCTGCACTTCAGAGCGCCAGGAATGAGCGGACATCCAGATGCCAACCGCAGCCAGCGCTTGATTCGCATTTCATTCTGTCGGGGACCTCGATTTTGATCTTGATCTTGTTTCGTCAATCGCTCACTTTTCGTGATCTCTGGAAATTCTTTTCCCCTTGATCGCACTGTAATCACTTTTCTCTCAGAAAGCCATTCTGCGCACTGTTTCCCCCCACAATTAAATTGTTCCCCCTTCGACGCCCACAATCAGACCAACCGAAGACCTCATTTCCACCCTCTCAATCGTTGACGCCGACTTCTCTTTGGCCCCGATAAAGGCTTTCACCTGGTCCTACGGCGCTGACCTTTTCTCAATCACACAAAGCAATTCCCCGGGTACATTCAACTCGAGGATGTCTTCCCCGTGGAAGAAGAAACAACCTGAGGTGGTCGTCGATGCCGTCTTGAAGAGAGCGGAGGTCGGCAAGGTCAATCTCTCCCTTACTTTCCTCCCAAGGCAGAAGTCGGCATGCTGACGATAATTGATTCTACAGATTGGACGCAAACTCAAAGCTCGACTCGCGCTGGCGCAATATAAGGCTGCCCGCGGTTGGGAGGATCTCACCCTGGACACGATCGAGCCAAAAGTCGAAGAGGAGTTGCGGCAGAAGAGGCCTCTGTCGAGTGGAGATATCTTCTCTGATTCGTCTTCGAGCACCAATTCGGTGGTATCTGAGTTCCGGTATTCTGGTTCGAGGACTCTCATGAGCTCCCCCCTGAAAGCCCCGGCTATCTTCTCCGATCAGGTCGGTTCAAGGAGTGGCAGTGGCAGCAGTACCGGACTCCGCAAACGCAACTTTCATCATAGTTTCGAACATCCAAGCTCACCTACAAGTGCACGCAAGAGATTTCGGTCGTCTCCTACAGCTGGCAGATCAGTCAATGCGGGTCGCACTTCGTGGAAGGACAGTCAGCTCGCACAATCCTCACCGATCAAGCCCAAGAAGCATACACACTTCACCACTTCTTCTGGCCCCGGACTCTCCTTCTTCTCGGGATCAGACGAGGTTCATTCAACTAACTTTGCTGCTACCTCGGACGACGAAGAGAATATGCTGCCCGCCCACTCCTTCGACATTCGCTCATCACCCCCACGAACACCATCTCCTCCCCGCAATCGCGGTAGCTTGGGCCACCGCAAGGACAAGACAGGCAAGTTGGGAGAAGAGGGTGCAGATTTACTACTTTATCTTGCTACTTCTCCTTCGCCAGCAAACCCAAATCGCGCTCGCATGGCTCCCCCATCGACTCCACCACCCAAAACTCTTGCATTGCCTTCATCGATGATGACCACTCCTGGTGGCGGTGGAAGCCTTCTTGCTGGTTTTGGTGGCCCTGTCACTCCATCCCAAGGATTTGACTTCTCTGATTTCGTCAACATCACTCCCAGCCCTGCGCAAGGTGCGTGGCCGAAGACGCCCCGAACCGCAAAGACTCCCTTGACGGTTGCGCGACGCCGGCTGACTTTCGACAACTTCAGTCACCCCGGATCCAGTCCGAACCTGCGAGAGGGCAGTTCTGGTAGCACCAAGCACACTGGACTTGGCATGCAGCTTGGGGGCGATCTGATCTCATGAACATTTGGTCACGGCAATCATTCTTGTGTGGGTTTAACGAAGACTATGTTGTACTGTATATGATTTGGACGGCTGCATTAATGATTCTCATTTGTTCTAAGTCTCTGGGCATACGACCAGCCGGAGATGACATGGAACATAAAGGTTGGGCGCTTCAGGTTTCATTCCACGCATCGCATCAAGGACACGCTCTACGACGAGATTTTTCGGCGGCATGGAGAGCGAATGTTCTGGTACTAGTGGGGTCTGTTTATGTAGCATCTCGGTAGCTTTGCTTTGCTTTACTGCAAGCGTTATTGTCAGAGTTGATGGTGTGGAGTTTCTGTTGGCTATCCGAGGGAGCGACCGAGCATTGGGCGTTGGAGACGTGGAGCGGAGTTCAAGATTTCGCGACGACGCGATTCTTCGTGTCTGTTTCGCGATGCGAGTTGGCTTTTAATCACCAATGGTGGGGTGTGAGTTGTGAGGTGGGGTGAGACTGACCCAATCATTGCGAATACATACCAATACACTTGAACATGTTCCGCCCTGCTCAAACCAGTGCAAAGATTGCTTCCTCACTAGACTTCACGTATTAGTTGTCCCGCATGTCCTCGAAGACTTGAAGACTATGACCTCACTCGCTCGCTCGCTTTCTCCAAAATCCTCTCTTACGTTTCGCTCTCTAAACGATTCAGACGTTCAGAGCTCACGCTGTGCCTTGCACGTACGTCCACTGAAAAGATAGGCATACATTTCCCCACAGTTATTCAATGTGATTGGCTTTTGTCAGGAAAGTACGGGTCCTGTACTGTATCAAGGAAATACTCCCCTTGGCACACCTCCACCTCCGGCCGGGCGTCCAACTCTTCTTACTGACCGGCGCATCTGCGACTCCGATTCTTCTCAAAGCGGGGTGAAACTGCGATTGCACTGGTAGTGCACTGTATATATTCAATTCGAGTCGGAGGAATGCATCGCCTCCTCTTCCGCCCTCGTTTCTTTTCTCCGACTCGCGAGGTCGTTTGAGACGAGTCGTCTCAGACGCACCGGCCGAGTTCACCGTTTCCGGGTTTTCACTGGTCTCAGCAGTTCAAAATAAAGCAAAGCATAATTGCGCTTCCGTCCGTCTTTCTGTCAATACATGCTCTCGTCTGCCTTAGAGTTCGATAAATCATATAAGCTTTGCTTACTTGCATTCTCTGACGTGAAGTCAGAAGCCACCATCCGGAAGGACGATGCATTTTCCCCTCGCCGTGGTAGCCTTGTTCTGGGCTGGCGTTTCTTACATCATTTACCAGGTTGTTACTGGCTACCTGATCGCTCGACATAACGCAGCTAGAGCTCGCGAACTCAAATGCGAAGCTCCTCCTGCTCAGAAGAACCGCTGGCCCTTTGGTATCGACCAGATCGTTCGTGCTATCAAAGCAGACAAGGCACAACGCTTTCCGGTCGACTTCATTAAGAGAGCAGAGGATGTTGGAGCCATTACATATAGCTGGAATCTATTTGGAAGCGAGAATTTCCAGACTGCCGATGAGAAGAATATCCAGGCCATCTTAGCAACGCAATTTGACGATTTCGACCTGGGTCCCTTCCGTAGGGGCCTGTTTTGGCCGCTGCTCGGAAATGGTATCTTCACGCAGGATGGCGCTGGCTGGGAGCATTCAAGAACCATGATGCGTCCTCAATTTGTTAGAGAGCAAGTCAGCGATTTGGGTCTGGAAGAGATCCATGTTCAGAACATGATGAGAGCCTTGGACCTTCATCTAGGATCAGACAAGTGGACCGACTGTGTCGACCTCCAAGAGCTATTCTTCCGTTTGACACTCGACTCTGCAACCGAATTTCTGTTTGGGGAATCAGTCGATTCACAGATACAACTCATACCCGGAAGCAAAGTCAAGAAGGATAAAGACGGGTTGCAGTCTTTTGATTTTGCCTCTGCTTTCGACAAAGGCCAGATGGCAATAGCGACGAGAGCTCGCTTTGGCAACTTATACTGGCTTGTCAACCCGAAGGGCTTCAAAGAGGCTTGCAAAGCATGCCATGATTTCATTGACCACTTCGTTCGGCTAGCATTGTCTCAGGATCTTCGCGAAAAGGAACTCGAAAAGGGCGGAAAAGATAAATATGTCTTCCTTGAAGCACTGGCGGCTGAGACACAGGATCCGATCGAATTACGTTCTCAACTTCTTCATATCCTTCTCGCCGGTCGCGATACAACGGCTTCGCTCCTGGGTTGGCTGTTTTTGTGTCTGTCCAAAGATTCAACCCGCTATCAGAAGCTTCGGAACATTTGTCTAGAAGAGTTTGGAACTTACGACAAGCCAAAGGCCATTACATTTTCAAAGCTCAAATCTTGCCAGTACTTGCAACATTGCAACAACGAAGCTCTTCGTCTCTACCCTGTCGTGCCTATCAACGGTAGATTCGCCAATAAAGATACTAGTATGTCGGTTGACAAGAGATCCATTTTTAGACTTGTTTCACTCCCTTCCTGTCTTCTTTCTCTTCAGACAATTTCCTTGACAATTTGACGTTTGCCAAGAAGTACGCTGACTGGTTTAGCCTTGCCCCGAGGTGGCGGAAAGGATGGCCAGTCCAAGATCTTCGTCCCCGCTGGCTCCTCTGTCGATTACTCAGTCCACGTTCTGCATCACAGAAAGGATATATGGGGACCGGATGCCGAAGATTTCAGACCTGAGAGATGGGAGAATCGAAAAGTTGGTTGGGAATTTGTTCCAGTGAGTTCACACTCCTATAATTCTTGATAAGCATGCTATCTCCAGACTCGAGCACACCGACCAGAATCCCAGGCTTGTGACAGTTTTCGTCATCTCAATGATTTTCTGCGAGCCAAGACTGACCTTGTTCTAGTTTAACGGTGGTCCTCGCATCTGTATAGGACAACAATTCGCCCTGACCGAGGCCAGCTACGTAACAGTGAGATTGTTGCAGAGATTTGACAAGATGGAATCCATGGAGACGGACCCAATTGTCCGACACAATTTGACACTCACAAACTGTAGTGGAAATGGCGTAAAGGTTAGGGCACATGCGGTGCGAAGTGGATCTTGGGATTATTAAGGTTGTCTGCGAGCGCGGATGTCTGGTATGACAAGCAGGGATTGTGCCCGAGTCAAGACTGTGCCACAGAAGTTGTGATCCAACCGGAATGTATAACATCCACTCCATGATCCTGGCTCAGATAGTCTCCAAAAACTTTAGCCGTGGTGATCAACTTCTATAATTTCTCCACTAGAAGATTTTTATTAAATATGAATACAATCGACGATCCAGAAGAGCAAAGCACCAAATTGAATGTACAATGCATCCATAGCATGAGAATGGGTTATTTGTTAGTGAACTCTGGACTTATCAATTCCGCGATAGTCAGGCAGTGTTAATACGGATACACTCGATCCAACGTGGACATGGTTCTGAGACAGATATATAATACTCCGAAACTGCCACAGAAGAAAAAGAACAAAGTCAAACAGAGAACCTCGGTGTATGAAGATGCACACGTATCACGTGAAGATAGGGGTAAGAAGTTAGAAGGCTAGAGTCTAGCCTCGTCCCATCATGGACTGACTCATCAAACTCAAGATTAGAGTTGTGGGTGTAACATCTGGGTGATAAAATAAATGCTTGAGTATGTTCTGGATGCCCTCTCATGTGCCGTGTCAAGGCTCAAGGATGATCTTATCTGATCCCTAAGAGGTGCCAAGACTTGTAAGAATAGACCAAGGACCCGCTCTTGCGTTTAGAGCTTCGAGAAAAGCTTCTTTCATACGGGCCCCACTACTCTACGTCTCCCCGCAGATGCTCTACACGTCCGTCTCTAGACACATTGCAAACCCCCAAAACCTATTTATATCCTGCTGATCTTCCTCTTCTTGTTGCCAATGGCGTCTGCCCCTGGAGACCCCTCCAAACGACCCTCCTCCTCTGGCCAGAAATCCTCGTCAGCTCCAGCAAGCAAACGTATCTGCATTTCCCCACGGTCAAATTCAATGGCCCAGACTCGTCCGTCTCCAAACATAGAATCCATCCTTCACCTACCTGAAGATGCAGTCTGGAGCCTCCGAAAACAAGACCTGCGCGCCTGCTTCTTGGTTCTACAACAATATGCCAAAAGTCCATATCCTCTTCCCACCCCCACGCTACCCTCCCCCGCCATCCCCGCCTCCTTTCCTACCGAACCAAATAACAACATACTCTCACATCTCCTCAGACTACCACTCGAAATCAGAGAATTGATTTACATCCACACTCTGCCCCCCGTCTGCAGTCCTCCAATACGAGGTCCGCACCCAAGACAACTCCAGACCCACATCCACCTCACGCAACCCATCAACCCCTCCCTCCTCTTACTCAACCACCAGATCCGCACCGAGGCCCTCCCCCTCCTGTACGGCGCTCCCACACAAATCATCCATATCAAAATCGACTACAACATCTGGGAGCATAAAACTCGGCGGTCAGATCTAATCCTGTCCTCGGCATTGACCTCGTCGATAAAACATATACATGTATTTATACACCTGGGTTCCGAAAAGAGGACGACGAAACCGGGAGATATAGAGGCAGATGCAAGGATTGCGGAGGTTAAGAAGGGGATTAAGAAATTGGGGAAGTGGTTGGGAGGGGCGGATGTGCAGACGTTGAAAGTCAATTGGCAGGAACCGCCGCAAACTTATACGTGGGAGCAGAAGAAGGATATCTTGGACGGAATGAGGGTCCTCCGGGCAGTGAAGGTTGATGCTGGGGAAATCAATTGGGGTCTGAATTGGAATAAAGGGAGGAAATTCAGATTTGAAATAGAATACCTGAAAGAGTTAGAAAGGGGGAGCCAAATAGAGGGAGCGACCTAGGTGCACATTGGCAGTCAGATATATAGTATAATATGAGAGATGATGGATTCATTCTTCATTTTCATTCTGGTATTTTTGGTATACTACAAACATGGTAGAGAAACGAGGCCCAACGCCGCGCTATGCGTAAACATCAAATATTATTCCAACAAGGACTCGTCGCCTAGAATTGAAGCAGACGCTGCTTGTTCCCAGACTCTGCTTTCTGCGTAGAGAACGAACAGTACTTGTCCTTAATAGCCACCACCTCATATGTGCCTTCCTGTGACGACTGAATAGTCTTGCTGTGCTCATAAGAGACCTCATGTCTCGTCTCTAAGACCTGTGACTTCTGACCTCTTCGAGCATTCGTACTTCTCGTGTACGTAAATTCAAATGGAGGCGTGCCCCAGAATTCGAACAGAATTTCAGCTTCTCCTCCTTCGTGGATATCCACTTCTACTTGTCTGCCTTTGCTAATCTTAACGCTTGGCATTTCGTGGACTAGCTTGGATATATTCGTCCTCGCTTTGCACTCGCTCGCCTTATCGGAAACGCCAGTGATGGTGAAATTGCCAGGCTTCTCTGCGATGCGCCGGAAAGTGGTGCTTGTGGACTTCGCCTTTCTTTGAACACCCTCGAAGTTGTAGAAGATCTCAAACGGTGCTGTGCCAGATAGAGTATAGGATATTCGCTCACCCACACAATAATCAACTCGAGAATCCAAAGGATAGATCGTAGGGACATCATAGACCTGAACCTGGACATGAGGTCCTCCATATTCTGTTTTCTGTTGACATCCGTGGGAATCGCGGACCTTCCGCACGCTGACTTGATGGATACCCAGGGAGAGGACGCGATGTGGAATCCGGAAGTCATAATGATTAGACTCGATATTGGCTATCTTCACGGTCTCCGGTCGAATATTGCTCTGATGTTTGATGTCTACTTCGAGACTAAAGGGAGGAACTCCTTCCAACTTGATCGGGATAACTTCGTCACCTGCCAGCTCCTCTTTACAGTATTTGTAAGATTGGCCTGGTTTGATGAAGTGGGCAGATGGTTTCCGGTTGACTTTTTGCTCCAGTACAAGAGGGGTGAACTTCTTGGAATCGTGGTCGTACAGAGCATCAGAAAGTTCCGAGAACTTGTACTCGTAGGTTCCAGGTTTACTAGTATCCATGGAAATGGTAGCCACACCAAGGGCAGCTTCGAACTCTTTGTTGCTGATAGAGCTTGTTCCGTGCTCTGGTTTGTGACTGACCCGATATCTAACGTTGTAGGGCGAAGAACCTAGAAGGAATTAGTATATATTGTCTGCTAAGTCAAAGACAACCTACCAATGAGGCTGACCTCTACTGCATCGATGTCGCCCTCGCACACTTCTCTCTTGCGATACTTCTTGCCATCTGGAATAAGGGCCGCCGTATCTGCAACCTTGATTTGGGGTCGGAGGAACCAGTCAACCTCGAATGTAGAGGCAGTAGTATCAACAGTTCCTGGGCATTGCTCATCTAAGACTTCCAGGATCTCGTATATACCTCTTTCGGATACGGCAAGTATGTCATTTGTTGATCTGGCTCTTTTCTCCAATATCTTCCCCGATTTATCGTTAAGATTACGATACTTCAGTGTCCAAGGAGAACGGCCAGTCAGACGTAATGGTAGTTCGACATTCCCACCCTCAACCTCGACTGTCTTATGCTTTCCCTCCAGTAATCCGAAAGATGCCTTCGGTCTTTGTCGCCTGACAGTAAATTTGGCCTCGCTGGTTAGGAAGATCTTGCACCCGGTCTTGTCCTGGACACTCGTCAGAGCAAGGGAATACTCGCCGCCTTTGATCAACGGGTCGGTGCTGATTTTGTAGACATCTGTGCCAATGCTCGAGATCTTATTCTTCTTCCGTTTACCGTCATGAACAAGCTCATATTCCAAGGTAAATGGCTTTTCTCCAGATAGTTCTACATTCATCTCAACCGGCTCCTCGATACATGCATCGATGCTACCAGAAGGAACACGTAGGCGTGCAGAGGCAGGTGGTTTCACGTCTTGCTCCAGGACAAGTCCACTCCCGCTTAGCTGATGGCCTTTATAAACGGCGTCATCGATGGAGGTGAATTGATACTTGAAGTGGCCTGCGTCAGTCGGCTTGAGAGCCAATTGGTGACGCAGTCCAGATACTTTGACATCCTCCGGATGCTTTCCAGCCTTGGTGATAACATCATATCTCACAGTGAATGGAGGTGTACCGATTAGGTCGAGATCAACAAGTAAGCCAATGGAATTCCCTGCGCATTTGTCGTTGATATTCTCGGAACTTAATGTCAGTTCTGGCTCAGGCGGATTTAGCAGTAGACAGGACGCTGGCTCCTTGATCTCTCCGTCACAGAATTTGCTCTTCACCCCAGTCAGCGTGTAAAGCCCGGGCTGGCGAATGACCGGCGTGTTGTGAGCCGCCCTTGCTGAGAATTCCTGGAACACTGTTTCTTCTCCATGGTCTCCATTCTTTGTTAAGCTTTCTAAGGGAGAAAATTTCCACATCAAGGTGTGGGAAGTGTCATCAGGTGCACGGCCGGGTGACGAATACTGAACAGGGAACTGGATAGCTTGCCCATTTGCGACCATCAGTGGGTTGCGAGAATCACATCCTTTGAGGCGAGCAAAAGGTCGCTCATGAACGACGAACGCCTGTTCCAGATGTGCACCTTTGGGGTAGACATGCTCTCCGTCATCGCCCCCAATGGTGAAATTAGCTATGTTACCAGTGGCATCGTGTATCTCATCGATAGAGTATAGCCATCGGCCGCTAGGCATCATCGACTCGTTAAGAGGAACGGTAATGCGATGGGTCCGCGCCCATGAGACGTCTTGACTGCCTGCTAAGACCAAGGTACCTGCGTTGGTTGATCCTAACAGAGGCGAAGCAAAATTCTCTGGTTGGATGCTCTGAAAATGATGAACGCTCTGGTCGCTGTTCGCGGTTCGGCTGTAAACCACTTTCAGAGGTGGAGTGCCCTCGATCTCCATGGTGAGATCCGAAAGATCACCTAAGCATTTGTCTGAAGATGAAGACTTGACAACAGCCCTCGGACATGTGACAACCAATGTATCTGACATCCTTCTCTGGACCTCTAGCTTTGTCTTATCGACAACCTTAAGCAACCTATAAAGCCCGGGCTTCTTAGCGGTGTAATTAATAGTGTACAAATTGTCGTCCTGGGTCTTTTTGGCATTGTTGACCTCCTTCTGTGACAGTACAATTGTCTCATTGGCATTCGTATCAAAGTCTATACGGAGAAGTTCGACATGTTTCGGCTTGGTCTGGTTGAAGTATAGAGGTATGTGAGCCACAGGATGACTGCTGTCGACGCAGAATGGCTGGCCCTCTGGGTTCATAGTAACAGATCTAAAGATACGTCAGTTGGTTTATTGTAAAGGGAGAACTTCGAGACTCCACATACCCTTCAGGCAAGATATTGATGATTTGCTTTCCCATAATGAGGGACGAATTATGTAAAATCGTTGATGGCCGAACACTATTCTCGGAAATCGACATCTCTCGATCGAAAATAGTTTTGGCAAAAAACAATAATGTCCCTTCCAATGGAAGCTATCCAGATAGTGAGTTAAATCTTCATTGTTTCCTTTCCCAAAACCTACCGGTATCCGAAACATCAGCATGCCATTCACTACTGTATGCAAAGAGCATGCCACAAGTGATGTTGATTCCGACCATTCGAGCCATGGTATTCGTAGTAGAGGGATTCCAAACAAGAATAGGATATCTATGAGCGTCCACTTAAAGAACAGGGCAAATGAATTGGTGTCATCTTCCACAAGTTTCCACCAATCGTATAGACGCCACACCAGAAGCAATCCATAGACTGCTAAAGTGTACATCCGCTGGCTCGGGGCATCGATGAGATTGACAGGTATGAGAGGCGCATTTGTTGCAGCAGCTGCTGGAGCGGCATTTGGTATCTCTGGTAGAGGCGATCTCACCCTCGTCGAGTCTGGAGTTGGCTGATTGCTGCCCGGAGTCGATGGCCACGACGACCGCATTTGAGGGGTTGAACTCATGGCATGCTCTTGAAAGTCCAAATCTCTGGACGCACTTGAAGAAGAGCTGAATCGAATCGACAGTGGATCGTTGTGGAGCGGGAATAGTCTTGAGTGCAGTTCGAGTCGAGCATGTGGAGGAGAAGATCGGTAGCAATGACTGAAGGAAATGTCGTTGGCGAAGTTATTGTTGACTGCTTGCCTGAAATTTCCAATCTCAGAACCAGAACGTCGCGAACCGCGATGATATTGACACACCAGGAAATTACTAGCGTAGTTCTTCACCTCGCTTCGAGCCCCTGTTGACCAGCCGAGCCTTTGTGATGATCATAGAACCATACTGGTGTGCGAAATCTGTGCCTGTATTGTCTGTGTCTCCGTAGTAGAATCTCATTATATATGGCACGTTTTTACAGCTAACAAATGCTGCCTTAGGGCTCTATGGCCAGAAGCATTGAATATGACGAGGGTTGAACGATAGCCTTAGCTTCGAAAATCTGTTCTTCAACACAACGCACCTCATTCAGTGAGAACACCACCACACGATTCTACATTTCAGAGCCTTTGTACGTTAATCTCTCTACCTCCGCCTATAAAACTTCTAATTGTCAGGCTTTGAAGACCTGGTTTGATCTTCTCAACACCAGTGAGTTCTCCACAAAACCATACCTTTATCCATATACTTCCTTGCGCCTCCTTTAGTTTCAAAGCTTATGTCATTCCATCTCGTTGAATTGCTTGAATACTCTTTAGCGCGCTATCACAGATTTCAAAATCTGAATTCCAAGCGCTCAGCTTTGTTTGGATTTGTCAACGCTACAATTTCCTTTCATTTTTACAGAAGGAGATTCTATTGATCTCAGCGTTTCATGGGAAGATATTGTTGTAGACTGATTCAGACTGATTTAGACAGCGAAGCGAAAGCATCGAAGCGAACTGGTCTCCAACCTAGAAGCGACAATGTCAGAGAGTGTGTCCAGCATGGCCGGGGAAGACAATGCTGGTCCAGGTGGTGCAGGTGACGATGGTCGTGCTTGGTTGGAAGTAGAATCTGATCCAGTAAGCCTGAATCTGTATCTCCCTCTTTAGCTAACGCTATGTGACAGGAAGAATTCCAGAAGATCTTGAGGAAGCTCGGTGCTAAAGGTGTGACTGTTCAAGAGCTCTACGGACTAGAGGACGAAGCAATCTACGAGTTAACGTGAGTTACTAGACCTTCTCAGCTTGTATAGTCATCATTGACTTCGTATTAGCGGTCAAGTCCTTGGTATGATCTTCTTATTCAATTACCGTCTGGTTGATGGAGAAGAGAGTGAGGACATTCAAAACTGCCCCTCGCAAGTCTGGTTTGCAAATCAGGTACGTGTATTGAAGTCCACCCAGGGTCCATTAAAGAAACTGACATCATCAGACTACTAACAACTCATGTGCCACCGTTGCAATGCTTAACATCCTTCTTAATGTTCCCGGCATGAGATTTGATGCAAACGGCACCGACATCCTCGGTAACCTCAAAGCTTCAACCGCAAATCTCATCCCAGCGGAGCGGGGCCAAGTTCTGTCCGATAATGCATGCATCCGTCAAATTCACAATAGCTCTGCTCGGTATGTAACAAAAACTCGATAAGCGATTCCAGGACGTCGATATTAATATGGATATAGTGAAATTGACGCCTTGAACGCCTCTCTTCAAGTCCAGCGAGACCATGACGAGTGGGTCAAGATTAGTAAATACCGCAGAAAGTCCAACGGTACCAAACGCAAGAGAGCTAGCAGCGGCAAGACGAAGAAGCCGAAGCAAGATCTCGAGGATGCTTACCACTACATAGCCTACGTACCGATCGGAAGAGGTGTCTGGAGACTCGATGGGCTTCTCAAGCAGCCACGTAATCTTGGTAAGAGTTCTACTCTGGCACGATCAACTTAGCTGACGGTTTTCCAAGGACGATTCGAAGGAGATTGGACTGCTCTTGCTCGACAAAACGTCTTAGCACGCATCGCAGAAGAAGAAGATGTTGAGTACAACCTAATGGCTTTGTGCGCTAGCGAACAACAGACCGTAGTTCTTCAAAGCCTCAAAAATGCCGTCTCCATCGAGAAAATCAAACAAACTACCCTGGTCTCTTCTGAACAGGTTGCTCACCACTTGAAGTCGGCTGGTATCGAGCCTTTGCAAGAATCTGAACTACTTAGCGTATTCGGAATCACCAGAGAACAGCTCAATGAAAACCAGGGCCTCGCTGACGACATTGTGGAACGTATGAAGGCCGAGGATCATTTGAAGTTATTGAGACAACTCATTACAGAGCAAAACGATCTCAAGACCACCTTCGTCGAGAGACTGAAGTACGACATCCAAACAAGCAATGGGGTAGAAGACACTAAGGAAGAGGACTTGACAGATGCTACATTCAACATCATCAAAGCTTTGGTTGACGCTGGTATGATCGACGCGAAGGTTGGGAGGCGTTGAATTAGAAGCGTCAAGACGTGAAAAGGAAATGGCGGGATGGATACCCGATTCCAAGATATTTGAATGCATGCTTGATGGATATTGCAGGCGAGCAGGCTAAACAGCACAAAAGCATAGAAAGCAAGAACGAGGGAAGCAAGAGGCCAGTCGATAATGGACACAGATACCTCTCAGTTACTCTACAGGAATAGGACTATGCCGCAGAAGCTTCTTCGAACCTGCTTTACAATCAAGATCACATGCACAGAAGAACCTGTCCACAATCGGTCACATAGAATTAATAGATACATAAGTCAAAGGTCCTGCACGCTGTGAAGAACTGATTTGAATCATTGGTCAACTATTAGTCCTCAGGGTATTCATCTTGAATATTTGACACAAAAACTCGGTTCTCCTTATCCCAGCGCTTAAAGAACTTCCCTGCCAAGCTCATCAACGATACCGGCACATCAGGCTCAATGACTTCGATGTTCTCCTCAGCCACATAGCGAATACTTGTGTCTTCAACTCTGGATGTTCTGTTGGTAAGCTGTAGTCTGTATTGGGCAAGGGCGTAGAACTTACAGTGCATGGTAGAAGCTCTGTTGCCTACCGCGAGATAGTGAGTCGACATTATTATGAGCAATCCAAGCAGAAGTCATCCCACATTCCATGTCCCAACCAGTAATTACTCCCATATAAGCGTAACGTCTGTGACGAAATACTTGGCCAACCTTGTACTTGACGCCTTCACGAGCTGCCTGGGTATCTCGAAGTCGACGCTGCTTTGGAGTCTGATCTGCAACTCGAACAACGCGAAGTGCTTCTCGAAGTTCCCAATTCTCCGAGGTGTGGTCTGTAATACCATACTGAGGCACTATGTACTCCTCTATCAGTGACGCATCCATAGGATACAGGCGTTCAAAACGCTCCAAAATGAAGGGTATAAATTGCCGTTGAGTGGTCATTTCCGATGGTCGAGCAGGATTCCCGAACATGTAATTGGCCCATAAAGCGGAATAGAAAGCATTATCCAGATCTGCGAATGGATTCGCATGAAGTCGTATAGTCGGGTGACCTGTGTTCGTGGCACCAGTTCCTTGAGCTCTAAACTCCTGAACGGTGGCCAGGATGTTCCTCGAAGTGCGAAGTATTATGTTAGCATTGTCAGTATCTGTCATGAACTCAGTAAACTGATGTGGCCGGAGACCATATTGAGTCAGAATAATGCGAAGCGCTTGTGGCGGAATTTCGTCATCAAAGCCGTAAGGATCCAGGTACATCGGTTCTGCTTGAGCTTCTCCTTCCCTCAATGGTCTGTCATCGAGCGACTCTCCGTGGGCAGGGATTATCATGGCATGGACATGATTCGGTATTCCACAGCACTTTGCATCGAGCCCTAGTCTCTGGGCCACAGCGCAAAATATCGCAACTGAGATAAGCGGTAATGATGGATGGTCTTGGTCTTGTAATGCAATTCCAATAAAGTTGTTCTGTAAATCTCTATATGCGAGCTCCGAGGAGAGACCCACGAAGTTGTTTTTGCGTAAGAACCTCAACGCTGTGAGAGCTTTTTGCCGGGGTGGTAAATCGTCAATACCGGGGTGCTCTTGACGGAGGTGTTTAAGGAGGTTGTCAAATAAATCCGAGATCTATGGGAAAGTCAATTGGATCCTATTCCTGAATCTTGATTAAGACATACCTCTGTAAGGTCGCCATAGTGGTCATGCAGGACGAATAGATCAAAGGCGCCTAGAGCTTTCTCGATGGGGACATCTTCTCCGTGCAGAACCCTCCTCCATAAATCTAATGCTTTCGAACGGTGGACGTGATCTAGAACAGCGCTGGCATAGTATCTAGAGCAAAGTTAAAGCTGCGTCTGCATACATTCAAAACAACTAACCTTCTTGCAAGAACATCTTGAGTGTCCTCGTGCGCATGGCAATGCCGCACCAAAGTGTCTTTTGCATCATAACCAAAACTCGAGATGGATCTAAATTTGGATATTCGATCGACCTGTGCCTCGAGAATGCCATTGAGTAGTCGAGTGGTTTGTGCGTCTATTTCCCTTCGATATGTGTAGAGCGCCTTCCAATCAACATCCACAGCATTGCCCAAAAACTTCGCTTTAATCGCGTGTTGTGAATCCCAGTACTTGAACTCTACTTTACAATGATGTCGCCAAAGCAATGGCTCGCTGGCCAACCTGCCAAATCGTTTCGAAAGTCGTTGAATGTTCAAGAGCACATCGTTCGCAGAACAGTAGTAGGTAATCTGCTGCAGAACTTCGTCTGGGAGGTCGGTGAGGAGTGACCGTTGCTTCGATTGTGATAGTATTTCGTACATTGTAAGAGGTTTTCGAAGGGGTTTGCAAGTAATTGTGCTACTCTGCAAGAAGCCCGCAAGATTTCAGAAGAGTGGCGTTGGAGTCGAGGAATCTCATCGTCAAGAAGTGGGGCGGCTTATCGATACCGAGAAGCACGTGATTGTTCACTTCTTCGAAGACAGGAGTGCAAGAGTTCCATTCACGGATTGCGGAAGTCATCTTGGTTGTGAGGAGGTATTTCTGATAGGAAACTGTTATCTGAGTTACAGGATAAGTTTTCTGCTAAAGGTAGTATCCTAAGCTGTGAGTTGTTGAAGCACAATCCACAGTTTTAGCGGGCAGTAGATGATATCCAAATGCTCGCAGGCAATCTAAGCAAAACAAGATGATATACTAGGCCCGGGCCGAGTGAGAGAACAATCAAAGAAGGACTCTTCCTCTCAAGTTTTTTCTTGGGACGGGCACCTCGCAGTCTGAAAGTGCTTGATCAAAATTAGACCATGCATTCTCAAATCACTCGAGTACCCAAGCCAGAACAGACTCCTCGTTATCAAGCTTGAATTGCCTAGAAACAGCTGCCATGTATGGTACCAGATAGCCGAGGCCGCAAAGAGCATCGAAAGTAGGAGTCGGATGCAGAAGCAGATAGGTACTATACAGACAGTTACAATACTTCGCCGCGTCGGAACCGTTGCCGTGGATTACCCTTCTCGAACCCTCGAAAATTCACATTCCCGCTTTTTACCGACATCTCACTGGACACGACGAGCACGAACTTGAGTCAGCGCTGGGCCGGACAAAGTTCCGCTCTGTGCTCTTGCGTGCTCTTCCCTGCTCTCGCCCTCTTTGATTTTCCTGGGGAAGTGCACCATCGACCAACCAGAAAAATGCATGATCGATATGGCTGTTGTGAATGGTCCCCGGGCACGAGATTGGCGAGACCAAGCGGACCCTCGCCGGTACTTACCGTTCCTTCAGGTTGGGAAAAGCTTGAACCCTTGGCAGGGAAATTTTCACCGTTGACACAACAGACGAACGAGCCATCAGCCATCCCATCGTGAACTTAAATCTCCATGATCCACGCCACCGGCCCTGCCTAGCCCGCCCTGTCCTCTTCTTTCGTGTGGTGCTGGTGACTAGTAGTAATATAGTAGGAAGTAGGAGTACCACCACCAAATTCATATATGCCTCGTCCGGCCTTGTTGCCATCAACATCCACCGTATTATGTGATCGTTCGACACATTCAAGACATTCATTCTGCAGCACAGTCACACTGCATCTGATCCTTGCCACGGACGCCTCTGACGCAGCCACCAAATTATGATTTCCGTGCCACACAAAACTGTCACGCGAGCACTTGCCTGATTCGATTTTCTACTTCTTCAACATAATTCACAACCATGAAGTTCGCCCACGAATTGCAGGAAACCCTGGAGAAGGAGGGGTTTCCACCAGGATGGATTGCTACTGCTATACCATATTCCAAATTGAAGAAGTTGCTGAAAAAGGTTCGATTTCCCCCGTGATTTTGCGTTTGATACTCCAAGTTCTTTCTCGACCATCGTTCATACGCATGTTGACGACTCGTCCTACTCCTGATATCCATCTTCCGGGCCATCATGGACTTACCTCTTCTCAGGTTCAGTTAGAGCTAGAGAGTCTGGGTTTAGATCGCCAAACCCTTTCTCAACTTGCCCCTCCATCCGATGATCCTACTGATCGTAGAGGAAGTGGGGTGGCGATCCAATACGAAATTGACGGTATGTGAGGCTGTGATTGACATTTTTGGATCTAAGGCTAATGTTCATCAAAGGGAAAATCAAACTGGTTCCAAAACTCACTCTCTTCATCCAGGTCGAAGGCGGAAGTGCTGTAGATGCAATCCTATCTCCTGAAACTAGAGAATACTTGGAACATCTAGCCAGAAGCCAGCCCGGCAGTAACAATGCTGGACAATATGAACATAATCCACCTATGCCTGGTTTAGACACCCAAGTCATAGACAGAAGGTATGCCCATCTTACACAATCCTCAAGCACTTCTCATTTCTCTTTAAGTTGCAAACACGGTAGCTAAACTCACGGTCTTTATGGTTTCTTGTTGGGCATCAGATGCATTTCTTCGCCTTACTCGAGCGAGGTGTAATCTGTCTTGTTCTTCTTGTCTGGAGTGACTAACATGTTCTGTAGACTAAGCAAATCCCTTGATAGACCCGGGTTCAAACGTGTTGAAGTACCTCTAACGTTTGATACCGAGTTTTTCGACATATTATACGGCGATGTCGTTAACCTCGATACTCTTCAAAATGAGCAACAGAAAGCTGTAGCTAGTAATATCAACACATTGTCTTCTCAACTCGTCCGCCTAGCTCGGTACGTCTAGCCCACCCGACCTTAGTTATTCTGCTGACCAATTTCAGGCCTTTGCAAGGAAAATACAAAGACAAGAAAACCGACCTCTACAGGTGGCGGCAACTTTTCGAAATTTATCTTCAAGGCTCGGTCTTCTTTTCGACACATGAGAAAGACCATGGTTCTCGAGATAGTGCTACTGCGGCGAAGCAGCTCAACTGGTTTCAAGATGAAGTGGTGAAGAGAGGGATCGTAGACACGTTCACGCTACCGGAGAGTCGCCAGGCACTCGTCCAATTTGTCAACATTAACATTGAGTTGTTGCGAAACCTCAAATTCCAAGAGCTAAACCAAAAGGCTATCTCCAAGATCCTCAAAAGTGAGCCCCCGTCTTCCAACTCCTACTAGCTGATCTAATACTTTCTAGAATTTGACAAACGTACTCACCTTGGCGCTTCCCAAACATTTCCACGGCTCATCCAATCGGATGCTATCATGTCAGGATCGATGGCCAAGGCATTGTGTTCTCAGGTCACTCAGGACATCGTCAAACTAGTCCCTCAGATTGAGGACTACTCCTGTCCAGTATGCTGCGACATTGTCTGGCGACCAGTAAGGATGAAGTGTGAGCATCTTTTTTGCAGCTCATGTGCAGTGAAACTTGAGAAGCAGAAAAAGCGATGCCCACTTTGTCGAGAGAACGTTCTCGTGAACCTTATGGAGGGTAAGTTTTCGTTTTCCGTCTCGCTGAGCAACCTCTAACGTGATATAGATGATATCGACAACGATATGTCCAGTTATCTTGAGCTATGGTTTCCGAAGGAGGTAAGAGAAAAGCGGATCGCTATCGAGACCGAAGCTGGGAGAGAGGCACTAGGAATACATTACAAACATCCTTCGGAAGAGAAGTGTGTAGTGATGTGATAGCGAGCTGGATCCAGAACGGGGGAACTTTTCATTGTTTTTCGTTTTGATACCCAGCGTTGAATCGTCGTTTTCGGACGAGTTGGTATACCCGGCACAGAGATACCCAATTGTACCTTAATCCATAATGTTTAACTCCTCGCGGCACGTTCCTGTCAGATTGTGCTCTTCAAGATGTATGCAGTGCGAAAGCAACTTGATAGCCATTGGGAATTGACATATCTTGAAATCCGACTTTCGGGCTAAAGTGCGATATTCAGGTTTTCTAGAGCTAGAAGCGTTGAGTTATCGCAGTAGCCATGAGAAACGGCATTTCATTTTACCCAATTTCTGATGATCGTAGCGAAGCCGGCGTTCACAAGGTTCGAAATCATTTTTAACAAGATTAAAGAAGAGTTTTGGTTTAGTAAGGCAATTTCTAGCAAGCTCCTCGTTGAAGATGAATAAGTTGTATATTGAGCATATACAGAGCAGTATGTCATGAAAATAGAAACATGCTCGAACCAAAGGCCAATGATAAGTATTCCTTGACAACAAGATGAATTAAGCCATTCTAAAGGCTTATGGCTCATGTATATAAAGAAACGGAAAGCCAATCTCATATAAAGACTCGGATCTCAATGTCCTTGGGAGAATTTGACATGCCAAGAATATTTAGGATGTTCAGAATTTGCATTTCTTTCCTCCAAAGCAAAAACCTGACAACGGCCACTATCAAGCTTCAGAAAATGAGTCTCATAAACGGGATTATCACGAGTAACGATCCTCAAGGCCCCACAACATCCCCTCTGGATAGTAAGGTGGTCTTGAATCTCTTAGTATATGCCATTGCCAAGTGGAATCAGCATTTCTTTTCTTCCTTTCTCGCTTTTAACGAAGGGAAAAGCACACTACATCGACAACGACCCAACGTTCATCTTCGGATTATATCGGGTATCAGTGCCTCAATAGTGATTTTCCCCGAGCACTCCTCTTGGCATGGAAGTTTCAGTGTAATGGTACATAGTACTCTTGGGTTGCGTCTTGCAATTCATTCGTATATTATCCACGATTCCACCGCTCACCAATGACCTCTCTTCTCGTTCATTCGTTTCGTTACCAATACTGCCACACAGTGACCATCAGATCGGCACCAAGAGTCTTTACTTCCAGACTCAAGATTTTTGAACGAATGCAACGGAGCCGATGTAGCATTTCCTCAGTTCTCAGAAACAGACATAGCAGTTCAAGCATGCCTGTTCTAGGAGCCACGATGTACAAAACCCTTCTCCACATTCCAGGAGTTTTGGAACAAGCTGATCAATACTATAGAATCTTCTCATGAAAACTCAGTCGAGTCGGGTTTCACCACCGGTGTCCAAGAAATAAATCGGCATTTTCTCATCGTTCGACTTCATAAGAGACCGCATGTATCCGTGGCATGAACACTAAGACTGTATTGCAGTATCTGGTGTTGGATCACCAAGAGTTCTTGTCTTCAGGCGTGAGCTATCGACTCCTATCTCCTGTTGGATCACGATGACCATTAAGTACTTCCGTCTTAGATCTTGATGACCTCCTACGAAAAGATTGGAGGGATCCGAGCACTAGAGTTATATCCGGTACATGACTACAAAGACACAGCAAGAGAGTATGACTTCTTGAACTGAATTTTAATAACAAAAATCAAATTCATAATCTCATGTGTAGAGATGAAGACAAATCGGTCGGTCGAGTCTCTCACACGATTGTGTTTTGAAAGTCTTAAGTAGAATGGAAAATGCTTCCTTCTGTGTATGTTGGGACAAGGCTAGGAAAAAGAGATGCCCATGTCACAGCACTTTTGCATCGCATCAATTTAGCTCTCGGCAGGATTGCCAGAACTATTTCACAACATATACCACCGCTCAAATACCCCGGGATTGCCGGACATTCAGAATGTACCTCTCCTCAAACGCTGAACTCGCGGCAATCATTGTCCAGGTCCCTTGTGCTCCATTTCCGGAACCCACTTCAGGTTAGCATGAAACTTTCCTTATGCATGACAGTGAGACTCAAATCGCGTTGTATTGTGCAACCTAATGACTAACAATGATACGTCCGTGCGGTGGATCTTCTAGGTATATGTTGCAAAATTTGAACTCTATTCGCCACCTAGCGTAGTAATATATGATTGCCGGCAAGTTATAATTATAAAACAATCATATGGCAAGGAAGAATGGAGACTTAAATGCAGCAATAAGCAAGTCTCAGCTGTTCCAAAAGCAACAAGATGCCATGCTCATGACGATATCTTAGCAGAGCTACAAGTTGCATTATCCAACAGCACAACAACGAAGAATAAGGGATGAAGTAGAAAGATTAAATGACCTAATGGCATGCACACTACAAATAGCGAGGATTCTTTGCCCCATGGCAAATCTTGACATCACATGACGCCTTTTCCCCGTGCGAAAGTATTATGCTAATGTTCCTAGGTACCTCATCAAGAGTCCACCTTTGCGTTGTGACGGGGATAACTATCGATGAGTGTAGGAAATCCCAACAGGATCTATAGGTTCCTAAAACGATGATGTTCTCCGAACTGAAGGCACTAGGTAGCCAAGTAGCCTCCTCTCTCGACAGTGTATAGAGATAACCAGTATAAGGTACATTGAGCACTGGCGAATGTCCGAAGCAGGTTGAAAGACTGCAGTCAAAACACCTTAAATCCTCGAAGCTGGCAGAACATTAAACAGTTATCAATTCGTTTCCTTTCTTTGCTTGTCTCTGGGGCCTTGAAGCAAGTTGCAAGGTGGCAAATATCCAAGGGAAGGTAAAGAAGAAGCAGACACTGGGTGCCCGAGCCCAGCAACACAGAGCAGAAATCGACATTGCATTGTCCGATGAAAGAGACCTAGACCGTCACTTGCTGGATGTGTAAAGCCTACTAAGCCACTCCAGTATTAACCCTCGTCCTCTGGGACTATAAGAGACGGACATATGGAAATACAATGGTCCAAAACACCCAATCTTTTTGTGCAGCGGTCTCCTTACAGATATGGTTATTAAAGTCTGAAATGAGGCCAACAAATATGGGAGAATTAAAATACATTCCACGAAACCACATATTAGAATATCGTAGAAATTGAAATATCGGATAACATTGTTCCAGAGTTTGTGGGACAATATGAATGGGAAAGCAGAGTTTTGGAGATGGAGGGGAATTTACGGTCTACTTTGAGCCGTAGTATACCACTTCATCCCTCATAGGATCCAACTGATATTGTCCCACGAAGTCTTGAACATTATCTAATACTCCACCAAATTTGGGGTATGACTCTTCTGTCAACTTCAAAATAGCTTCTCAGAAGCGATTGTCAAGACCCAGCATTGATAATGGTCTAGAATAGAGAATGCATGATCTGTTATGAGTCTGATGTGAGTCAGCAAAGATGTTGCTCTGCGGTCAAGGTTCATGGATGCATGCGACCCGCCACCCCGCAGAAAATTGTCGAGTAAGAGAGTACAAATTTCAACCCCGCCAACATTTTCCAAGTGAGCAGCCCATGGCAAGAAACAGCTGCCACGATGGGTGCACAGCAATCCTCGAGTCGCGACAGCAATTCGCAAAACGGCGAGGGCGTAAAAAGATGCTACTATGAAGTACTAGGTATTGAACGCAGTGCTTCAGAAGACGAGTAGAGTAACCTCCAATTCTACACAATGTGCCGGGACTGATCAGTGCTCAGAGTTAAGAAAGCCTATAGAAGAAAAGCCCTGGAACTCCACCCTGACCGGAACTATGGCAATGTTGAAGCTGCTACAGCGAGTTTCGCAGAAGTCTCCGCCGCCTATGAGGTCCTCTCAGATCCCCAAGAAAGAGCTTGGTACGATTCACATCGAGAGTCCATTTTACGAGGCGACGATGGAACGAATGAGGAAAGTTACGAGCATAATATTCGAGTCACCAGCGCTTCGGATATTGTACGTTTGATTGGCAAGTTCAACTCAAGTGTTTCTTTCACAGATGGACCAAATGGATTCTATGGAAGTCTACGAGATAGATTCGCGAATCTGGCGAAGGAGGAAGATGCGGCCTGCGACTGGGAGGGTCTGGAACCGGTGGACTATCCCGATTTTGGCAGCGCTGAAGACGATTACGACGATGTGGTGAAGCCATTCTACAGGGTTTGGATCAATTTCTCGACCAAGAAGACCTTCTCGTGGAGAGATGCGTACAGGGCTTCAGATGCACCAGATAGGGCCACCCGAAGACTTGTGGAGAAGGAGAACAAGAGATTACGAGAGGAGGGCATCCGAGAATTCAACGACGCTGTTCGATCGTTGGTAACCTTTGTGAGGAAGAGGGATCCAAGATACATACCCAATTCGCAAACGGAGGCAGACCGACAAAAGATACTGCGTGATGCTGCCTTAGCCCAAGCAGCAAAGTCACGAGCTGCTAACCAAGCCAAGATTGAAAAACACGTTGTTCCGGACTGGGCACAGACTCGAGAGCCTGAAGCCGAGGAAACATCAGAGTCTGAAGAATCAGAGGTCGAGCATATTGAGTGTGTAGTTTGTGGAAAGACGTTCAAGAGCGAAAGGCAATATGAGACCCATGAAAAGAGCAAGAAGCATATCAAAGCAGTGCAGCAACTGCAACGGGAGATGCGGAAAGAGAACGACCTCCTGGACCTCAATACAACATCCCAGGATACATCGGCACCTGATTCTGCTTTCGAAGAGCTAGACCTAGACACGAAGGGCATTGTAGTAGAAGGCGAAAGTGCCACTTCTGTCTCAGACGATATTGAAGATCATCTCGAAGGACATTCTCCAGAGATCAGAAATAGCGACTTAAACCAGGGATCAGACGTGAAGGTTGATCCTGTTGCGAATGAAATCTCAGATTCTTCTGAAGCCGACGATGAATATGCCTCTAGGAAGGAGGTCGAAAAACGAATTGTCGGGACCCTCTCAGACGAAACTACTAAAGTGGACATCTCATCAGATGCTACGCCCATAGCTAGTGATGTTGATAGCCAACGCCTTGGTAAAGCAAAGTTAAAGAGAGCGAAGAAGAAAGCAAAGCAAGAGCAACTTGCACAAGATCTCAATGAGGTACGTATATTATATCAATAAAAGAGTTGTATCCTAACTACAACGCAGTTCAAATGTGCAGCTTGCAATGAGACTTTCCTTTCGAAATCCAAGCTCTTCAATCACATCAAAGAATTCGATCATGCCCAGCCTGTCCCCCAGGCTATTCAAAAGGGTAGCAAGGGAAAGAAGGGGAAGCGGTGAGACTACTATTGCATGACAGAACATGTTGTTAATAGGGTTGATTTCCACATAGCGCGGAGTTGGGGGACATCGGGCGATTATGGGACATTAGATTTTATTGCTGGAGTTATCGTAGAGGTTGTGTCGGAATTTGCATTAAACAAGTCCGCTTGAGAGCCTGTGCGAGTACAGCGATTCTAGACCAATATCCTTTTCAACCCCAACGCCTAGTTGAGACATGCAACCAACACCCATTGCACCTAAATCCATCCTAAGCATCTAATATGGTATCATCGTCGTCATCATCATCAAAGGTCTCGACTTCATCAATCGCTCCATCCCGCTCTGTACTGAGAGCAGGCTCTCGATCGGCAACGTGGATGACGGCTTTTCCCTGAACCTCTTGTACAGCCCTCCGCCAGTCTTTCCAATCGTTCTCATCACGTATCAGAAAGGCGATCAGCATACTTGGATCCATTTCCTTCACATGTATCCGTCTCAGCCTCCTGGTATGGCAGGAATCTAAATCTTCCTGGCTGTAGTCCTCAATGTTTGCTGGTAATGGCAGTGCTGGTCGAGTTTGGTGAGGGTCTAGGTAGAAGAAAAAGGATCCTTGAACGCCAATGAAATAGTGAGATGATGACGGTTGACCACTGCTAAAATAAGTTTATTGCATGCAAAAAAGAAGAACATCACGTACCCTGCTATACCAATAGACTGAGGCATCTGTAAAGAAGCCTTCAAGGCTTCCCAATACACGGGCGTGATTTTGTCTAACCCTAATCGTGTTCCCACTAAGATGAGGGTTGGCTTGAAAGTCACCCCGTCAGGTCTAGCGATCTTCATGAACGTATCCTCATATACCTCTACCCCATCGCCGGTAAGATAGACTCGGAGTTCTGAAGACTCGTGATCATTTGTCAAGGCCCTGATTTTGGTCAGCCAAGCAACTCATTTACAGCATAGGTATCTTACTGTATACAGCGTGCTGTGGCCGATGGCCCAAACCACTCTCCAGGATGCTTCCCACAGGCAGTCGCTCCATGTTCCACAAATTTGTGTATCGAATACGGGGCATTTGGCGAATCTGCGAACAAGGAGATTATCTTACGCTCTTCGGCGGTGGATGAGCCACGTCTCCAATCTGCCGACGAAGTTAACCATGCATCATTTAAAGAGTATAAAACGACACTCTTACCTCTCCCCAAGCGAACCATCACAAGAGCATTTGCAAGCAAGCTCTGTCCAGAGCGAATCATACATCCCCATCCAGTGTCAGACGTGAACCCGGCTGGCTTGTCGAATTGGCTGCGTATTCGTACCGGAAGGCTCATGGCGGCTTGCGCTTTCGGGTCTTGTGATTTGGGAATGGCCGGGAAGTTTGACCTGTATGTGAGCCATATTCTTGCTTCGAAGTCGTCCAGGAATGGCGAAGGCCATCGTCCGCCCTGCTCGTTCTCCGAGTCCTCATAAGCTAGATTCGAGTCGATACTGCTAGCTGTGCTGTCGGGTGGGGTTACAGGTTGTACTCGACTCGATCCGATGGGAGCAGACTTGACGTTTGGAACAGAAGAGTGCATGTCTTTCGCAGCTGATGATCTGTCTGGCGCACGGTATTCTTTTCCCAAGCACCATATTGGAGATTGCAGCACGTTTGTCGGTTCCGGATCGTAGAAGTATTGTACAAATTTCTTGTACTTGCCAAGATCCAGAGCAGCCATGGTAAGTCCTTCCTATGAGCAAGAGAGGATCATCAGCTCAAGGCTGGGATACTTGAAGGCGGGGAACGTGGGGGAACGTTCACGGCAGCTGTTGAGACCGTGAAGCTGTCACTGTCGCTGTAACTTATTTCAAGACAAGTCCGAAGATAGGGCGTGATAGTGTGAAGAAAATGAGTCTGAATTCTGCGGGCGAAAAGGTGGTTGTACTCGTTGACTGTTCGAAGCCTAGGAGAGAGACAGATGCGGATGACCCAGATTCGCTTGGCACCTGACCGCCATACAAAGTTATCGATTCACTGTGCTCAGGCTATGATGTCAATGCCAATAAACTGTCAGGCTCCTCTGACAGTCATGATATGAGCAGCAGATGGATGAGTTATATACAGGAGAAAATGTAGGCGTCGGAAAGTAATGTGGCTGGAGCTCCTTGCCCAGTACTGGTATCGCCGATAAGCAAACAAAACACATGCTAGCGTCATACCAGAATTATTTGAATCAGAGACAACGCAACGCAGCCACCTTTGCCCCGCTGTTGACTGCACCGAAGAAGACAATTCTTTCTTTGGCCGGCCTGATCCAATTCATTTGATATCAACTCAATGGTTTGATTTAGATCAGCAATATGCCGAGCACGAAAAGGGGGGGGAAGAGAGGGAACTCTGGCGCGGGCAGGACAAGAGGTGGTCGACGCAATCCAGGTTTAGATACCTCTTTTGTACCATTCTCCAATACTGCTGCGCCACGCAGAGATCATAATGGTAAGCTTTGGTTCTATCGAGCATGTGCACACGAATGAATCCAACTAATTTCATTCCAGGCTTCACGCTACAAGATGAAGCTCGAAATACTGAACGGCACCATTCGTTCTGGAATACAGATCAGAGATTGCGGGACTCACAGGTTACCTTTGTGAGCGCTGGAACTCTCGATTCTACGAAGCCCAAAGATACAGAAGCTGCTCTTGCAGAGATGACCCTCGATTCACCCAAGGACTTCGACAAGATCGAGGTGTTTGAAGAGGAGGAGGAGAACGAGCATGTAGAGGACACGATGATGAGTTCAGACCATCGACCAATCCAGCAACACGACAAATCACCATTAGAGGATTCAAAATTCAATTACATCGTCGATGTGCACGGTAGTGAGCCGGTTCAAACTGGGATACCCCCACCACGACTACGTTCTGTATCTCCTGTGCCCTCGAACTCCAGCGAAGAAATCATCCTGTATGCAGGTAGAGATCGACAGGGCCGAGGCATATCAAGAGTTTCCAGCGCCCCAAGGACGGTCGCAGATCCTATTGAACAGAAAATCCGAAGGGTAGAAGACGAAATACACAAGCGGGAGGAAATGTTGGAAGAGGTTCTCCGTCACGGTGCTACTCCTCCTGTACTACCAAATATGGCCAGCAGCTCATCCATAAAGGATGTTCGTCCGAAGCATCAACGTCGAGGTCGTCGTAATCATTCGCGTTCAGAAGACTCCGAAGAAGCGGCTCTAATTGCAGACTACATTGCAAATATTGACAAGGATGACCGGGTCCCCAAGTCCTTCGCTCAACGCGAATTGGGTGGGACAGAAGACGAGGTGTGGCAGGATACTGAAGCCTCGTCGGGAGAACCTATTCAGAAATCAGAGTCGGTGCTTCATGGCGATTGGGATCGTGCCGACATTTGTGACTTCGATGACCTGAGCACTTCTGATGGAGTCATGGGAGATGTACAGCAGATCTTGTCTAAAAGAGACCGAGAATCTGGCGTTCAATACCTCGTCGTGTGGCAAGACCAGACTGTGGATGAAGCTAGATGGGTTCCGACTACCACCCTCACGAGTGTGAACGCATTGTCACATATTGAAACTTTCGAGGCAGAAGAAAAGCTTGTGGCTGAGTTCACAGGTGCTACTGAAGAGGATAGTGGCGATTCTGACGACCTTGACATTGACGATGAGGACGGTGACGACCTTGCAGATGATGAAGATCTGTTGCTGCAAAAGATTGAGAGAATGAGTGACGAGAAGATTGCAAGACTTCTAGCCAAGCAAGAAGAATTGGGCATGGGTTCTAGTAAGCTGATACTTTTCGATGACGACGATGAGGACGATGGAGACGACGACGACGACATCCCCACCTTTTCAAACACGTTCAGTCCGGTCATGCTCTCCTCGAAGAAGAGTGCTGGTAGAGGTCGTGGATCCAAACGGCCCAAGGGCGAATTTCCTTCCGCAACTATGATGGCTGATGCTTTTGATGGTTTTGATGTCATGGACTTCGATCGTCCCAGTCTGAAGAAAAGACCAAAGGGCCGCAAAGGCAAATTTGTTCCTGCTATATCAGATTCTGAGCTCGAGGCATCAATGGAGATGGCCTGGGAGAATGATCGCTTAAAGAAGAAAGACAGGAAGCAAGAACGAGAGGAGCTACGCGCTCAAGGTCTACTTGGGAGCAAGAGTGGCAAGCCTGATCTCAAGCAGAAGTACAAGGAAGGGATGGACCTTCTCGCTGTGAGAGAGGAGATCAAGAAATTCTTGATGGGAAATAATATAACGTATGCATGGTCTCCAAATCACTATAACAAGGCTAATCTTTATAGACTGTCTCTACCACCGATGGACAAAGCAAATCGCAAAGCAGTTCATGAATTAGCCATTGCTCTCCAGCTGAAATCAAAGTCGGCAGGAAACGGCACCACTCGCTTCCCTATCTTGTACAAGACCGCACGAACAACAGCGTTTGCAGAGCATGCATACAACGCAGCTGAAGCTCGTTTGACTCGTCGCTACCTCCCACGAATGGACGTGAGCAGCAGGAGCTCTGGTGTGAAACGGGCTCGTGGAGGCGGATTCAATAGTGGTGCTGTCAGTTATAGAGATGGTGATATTGTCGGTGGCTCTGCACCTGAATTGGGGGCCGGAAACAGAGGTCGCGCTATGCTCGAGAAGATGGGTTGGAGCTCAGGTACGGCTCTTGGTGCTCTGAACAATAAGGGTATTCTGCAGCCAGTCTCCCATGTTGTCAAAACAACCAAGGCCGGTTTGGGTTAACATGCTGGGTCAGTTCATGTCGTGGATCCTATGTATCTTAAATTGCTTGGCGTCGTTTTTACCGGATACGCAGCATCTCCTGGAGTTCTGAAACCCTGTAGAAGCCAAATGTATGAAAATACTCAATCTGCAAAGATCATATGAACTTGATTGCCAATGTGTTGCAGACGTGTCAAACGCGTTATCGCCGCAGAAGTTTATTGAAGGTGCAAGATGCCAAATTCACATGAGAAGCCAGAAGTTGTTTGATGTTCATGTTTCAATTGATGTCTTCTCGAATTCCCTATCCGAAGACTTATTGTACAGCCACGTACCCCGAAAGCAGACCGTGAAGACATATGCCCCCGTAAAAAGCAGACCATCCATAACGCATTAAAGAGACCCAAAGATCCCAAACTACTCAGACCCCATCATCCATCCAGATGACCCAAAGTCAAAGCAGATCAGATATCCCATAAAAACCCAGAGAGAAAAGCATCTATTTCGTTGACGAAGAGTACTTGGTGACAGCCTTGGTACCTTCCGAGACAGCGTGCTTGGCAAGTTCGCCGGGGAGGATGAGTCGGACACTGCAATCCATTAGCGCGGTCCATGAGAGCATGTGGCGTGACTTACGAGGTTTGAATCTCTCGGGATGAGATGGTGGACTTCTTGTTATATGCGGCAAGCTTGGAGGCTTCGGTGGCGACGCGCTCGAAGATGTCTATTTATGCTATCAGTATGTTTCGCGTGTGTTCTGATTGTGGACGCGCCTACCATTGACGAAGGAGTTCAAGATGGACATGGCGCGGTTGGAGATACCAGTGTCTGGGTGAACTTGCTTGAGGACTGTGATAAAATGTTAGTCGATGTTTTGGAATGGAAACGCGTCCTGAAGTTGATGGAAGGAAGGCTGGGTCCATTGGATGCGGTATCGCAATGTTGTGGACGCGCCAAGCTCCACCAAATCCGACGCGACTGAGAATGAAGATGGGTTTCGTACCTTTGTAGATGTAGGAAGAGTAGGTCTCCTTGCGCGTCTTGGTGCGCTTCTTCTTGTCACCAGTCGCGGCGGTCTTCTTGCCAGCTTCCTTCTTCTCAGCGGGAGCCTTGGAAGCAGGTGCCTTGGAGGCGGGCTTCTTCTCTGCGGCGGCTTTGGGAGGCATTTTGATGAAGTTTGGAAGTTATTGACGTGAAAGTCGTAAAGGTGTTTGGGTGAAGTTGATGAAAGTAATTGACGTGAAGTTGGACGTGGCGTTGTGGCGGATAGTTGATGAAGGAGAGAAAGTTTGGGGAAAATGGGAAATCGATTCAACTTATAGTGACGGAGCTAGCGTGTTGATTCGGAGTCAGAGCGGGTGTCTGCAATATGATTGGCTGGCCTAATCTCTGATGCTCTCTCTGTGCTTTGGCCCAAAAAGCAAGCGCGCTTGGCCGAGAATGGCTGAGAGCTAGCGCAATCACATAATATTTCGGCAAGAGTATAAATGCTTCTTTCCCCCCCCAAAGTCGTCGCTTTCAACTTTTCTCAACACCACCCAGCATACCACATCGTCGACTTCACGTCCATCTCCATCAATTCAACCACTTCAATAAACTCATCTACTTTCATCAACCAAATCCATCAAAATGACTGGAGGCAAATCAGGAGGAAAGGCAGCCAGCGGCTCCAAGAACGCGCAATCGTGAGTTTGCTCTTTCTACTCTTGTTTACCTGATCATCGCGACTTATTTGACGCGTCTTTTTTTCCATCCTCGTCCATCCGCTTCGAACTTTCGCATTGTGTTCTGAAATCATTTAATCTTGAATACATTACTAACTTCTTCAAAGCCGTTCATCCAAGGCCGGTCTCGCATTCCCAGTTGGTCGTGTCCACCGTCTTCTCCGAAAGGGTAACTACGCTCAACGTGTTGGTGCTGGTAAGTTCTTATTTTGCGACGCGTCTCGACCGAATTCTAACGCGTCTTTCAGGTGCTCCCGTCTACCTCGCTGCCGTTCTCGAGTACCTCGCTGCCGAAATCCTCGAGTTGGCTGGTAACGCCGCCCGCGACAACAAGAAGACCCGTATCATCCCCCGTCATCTCCAACTTGCCATCCGCAACGATGAGGAGTTGAACAAGCTTCTGGGACACGTCACGATCGCACAAGGTGGTGTCTTGCCCAACATCCACCAAAGTAAGTTGGTTCTCCGCAGTCTTGATACAAATACTAATTGCGATTCAGACCTCCTGCCAAAGAAGACTGCCAAGGGTGGAAAGACTGCCAGCCAAGAGCTATAGATCTTTGTTTCCTTGGGCTGGTTTTTCTGATGGGTTATTTCATGATAATGGGGTGTCGTCTGGGTCTGGGTCACGGCTGCTTCTTTTTTTTTCTTCGCGTTCTGGTTGTACATTAAAATCCATGGCAATGGATGAGGATTGCTTACTGAGAACAATCTTATGAGAAACCGATAAACCACAACATCTTCCCCCCGCGCTTTTGGTGACTTCTCTCACATGATGTCATGACAGGATCGATTAATTTTTCAATCGTCAAGACCTTGATTCAATGTTTCTGCGTCTTCAAGATATGTCACATTGACATTATTACTCTGGTCGATTCTTCAACGCTTGCAATTTACTGAACACGTGAAGCAGTTCAAACCAGCTGCAGCTTTCCCCCAAGTCAAAAGTGTTTGAGTTGGCAACTCCAAAACGAGGCAGATTTTGGCGCTTGGGCAGCCCGCGAAAATTCGGAACGATTAGAGCTACTACTCGAGCAGCTCTGCTCAAAATGTCGCTCTTGATAATAATGGTAGCAAGATAGTAACTTGAGCAATAGCACATAGCAGCCAAATGTGAGACATAAGTCTGCACAAAACAGAATCAATGACCAGGATATTTGCATTCCTTTGCTATGTACAGACATCTACCATTCAGTCATCCTTCCTCTCGGTGCTTCCATCACATCTGAATATGAGGCGGTGCTGGCGACAGTGTCAGTAAGTATTTCAATGACATTCTGCAGATGGAACCTACGGTCAAGAATTGGTGCTGGAAGATTTCGTTCGAACTTGGATCCTGTGATTTTATATCTCATCAGCATTACTTCCATGGAGGCAGAGCGAGCCGTGGTGTAGAATGACAAACCTCCGGGAGCAGTGGGCGCGTGGTATGGATCAGGGTGCTTCCACTTCTCGAGTAAATCTTCAGCTTCTTGAAATAATGCCTGAATTCCTGTAATCAGCACAAGTCTTGCTGGCCATATCCAAGGATCTCTACCCTTTGTTGTCGTGGATCTCGAATGTGCTTATTCGCTTCGAACAACGACCGAATGTACATAGCCTGACCCCTCCATAGATGACGGTGTACAGACCAGTCGAGGGCAAGCTTCAGAGAGCGTCGATAGAGGGATCTGAAATGCGTTAGATAGATATTACTCCTTCAGCGGCAGGGAGGGACTTGCGAGACAGCTTGCTTCGTAGACATCGTATCCAGCTTCAGCACCGTGTCTAGATCAATTGTCTTCCGGGAGGCGGTACACTACTAGTTCTATTTCATCGAGAGCCTGTTATGCCACCACGGAGCTGCTTCTTTCGACTTGGGGTGGGATAAGTGAAGGTATGGAGCTCGGTGTGGTCGCGAGATGTCGGAGAAGCATGCACTAGCGTCGGCTCGCTTCGAGTGAGGCTGCCAAAGAATCTCGGATGCAGCTCCAGGAATACCTGTTGTTTTTGCCGCAGCTTGATTTTTCACTCTTTCTTCATCAATTTCTCCTCCCTTTCTCTCTGCCTCTCAATTCTTTCTCAGGATGCTCTCGAGAAGAGTCCTAGTTGCGTCGCGCTTTCTGCGGGCTCATCGAACTCCTCAATTACGATACCCTTTTCCAGCTGTAGCGCAGCAGTTCCGCACCTATGCGGACAAGATCGTGAAGGTGCCAGAGATGGCAGAATCTATCTCTGAGGGAACATTAAAACAATGGTCGAAGCAAATTGGTGATTATGTTGAGCAGGATGAAGAAATTGCAACCATTGAGACGGACAAGGTCGGTCTATCGTGTCGCGTTGCTACGAACGGGGCTAATACTTTTGCATTCAGATCGATGTAGCTGTCAATGCACCTGAGGCTGGTACAATCAAGGAGTTTCTGGCAAACGAGGAAGACACGGTCACCGTTGGTCAGGATCTGGTTCGCATTGAGCTTGGTGGTGCCCCCGAAGGAGGAGAGAAGGAGAAGGGAGGCGCGGAACCTAAGGATGCTGCTTCAAAAGAGCAACCAACTTCCTCGGATCCAGAACCATCAAAGAAGGACGAGTCAAAATCAAAAGATGACTCAAGTCCAGCTCCTCCACCTCAGGAGAAGAAGCCAGAACCCAAGAAAGAAACTCCTCCGAAGCAATCCGAGCCAAAGAAGACAGAGTCGAAACCAAGCTCTACACCTACATTGGGAAGCCGTGCAGAGCGCCGTGTATGTGCTAATCTCCATATTCCACTCACTTCACTAACAGCCGGCACAGGTCAAGATGAATCGCATGCGCCTACGCATTGCCGAGCGTCTGAAGCAATCTCAAAATACCGCAGCCTCTCTCACAACCTTCAATGAGGTCGATATGTCTTCGCTCATGGAATTCCGGAAGTTGTACAAGGATGACGTTCTCAAGAAGACTGGCGTAAAGCTTGGGTTCATGAGTGCCTTCTCACGTGCCTCCGTACTTGCCATGAGAGATATCCCCGCCGTGAATGCTTCTATCGAGGGGCCGAACGGAGGTGATACTATTGTGTACCGTGATTACGTAGACATCAGTGTTGCTGTCGCTACCGAGAAGGGTTTGGTGACTCCCGTAGTACGCAACACTGAGGCTATGGACCTGATTGGAATTGAAAAATCTATTGCGGATCTAGGCAAGAAGGCAAGTTTCCTAGCCTACGTCTGCTAAATATGCTAACAGTTTCAGGCTCGTGACAGCAAACTTACCATTGAGGACATGGCTGGTGGTACCTTCACGATCAGTAACGGTGGCGTCTTTGGGTCGTTGATGGGCACTCCTATCATCAATTTACCACAAACTGCCGTCCTTGGGTTACATGCTATCAAGGATAAGCCAGTCGTTGTGAATGGGCAAATTGTGATTCGACCGATGATGTACTTGGCCCTCACCTATGACCATCGTCTTCTAGACGGCAGGGAGGCTGTACAGTTTTTGGTTAAGGTCAAGGAATACATCGAGGATCCTCGACGTATGCTGTTGTAAATAGCAAGCAGCACTTGCATTCTAGAACATCAAGCATCTAGACAGTATAAAGGTTCTTTTGGGAATCCGTCCTAGGAACTGTATTTGTACAGTAGTAATGACATGCATTTTTGGCATTCTGTACTTTCTCATAGCACTCGTGATAATGT